ACTGGGTTACCAAGGATGCTCCAAGATGAAATTCTGGGTTTTTTCCCAAAGACCATTACTTAGGTCTTACCATAATGTATATTAAGATGTTCTTCCTTACAGTATAGTCCTAATTGCCACAATAACCTTATTAAACCAATTTTAGTTTTAGAAATCAGGACATATAAAAAAATTGAAATCAGTATATAACAAAATCAAAATGTTTGATTGGCTCAATGATGAGGGAGTAAATAGTGGTCCTGATAAGCTCTCTGCTATATTATTTATATATCAATTGAATAATAAGAGGGTCTGCACGCACCCCTACTTCACTCATTTTCTGATAGAAATTTTACTGGTTAGGGAACTGGACATTCCCAGCCTAATTTGTGCAACTGTGTCTCTGTAGAACTGTTGAAGCAAAGAAAGAAGTCTCTTATCAATATTCATTGCAGTGAGCTTTGACCACAAGTGTGATCTATTAATGGAGTCAAATGCAGCTGCCAGGTCAATAAATGCAATGTAAAGTGCCTTTGTGTGCCCATTAATACCAAAATTGACCAGTTGATGCAATGTTTGGCAATGCTTTGGCAATGGCCTCCTGTGTGAACCATCCCTGAAGGAGGTGAGAGGGATGGCCCCTAGGAGGAGGGCTTTTTCTGCAGCTGCTCCCAATGTTTGGAATGCTCTCCCCAGGGAGATTTGCCTGGCTCCTTCCTTACTTTCTTTTTGGTGCCAGGCAAAGACCTTCCTTTAAAATATAGATAGATAGATAGATAGATAGATAGATAGATAGATAGATAGATAGATAAAATGCCATTTGACCTTTGTTTTGTATTTCTGCCCATATTTTGTTGATATTCTATTTTTAATATGATGTAATTGGTTTTTATTGTGTTTTTATCGTGTGGATGTGAGCTGCCCAGAGATGCTGTGGCACAGTAGGGCAGCATACAAATATTTTAAATAAAGAAGGAAAGAAAATGGTTAATGAGGCCTTTTCAGAAACCTGCTTGTGTTGGGTGTAGAACATGCTCTGTATCCACCCAATCTTCCATTTTTAACAGCAAATATTTACTATAAAGTTTTGCTGATACCTCCAATAAACCTATTGGTCTATACTTATGTGGATCCATGCTATCCATTTTTTTGTGAATGGTTACTACAAGGCTCACCATCCAGCTGGGTGGGATCTGGCCTGTTTCATTAATCAAAGGGAACACTGGCCAGAACTGGAGCCCACCACTCTGGGAAGACTTTAAATAGATCAGGTAGCAGCATGTCTTCTCCTGGCAATTTACCAGGTTTCAGAGAGGCAATTAGACCTCTAATTTCAGAAATTGAAACTGGCAACCATTTGAGTGTCCCCCTGGGTGGCAAGAATTTGCCCTGTTGCTGTTCAGTAATCCCTTCTACTGGTGAGTAATGAGACCCAAAACTACCAAAACTACTGTGAAAACCAAACATGCCCCGATATGTAAGACTTGACCTAACAATAGGGACTGTTTTTATGTTTGTGACCAATTCCCGGAAGCAAGGAGTCTTCCCCCGCCCCCCAGAAACTGCTCAGTTTAGCTCCCTCCAAAGGAACTTAGCATGTTCTAATTTCTTTTGCTTAATTAAGTTTTTATCCTGGGACCTAAGTAATAAAAAATTGGACAACCCACCTTCCCTACTGTATTTAACTTGTCTCACACTATGAAGTAGTTCTTTTTTTAACATTTTACAATCACAATCAAATCAGCCATTTTAGGCATGAGTTATCAGGTTTTTTGGCCTATTATTCGTAAGGAGAGGCTTGAGGTAAATATTAATCTCATTGAAAATTTGTGTTGTAAAAGAAAATCTCTCAGGCAACTCAGTTCTTGGCTTGACAAGGTGGAAACTAATATAGGATATATTTTATCAGACCATTTAAGTTTCCTAAGATTGAGAATGACATCCTCTTCAAAGTCCGTAACCAGTTTCATCATGACATTAGAATTAACCTTGAGGAACAAGTGCTGTGGGCAGTGGGCAGTCAAAGTAAGACCTAAAATGTCAAACTTAGTCACCAAATGCATTAAGGCAGGAGTAATAGGCATGTAATCTACTGTACTAGCCCTGCCAGTCCCTAGATAAGTGCAAGTCCCAACCGTTAGATCAAGAAAAGTGCTGTGGGGTACATGAAGGTTAGAGACTGAGAGTAATTCCAAAAATTTTAACCCAAACTTATTTACTACTAAGTCCTTTGAAAAATGTTCTAAAAATTGTGCATGAACATTCAGACCATTCCCTTCCTCTAATGACCCACTCCTGTTCTTGCATTAAAGTCCCCACATAAAATAACATGTGCCTTTGGGAAAAGAGAAATTAGTGAGTCTAACATGTCAGTTAACGTGTCCCAAATGCACCCCCTTCCCTGGGGGCCCAATTCCTAGGCGGAATGTAAACATTGAAACACAAAAGGCTTCGGAAATAGTCACCTTTAAGGAGTAGGGTCTGAAAATTACTGGGGCAATTATTCTTTATGACCTGGATGTCTATGTTTAGATTCACTGATACCAGTATAGTCAAACCTCCACTTCCTTCTCTCTTTGAGTGATTTTTAATTGCAGGGACTGAATAAGCCCTAAACCACTGAATATCCAAAAAGTCGGGGTTCATGAGCCAAGTTTCTGGGAAGCATAGGATATCAAGATAGGAACTCTAGTTGTCAATCTGCAATCATTGTCTTATTTAGGTCACCCTCAGAGTTCACAAAAATGTAACCATTCTCCATGTAACCATTGGGCCTCCTCCAAATTGCTCCACACTCCCACATTGACGGCTAGGATGGTATCTGGTGCAATCCTTACTGTTTCTTGGCTGGAGGTGAAGGAGATGACTTCTGGGTGTCTTAATTTTGTACTCATTGGGGTCAGAAGTGAGGTTGTATCAGAGGGATTCTCAGGTGAAGTTGTCGAGCAGGTAACTTTAGGTTGTTTTCTTGTAAAGTTGTTTGGTTGCAGAGTTCAGGAAGTTTGTAATGATTTCCTATGGGGTTGCTGTCCAGTTGATGATCCAAGGATATTAAGTCAATTAAAGGGTTTGCTGCTGCTCTAACCAGCTGTAATGCTTGTTTCAATTCATCCAATTGTCTCAGTATTTCTTCTTGTTCACTGTTTGGTAAAGCTCCAAAGGAATTAATTAATCCTGTTCTAAAGTTTCATCAGTGCCAATTCTTTCTTGCATATGCTCAGTATGATTATTTGGGCAGTGTCTTGTCAAGGAGGCTGAGGGTGCTGGATTGCTATAGTTTTTAATCATTTAGCACACAGCCCATGGCACAAGGCAGGGGAGTATCTAGTTGAAAATTTCAGCCAAAGAAAGCTTTTTTTCATCTTGGAAGACAGACAGTGGATGTATTTGAAAGGTGGAGAGAAAATATTTCATTTTAAACAGATTACAGGGGATGGTAGAATGGTTAAAACAACAGTAAGATTCATTTGTGTCCGTTCATACTAGAGAGCCATTCAACAGCACTTATAACTTAGCTTTATAACTTTGATCATATAACTTTGGCATCAAAGAAGTGAGCTAAATGATAATAGCTCTTCTACTGGACCAGAGTCTGATGTTAGATCTGTTGAGTGTAATCCTTAGAGCAACCTGATGTGTTTGAAGGGTACGGTTTCACTTGTTTGAGTTTAACTCTTTTGTGGAAGGTGGATCTACAAGCTCTGCCTCTATTTGGTTGTCTTTTCTGGTTTTAGTTAATTCTTCTGAGCAGTTTTGCTTTCTTTGATTGTCCATAAACAGGTCAGGATTGGTGCCATATTTTGAGCTATTGCAGAAGCTACCAGCTTATCTGTATAGCTTTGCACAAAAGTTTCAAAGGCTGTTTTTAAAGAGTCCATCTTTGTGTTTATAAATGTTAGATGCTCAAAGATTGAAATTACAGTTTGTGCAGTTAATAGGCATTGTTTGGCAGCTAAACCTGTTGTGAATTTCTTTGGTGATTGTTAGCCTTGTTCTTCCCCCATCAAGATGTATTAACATTGGGGGAGGGTACTGCAGTTTGATCAGATGAATGGATTCCTCATGCAAAGTAGAGGATAACTCTAATAATTGTTGCTTTTCAATTTCTGTTTCCAAATCACAGAACAGTATATCATAACTGTTAGAGGTAGTTATAGAGTAAAAAGGATTTTGTTGTTGTTGTTATTACTCACGGTCTTCTCATGCATCATGTAGTCATCAATTTTTGGTTGTTTTGTTGGTGTTGGTTGAGTATGAGAGCCTGGGCTACTCCTGTTGTGTTTCTTGTTCTTCCCCATTGCTTCCGTGTTGGCGGAGCTTGAGGTTTCAGGAACTTGTGGTTCTGTTATACAATATCTCTTGCAGGAAACATGTCTATAAAATAAAACTACATAAAAATTAAAATGTGTGGCTAGGCAAATTATGAAAATAAAAAATAAAAATAAGTAGAACAGATAAAATATCAGAAGTAGTCCAGCAAAGAAGCTGTTGCTCCATTGCCATCTTGGCTTTGCCCTGCACCCCTTTTAGCCAATACTAGAGCATATTCTTGGAGTAGGTGGATCCTTGGATACAACAGAATTTATAGAAGTCAAAATACTTGTGGAAGGACAGATAAGATATAGAACAAACGTAACATAACCTGTCCCCTTTTCAAATGTACAATGAGCATTGGAAACCCCTTTATGTCATTCCAAACAAGGCTTTGATCCTGGATTCTTATATTCATTATACTTTAAGGGGCATACCAATTGTTAGGCAGCCAAAGTTTACCATCCAGTGATACATTCAGGATTTCCTGGGAACTTGAACTTGATTAAGAATGGAATCGTGTCTCAACAAGTCTGCTAATATCTTACTGTTGTCTGTCATTAATGCTTCTCTTTCTAACCCACCTTTATCCTTTTGAGCTATAAACCCTGTGGAATGATATATATGCTTTTTTGTATTACTACAGTTTCATATCAACATATTATTTTCCAATGTATTTGACATATTGGAACTTTTTTTTCTTTGAGCAGCAATTACAAGCAAAGCTTGTAATACTAAGCAGTGATCTGGACTTTGTAATAACTTGCTTGACATGGCAGTTGCCCAGGTAACCACATCGCAACAAGCAGTAGAAAACTGCTTTAACTATCCAACACAGTATGGGGATTACACACAGGTATGTGACGCATATGGTTTGGCTGCAATTGATGGATGTCTGCTATTTTGAATCATAGTTTGTTATAAAAATGCTACAGAATTCTAGGCAGGTAATGATTTAGGACATTCATACACAATTGACCTCTTTGGGAGTTATTACTCTGATAATTACTCCTCCTATATTATTTATTTACTTATTTTATACTGATAATTTTAATTTTATATTATTATGTTTGTAACTCAGTGTATTTTTTGTATTTTTGTATTTAATGGTAATTTATTATGTTCTATTGTATTTCAATGTATTTTATTATGTTGTAAGCCGTCCCGAGGCTTCAGCAAGGGGCGGCATAGAAATGTAACAATAATAATAATAATAATAATAATAATAATAATAATAATAATAATAATAAGCACTGACCATGACAATGCTGGCTAGGGCTGGTTGGAACTGTAATGTAAAACATCTGAAGGGTACCAGGTTGCCTACCCTCAGTTTAGGAGAATCATAAATTACCATGCATTATAGCATCATACAGTTAGATTTCTAGGTTGCTTTTTTTTTTAATTGCAGCATTAGGATTGGGATAAGTATTAGAAACCAAAAACAAAATGTAGTCTCTGCAGCTGCAGGAAATTAACCAAATGATGCAACTATTCAAGAAAGCACTGAAACTGAAGAAACGGCTTAACAGCATGGAAAGAAAGTTAAGAAAAATGCATACAATAAATACCTCAGATCTTAATTCCTCTATATTCTACACTAGTTGAGACTTAGAGCTTTGTGTTTTGCCCTTCTTTTTTTACTCCTTCTCAATAATCAGCTTTTTTTTTTTTTTTTTTTTTTTTTGCAAACTGCCTTATTGTGCAGTGTGTGCAGTTTTCTTTTAATTGTGGACCTCTGTCTCTGTGTTATAGAAAGAAAAGCATTTGTTCTGCTGGAAAACTTAGAGAATCCTCTGTACAACTTCTGAGAGCACAAATAAATCGCATCATTTTAAGCTGAAGCACAGTGGCAAATGATCCCAAACTGATATGCTGCTGCTGCTAGTATGTTCAGTGACTGGCCCACAATCACCCAGTAAGTTTCATGGTCAAGCAGGAACTAGAACCAAGGTCTCCTACATCCCAGTCATCCCTCTGATCATTATGCCACATGCACGAAGGATATCTTGTAGATCAAATGCAATTCTAGTGCTTTCTCCAACACTGCTTTCCATGCAAGAACTTCCTGGTGCTCATGTGATGGGAAGTAACTGTGGCATGCAAAGAGATGTGAATGGCACTGGTGCAGGACTGGGAAGCGTTGATCTAGTAGAATGACTGCTCTGACTCAAATTCTTGAATACTTCAAGGAAGTTAAGAGAATTGATAATTAGTTGTTTTGTAAAGGCAGGTTGCTTACCTGTAACTGTTGTTCTTTGAGTGGTCATCTGTGTATTCACATATATGGGGGGCTTTGCCTTGCAGCACAAGGCCTAGATCAGAGACAAAAACTTCCTTAGTTCAGTGACATGGAGTTGGCAGGGGCCCTCCTACCCCTTCCAGAAGTCTGGATAAAAAGGGTTCTTCAGTGCCTTGAAGATTGCAAAGGCCAAGTGCAGTAGAAGAAGAAGCATGGAAGGTCACCAGCCCTGACCGCCTAATTGCCGGAAATGGCATGACAAGGGTGACGACAGCCAGCAGGGTGGAGGGTGGGTTGTGTGAGTGCATAGATGAACACTCGAATGACAGTTACAGGTAAGCAACCTGCCTTTCTTCTTCATGGTCTCTGTGCAATCACACATATGGGCAGCTAGCAAGCTTACCCATTGTGGATGGAGGGGCTGTTGTCACTGAAGGACTGCTGAGAGAATCGTCCTGCCAAACACGCAGTCTTGCCTGATGCAGATGTCCAGCCAATAGTGGCAGATGAAGGTCGATGGTGTGGATCATGTGGCATCCTTGCAGATATCTTGTAGTGCAGTGTCAGCAAGCAGGGTGCTGGAAGTGGCTTGTGCACGTGTGGAGTGCGTGCATGGACAAGTAGGCAGGTTGATGCCTGCCATTTCGTAGGTGCGGTAGCTCTGGTAGCAGAGAGAGAGCCTCTGTGCTGAAACTGGCTCTCTTTTCCTTGGGCTCTGGTAGCAGAGAAGAGGCATTTGGTGCTCCCGATCTGCTCAGTCCTGTCCTTGTAGAAGGTGAGGGCCCTGCGGATGTCAAGGAGATGTAGGGTGGCCTCTATTGGGGTGGAGGGGTTGGGGAAGAAGGCTGGTAGGACAATGTTCTGGTTAAGGTGGAACCAGGAGGCAACCTAGGGTGTGAAGTGGGAATCCAGGTGGAGGGCGGCCTTGTCCCTGTGGAAAGTTAGAAAGGGAGCATCGACCTGCAGCACAATGAGCTTCCTGGCAGGATGCGCCGAAATAATGGCCACCAAGAATGCTGTCTTCCATGAGAGGAGGCAGAGGTCTGGTCATGGGTTCAAAGGGTCTCTTGGTCAGGGCCTGGAGAACCACAGAGAGGCTCCATGAAGGTGTGCAGGAGCAAACTGGAGGGGCATTGTCCTGGAGTTATCAAGAAATTAAAGTATATGCTTCCTTTGCTAAAGTTTTTGTTAAACAACATATCGTGTTGGTTCAATTTTCTTAGTTTTAATTCCATTGAATAGACAGGTCAATCATTATACAAAAGGATAGCCATAGTTCAACATGAGCCTTTATATGGTACTACCAACCTTTGTGATTATGCAGGTGTCCAAATTTGACCAGCCCATGGGGAAAATCACTTGGTGGCACACTAACAGCTTGGGGGTGAGGATTTAATCACTGTGATAAAACCTTTGTAACTGTTAAGTTAGTGGTAATTTTCATTCACCACAGGAGGGCAACTGTTTGGAAGCTTGCTTTAGAGTCAACTTCAAATGCCCTTCCATCTTATCAGACACATAAAAAGGAATACATGTGTGACTGTGGGGCCACATGGAATAGGTTTGTCCACTGCTGTCTACACATACTGTCTCAGTTCTCCCCAGACAAATTTCAGGGACTTTCCTCATGTGCAGAAGCTCTCTGTACCTAACTCTGAATGCAGAGAGCTATTCCCAGTGGATATCATCAATGGTTTGGGGAGCATGATGACTCTGGTGGATAGAGCTAGCCTGTACAGCTCAATACTGAACACTGTATCTATGTTCAGCTTTTCGATTTGGCCATGTGTATCCCCAAATCAAATTGCAGATTGGATACAATGAGTTATTGGGAAAGTAAATTTCCTGAACTTGAATCCATCTTGCACAAAACAGGCCTAGTTCTTGAGGATTATTTGTCCATCTGAAGACTGAAAAAGGTGCTTGGTCAGAGGAAAGCAAACTTTCAGTTAGTTTTAAGATGTGTATGTGGGCTGGTTTCCTTGTATAGTGAGACGCAGTTTGGTAGGTAGGTAGACTATAAGGATGACCGTACCTATGCAAGTCGTATAACTCTCATATTCAGTAGCCAGTATGATTTGCTGGGGAATGCTGAGAGTTGTGGGTTGCTTTTCTGCCTAAGCATGCATAGGGTTATGCCTATGGTTTTTTTTTTAAACAAAAATGAAGACATATAAATCAAACATGTTTTCAGTACATATAAAACGCATAAATCTAGTTAGTCTCCAATGAACTAGAATGCTTGGCATAGGGATTCTATCAGTTTGTTTCTAAAATAAAGGATTTGTTTAATAGATTGTAAAGAGCTATAGAGAACCACATCAGCTGTAGCTGTGCAAGTTGTAGTTTGTCTGCACCAAATCATATAGGAAAAGGTATTAGGCAAAGTCTCTCACACACGTGCACATACACACACACACACAACACACACATTCTCTCGCCCTCTCCTAACTTTAAAGAACATTGTGCCAATGCTTAAACTTAATGCAGAAAGCTGTAATCCTCATTTGCAGAAATACTTTTAAGTTATACACCTGTTAGGAATGGTTCAGTTAATCTTGCATGGAGTAAGCAAGATGACTTATTTATGGTCTAAAATCATATGAATGAAGGATGAACTACATACAGCCCCTTTGTGGCTCTTTTTTGTTGCTGTCAAATTGTGACAGCAGTGCAGTAACCCCCCAACAACCCCCTTTAAAACAAGGCACAAGGAAGTATGCGGCTTGTTTCTGTATAAAACTCACACACTCAAAACTCCAGAGGAGTGTAATTAAAATGCATTAAAATGGGATGCACATGCCACATGCACCTTGTTTAAAGCAGAACTGTGCCTGTTTTGGCAGAGTTTTGCTGATAGTGGTTTGAGTAGTTGTGTGTGATGCACAGCCTGGTGGGTTCTGGGAGAAAGAAAATAGGCCTAAAGGCTCTCCAAAGATGTCCACACATGATGCACACAAATTCTGTCATTCAGACTCTCATTATGGGCAAAGTATTGCTGATTGATTTGTCTCAGGAAATGAAACAGAATAAGCAAGAAAGTGCTAGACGTTGGTCTGACATGGTGGAAGGAATGAATACATCACTTAGATGCATATGTATGTCCTTGTTTTTCAAAGAACATTTTTGTGTTTCTAGTTAACATAATAATCATGATGAAAAATAACAGAAGACAGTAGACTGAAAGTTGCTTTGTCTTTGGCAGGATTCAGTCCAGCAATGGTATCAACAGTATGCTCAGGCATACCGTACCATTCAAGCTAGAGTAGAAGAAATAGCAAATGACAGGCCAGAGGTAAGTTATGGGTTTAAATTAATGTTGTTCGTTTTTAACCAGCATCCTGTATCCAGGATGCTAATATTTAAGGCCAGATTTTGAAATACAACAAAACCAACCTATTACATAGCAGCTTTTGTTAACATCCTCTTCAGTCTTTCAGTATGCATCTTTCAGCATCTCACACATGTATATGCACTGTGAAGTGTCCAAGTACTAACTGAGCATATAATGCAACTTTTCCAAAAACATTTTTCTTGTCATTAAAAAAAAAGCCTATTTCAACACTATGAACCACAGAAACCTGATTTTTTTCCTATTAATTTCAGCCTCACTGGTATTAGTGGGGAGATGCCATAAGTGGTTGTGACTGGGTCCTATTACTTCTTAGAAGCTATGCAGGGAAAGTTTTCCTCCAGAGGGTCTGAGAGGCAATGGTGGGGGTGAAGGGAGGCATCCTAGACTTGGTTCTGACCAACAGGGAGGATCTGGTGGATGATGTCCAGATTAGGGGCGCTCTGGATGAGAATGATCCTATGCTTTGAGATCAGGGGAACAGGAATGAACATTAGGTCAAGTACTAGGAGATGGGACTCCTCAATGGCCAACTTCATTAAATTGAAGGCCAGGCTTAAGGAAGTCTCCTGAGAGAGGGTCCTGGAAGGCAAAGGAGTTCAGGACTGGTGGATGGCTCTAAAAAGGGAGGTCTTGGAAGCTCAAGTCTTAACAATACAAAGCAGACTGGCATAGGATGCAAAGGGAAGTGGTGAGAGGGGTTAGAAGGAAGAGGGACCTCCGCAGAACATGGACACTTAGGAAGTAGGAAGAAGAAGGGGAGACAGGCAGTGGGACCATTTAAAAGGGAGAGAGAGAATGTGGTAACTGATGTAAGGAAACAGACACAGATGTTAAATGATCGTTATTCTTCTGTGTTCTCTCCAAAGTGGACAGGGGGAAATCTACCTGGGAGGCTATTTGAGGTTGGGGTTATGGGGGCACAGATTGGGGTCACCTCTCTATAAGTTGAGTAGCTCTTCAGGGCCCTGGATGTTACAAAGTCACTTATCCCTGATGGGCTACACCCAAGGGTACTTTGAGAATTGGCAGAGGTACTCTCGTATCTGTTGGCATTCATTTCTGAGGCCTCATGGAAAATGGAAGAAATTCCGAAGAATTGGAGGGTGGCATCAATGGTTCCAGTCTTCAAAAAGTGTAGCAGATGGGATATCGGGAAGTACAGTCGCATACTCTCGGGTGTAACCCATGAGGGCCTGGTGCCTTTGTAACGTCCAATGCCCTGAGGAGCTCCTCAACTTCTGGGTGGGAGGAGTCTAATCTGGCCCCCTAAATCCCCGACCTCGTCCAATCCCCCATGCAAATCTCCCCCATCCTGCTTTGGGGAGAACACAGAGGCAAAATATCATAGAGTCAAATAGAGTGGAGCCGGGTGGAGCCAGGGGTCAGAGTAGATGGTCTGGGAGACCCCCCCCCCCCTTTTGGGTCACTCTGTTGCTATGGTTATTAAATCCACTACCATGTAACTCAGGCTAGATGTACCTGGTGGTTTGTAAAGCCAGTGTGGTTGGTGTAATGGATAAAGACTGGTCTTTGGAATATTGGACTTCAAATCCCCAATCTAGATATTGGGCTAATCAGTATTTCTAAACCGGATCAGTATTTCTAAGGCTAAAATGGGGTGAAATCTTTGTACCAGTAAGTTCCTTGAAAAAAGGACAAGATGTAAATGTGGAACAAATGTTTACACCAAATTAACCTTTTATCTGGAAAGCCCTGGAAGTAACTTGTTTCACCAGAACAACTGACCTAAGGTCTGAGCCAACTCTCTCTTTATCAGGCTGATTTCTACTTGGCTTGTCTGGGGCTTAAGCAAGTTAGGCCAGGATTTTTTTTTATTTTGCTCCAGTTCAGTCTTAGGTCCACTGGCAAAATGCATGCAATTAAAAAAAGTTTCATTAAAACAAACTTCGGGGGGGGGGGGGGGAGGGAATGATCCTTAGTCTCAGTAATACATGCATTCTCATATTTCTCCATCTTGTTTCCATGTAGGAATCTGATGGTGGAGTTTATTGTGACTATAGTAACTATTTACAGGTCATTCCTTCGTGTTATGCTCCAGCTCAAGGATCCTTTCATCCAGGCATTTTACCACTTACACCTCAAAACCCACTGAAGGTAAGGGGAATAAATAAGCACACGGATTTCTGATGCAGCCTACATATTACATTATACATTATGGATGGCCAGCCTTTGAACATGAGGCTTTGTGTATTTTTACCCATTGCATAAATGAGGAATTTGAACAGCTGTTCTTCAGACCCTTTGTGCTCTGAGAAGCAGCACTGGAGAAAGAATGGGATAAAAGACGAAACAATCGTTGAAATTCCTTCATCTGCATTAATGTGAAACATACAGGATTGCACATTTTGAAAGGTTGGGGCCTTTTCCCAGTTAGGATCTGTATCCTCCTAGACGAATGTCTTATGGGCCACCATATGCATAATGCTGCTTAAGGATTTCTTGGAATTTTTATGCAATGTGCTTGCCTTCATTCTCTGTTGATAATGGGAAGATTTCAGAGTAAACATAGCTGGTGCAACTGTTACAGTCACAGGAAGCCGCTTGTGAATGGAAAGGCTCCTTCTAGCAAGCTTTTGATCTAGTGGAGCTTTTCCAAGTGGGTAGATGTGGGAGGAGATAATTTTGGCAGATTTTATGTTCACTGAAAACATAAGTGGTGCTCCAGAGGGTTGGTAAATACTCTGACAGTAGGAGGCTGGTACTGGGGACTGCAGAGGGAAAGAGTGGCAAAATCATCTACTCTTCATTTTTGACACCAGTTGAATTTCACTTGCGGTTCTCCTGAAAATGGAACAAAACTCCAGATCTAATCTCATCACATACTTGGCAGGGCAAGTTATGTTTAGAGAGCAGCATAGCATTTTTACACAAAGCAAAATTCAGCCATGTATAAAGAACTGTACATTGTCATAAATGACTTTTACAATTTTTAGATGGCACCTATAGGAAATGAAAAGCAGGGCTCTTCATACCTCATCAGCACCCCAGAAGATGGTCGAGTGGACTATCTTAACCAACAAGCTCAGGGCTCCATGGTACATTATGCAGAATTATATCTTAAAAGGAAACGTGTATATTAAGATCATGCTCAATGTCAAAGCCACTTCATATCCTTCATGTCACTCATATCTTTCACTTTTGATACGTATTGCAGATTTTTTTTTAAAAAAAACCCAATTCCATATAGGAAATCCATTTTTAAGTAAATTTCTGTGTAACAAGTATGTGGGTATGTGTTGCAATCACTGTTATACTCGAGACTGGTTTCTATCTGTAGGATGGAAATTAAGTTTCTTAAAGAAATGGCAGCTTTGTGGATTGAGAATTTCTCTCAAAGCAATAAAATAATATGGAGTGAATATTTTCTTGAAGCGTTGCTTGAAGTTGTATTATTAGTCTTAAGAAAACAATCATGCAGGTGTTCTTCAACTTCTTTGAGGATTTAGGTTCTTGGCTGCAAGGCATTCATGTTTAATCCTTTCTTCTGACATTTGAGAATACTTTCCCATTATAGGCTGGGGCTTGCATGATAAATTACAGCCCAGTTAGTATGATAGGAAGAGTCCAAGTACTAAAGTTCAGTCTGCTTAAAATTAGCCAGATCATCTTCAGATCAAGTCATGGATCTTAATGTAGTCATGTCTCTGAAAGTGGTAGTAGGCTAGGAAACTATCAACAAATTTTGATCTTATTTAAAAAGCTGATGCTGGTGATACAAGCATGCATGACATTTCTGTGAAAATATCAGATTAATCGTAGGCTCATCACTGGTCTACAAATTTTGGGAAATTATCAACCTCTTAGATTAAAATGTGCTAATTCTTACATATTTGATTAGATGAATTAGCCAACTACTCCATTCTATACCTTTATTACTGTTTTGGACTTCTAAACCTGCCTTAATGTAGGAAGGGAAAGCTAAGAAAGGAAAAATCAAAGGAAAAAAATGTGGATTGACTGAGTGATCCCTCAAACCTGTCAGAGTTGCTTGTGATAGTTTGTGTAGCAGTCCCTTGCAAAAGTATTTCATAGCTGAAGCCAGTGATCACCACTTTGTTTGTTCTTGAAAGTGGTTGCAATCTCAAGGAGGCTAGAAAATTCAGTTCCCAGAGCTAATACTGGCCTATAGTACCGATCAGAGATTACATCTTTCTCCCCAGCCCTGGGATGGGAGGAGAAAGCTGCAACTTGATCACTATGACTTGTTGCCTTCTTCCTTCCCTGTGTGTGCTTGGCTATCTGAAGGGAGAAGAGTTCTAGAAAGGCCTCTGATGGCTCGTCAGTCTGAGCTACATTTCCCCAGTGTGTACACAGACCAAACATGCAACATAATCAACATAATTTTTTTTCTTTGAGGTGAAACCAGGTAACTGTGGCATCAGGGACAGTAGTCTACCACATTGGCTTCATATGTGTACCTTATCTATTTTCATACTTATGGAGTTGATCACACCCCACATTCTGCATTGTGGGAAGGGTTACCTAGGTTTGGTTGGATAGTTATTGCATAGGTCAAAGCCAAGACAGTTGTGAAATAGCAGTGGGAGTGGATGTAGGAGAGACAAATGGCTTTGGTACCACTATTGGAGGAAGGAGGACTGAGCCATCACCTTGAAAAAAATCAGCTGCTGGCTTAGAAATACTTTTAATAGAAACATTCATAGATAAAATCTTTATTTTGTATAAAGAATAACAAAGTGCATATAACAGTCATATTATTGGATTACAGCAAAAACAGGCACTACTTAAAGATAGCTCTTAACTGAACAAAATATTCAACAATTACAGTTCTTGTTTGATTTTGATTACATTTTACATTATTGCAATCATGAATACTTCACATACAGTATTTGACTTTAGTTAAGAGCAGGCTCAAAGTAAAGAGAAATTATTTGAAACAATGTCCATCATATACTTTCACCTAGTGACGAGTGAATCCACATATGGGAAATTTATAGTTTAGTTACTTGTGAGTTATGGCTCCAATCTAGGGATAAATATAAGGACTACTCTCTTCATTAGAAGGGGAAAGGGGAAGAAAAGGCCAGACCAGACCACTTTATGGGTTGGGTTCAGCCTAATCATGCTTAGAGTAGACCATTGAAATTGAAAGATCTTGAGTTAATCACAAATAATTCTTTCACTTAATTTTAACAAAGCAATGAATTTAGTCTAAGAATGACTAACACTCAGTTCAATGCAGTGTCTCCCTACTTCCCCATCTGCTGTTAAGTTATGATCAACTATTTCTTTATAGTGCAGGAATAATGTACACATTTCTATGGTGTGCTTTATCTCTTACAGCATCCTCCCACAAAGTGTGCTGGTAGCCATGGTGAATTTCATATGCGATACCTTCACGCTCAGCTCATCCTTATGTATCTGCCTTCAAAAGACAATGAAAAGCTAGCATTCTGGTTGTTTGACAATATGCTACATGATAATAGCCCAAAACATTGTCAAGCACTAGTCAGTGTATTCCTCAGTTCTCTTACATTAGAATCAATTTCCCCATCACACTTGGTAACAAACATTTGCTGTATATGAGGTGGATTTCTCTAAATCCCACACTGTAAGATAAGGACACAAAACTTCCATTAATAACAGAAATTCTCATAGCTATTTAAATTTTTTTCAGGAATCAAAACTTGTTATAATTGTCTCTTGGCCATGGTATAGTTTCAATAGGCTGAACACCGCTCTTCCAAAAACAAGCATGTCAAAATCAGATAGACAATCTTTGACAGCATGCCAAGCAACAAGCTTACAAAGCTATACTGCAAATGAGGAACATTCTTTTTTTTAAAGAGAACTCAATAAACGAAATATTAAAGATTATCATAGAGAAATCTTCTAGAAGTTTTTAACTATACAAAGGACCTTCCCATATGATGGTACATTCAGATTTTAATGAATTTACTATGGGCAGTTTACAAATGCAAGAAATGTACCAAGAGAAGCAAAGCTTAGAATCCAAACAGCTACTTTAGGTTTGTTTGACAGCTTGGACATGCCTAGTAGAACTGTGAGGAGCAGGAGAAGGCAGGGCGGACCTCGAAAGAAAAGGGGAGAGGAGGCTGGAGGTGAAGGCTGCGCACTTCCTTCTGTTCGCAAAATAGCCAAAGTGCTCCATTTTAAACGTTTGCTTTTCACATTTTCCCCTCTGGAACAGTTGGCACTGATGCCATAACAAATGCTTTGGGACGTTAATGCTAGTTCATGATGATTCACCATGTTAGCATGAGATGACAAATGTTTGAGGAAAAGAAGGCCAATGGCCCCCTATTTCTGTTAAAATACTTGAATGCTTCAAGAACTAATCTTGCATTCCAATACAATTCCAAATGTTAAAGACAGTCAGAAAACACCTGCCAGTTCATTATACTTTGTTCAATAAATGTCACCATCGCTCAGTCATGGTGCTGTTCTGCACTTTTTGCTTTTTTAGCCCAACATGATTTGAAATGCATAAAGGGAAATAAGTAAAAGCCCTGGGGGTATGGCTTTCAGAACAATTTATGCTGAGTCAATACCACTGATGCTGCAAGTTTCTCTTCTGAAACACCGATCAGATTCTAAATGGTAGAACAATGAAGTGGCACAGATATTGAATAGTGAACTGCTCAACATTTTTCTGCTGCTTTGTTTTAACTACTGAGATCCAAGGGTTTACTATTCAAATAGGAATACTCTTGGACAGAAGATACCCTTTCAAACACGGCATTACCACAGTACAAAATTACAACAGGTAATAAAGGTAATATATTTTCCAACTATTTAAGGGTAACAGTATAAAACCTCTGGATTACATCTTGTTTATAAGTGCTTCAAACCCTTGAATCAGATTGTGAAAAGGTGTCCTCTCCGCTGGGTCTTGCACCCAACACTTCCTCATCAGTTGGTTAACCTAGCAAACAAAAGGTAAGTAGCTGTGGGTTACAAAGGGATTTCAGATAGCTCTTTTTCTGTTCATAAAGTGAGTCAAATCCAGCAGAGGTTTCCCATGTGGACTAAGAGGGGAAGTAGAAGTGGGAGGTGATGATTTAGCATTTGTATTTTACTCTTTTTCTCATTGCCACCAGCTCCCTTGGGGTCCCCAACCTCACTCAATAGCTTTTCAGAGGCCGCAAGGAACAACGGTTTTCCCACTTTTAACTGCAGACATGTAAATAAAATGTTGCTCTCCACAACTATGAATCTAGCCCAGAAAGTATTTACTTTTTATCCAGACAATGAACTAGTTTACATGTATAGGTAGTAAATCATGGGTCAATTTAATCCATGATTTGTCACAGTGGCTGCTGGGCTTATGGGAGTAAGGTCCTCTTCAAAATCCGTAAGTGGTTTCAGCATGATGTTGGGATTAACTTTAAGGGACGAGCATTGTGGGCAGTGATAGCTTAAAGTACAGTCTAAAATTTCAAATTTAGCCACCAGATTCATTAAGTCAGGAGTCACAGCTATATAGTCTACTGTACTAGCCCTGCCAGTCCCAAGATAAGTATAGGTCCTGCCGGTTAGATCAAAACAAGTGTCATGGAGTACATGGAAATTGGACACAGACAGAAGTTTCAAGAGATTTAATCCATACTTGTCTATTACTGAATCCTGTGAAGATTGATCTAGAAAATGGGCATTCATGCCATTTCCTTCCTCAAAGACACCTGCTCCTACCCTGATTCCCTGAAAATAAGACCTAACCAGAAAAATCATCCCTAGCATGATTTTTTAGGATGCTCATAATATAAGCCCTACCCCAAAAATAAGCCCCAGTTAAGATCCTCAGCCAGACAGACACATTGCAACACAATTCAGGGTTCAAAGAGTTATGACAATGTTCCAGAAGATGACATGACTGTATTTGAATAAATGTAGATATTTTACATGAAGAAATGTAGATTTTTGTACACGAATAAATGAATTAATGTAGATTGTTGTACATGCAAAAATAAACCTGAAAATAAGTCCTAGTGCATCTTTTGGAGCAAAAATTAATATAAGACCTGGTCTTATTTTCGGGGAAACACAGTATTCTTACATTAAAATCCCCACATAGAATAAAATGCACATATGGGAAGTGAGATATTAGTGAGTCTAACATATAGACATGTCCCAGTCCTAGATTAATTAACCCATGTTTTGTCAATATTATGTGTGAACAGGCCCCTTTTACATGATCTCTCACTCACTGGAGATAACATGTACTAATATCAGCCAGCAACTGGATTATGAGCAACTTTTCCACTAACAAGTATTCATCCAATCTGACAAATAAATATGCATGAAAGAAAAAAATCTTTCAAAGAAAAAAAATCTTCCTTACATATTCTCTTTGCAAGATTCAATATCTGATAAGCAGTTTTAAAGCACTCATAATACCAACAGTTTGCAAAAGTCCAGTGACACATGTTCAAATCAATAAAAGACCAAAGTACAATCTAGATATGTTCTAATGGGTACAGCCAAAAGGAAGTATATTTTAGCTTAAAGTTTTTGTTTTATGGACCAAAAGCCATTTGAGTAACATAGGAAAAATGCAAACTACAGTGGTACCTTGGCTCACGAACTTAATCCGTTCCATGACTCTGGTTGTGACCCAAATTGGTTGTGACCCAAGTCAAACTTCCCCATAAGATTCAATGTAAATAAGGTTAATCCGTTGTGGCCCCTCCGAATGTGGCTGTGAGCCAGTTTTTGGTCGCGAGCCAAGCCAAATTTTCCCATAAGGTTCAATGTAAATAAGGTAATCCGTTCTGTAACTATTTTTTTTTAAATCAGAAATTTTGAAACAAAGTGACAAAGAACAACAAAGTAACAAAGTACTGTACAGTACAGTGGAGAACATAACCTAGGTGTGTGGGGGGGGAAGAGATTATTGTTTTGAGGGAGAGTCCCCCTCCATAAGGACATTGGGGAGATCTCTTTCAGGGGTTTCCTCTCTTTGTCTCTTAGCTGCAGGGCCAATTTTGGTAAAAAAATCTGTCTATAGTCACTTGTTTTTTCCTGCGCTGCATAACCCTCCAGAAATGAGAGACCACGTTATTGTTCATCAGAGTCAACACTCTGTTCATTACATTTATGTTGGAGTGGTGCTTCTCAAAGAAACCCTGGCATGGGCATGCTCCTGCAGGAAAGATGGGCGCAATCTCGCAATCCCAAGTGGGGAGATGGCCAGAATCGCAGTTGCGTTCATGCAGGGAAGACGTGCGTGATCACAGGTGCAGGAAAGATGGGCACAGCACAGCACAGCAGTGATCATGCATGTGTTCCCTGCATGAATGCGACTGCAATCATAGCTATCTCCCCACTCGGTGGGGGGGGGGGAGATGGCTGCGATCTTGGTCACCACCCAAAGTGGAGTTTGTGACCCAAGTCAAAATTTTCATGAAATTTTTGTTTGTGACCCAAGGAACCACTGTATTTGTTCAACAGTTACATCCATTTAATGTAATATCAACTTTGGATCTCCCCTGTTACTCCATAACGTCCATATACATTGATTTAATCCCATATCATTAAAAGAGACTGAGCTTTCTTAAAATTGAATATTATTGTCACTTCAGCTCTTAGTTTAGGCTATCTCAAAACAATGAAATTAAACACATTAACAGTACAGTTGCGTGCTGAGAGTGGTAGGACTATGTTCTATTGAAACTTGGACAGGATGATGCTTTAAGGTATAATCTTAACCATTTTTATTTGAAATCACAGGACACAAATCATAACTCTGCCAAAGCCCTGCTGAAGTCCACAAAGGTTCATTTGTAAGGCTCTAGAAAGTGTATGAAAAGGAAACCTGGAAAGACTTTTAACTCATGCTACTCTGGAATTTCCACAAGATCAAGAGTCTCCTGACCTCAACAATCAGTCTTAGGATTTTTTAAACAGCTCTGACCAAGTTGTGATTAGTGCCAATGAATCTGATGAAAAATAAATGAATGTGTATAGAACGGTTAAAAAAAAAATCATTAATAGGGTACTTATTTAGACAGCAAAAAAGAAAGCAAAAGAAGAAAATATATCAACAAGAGCAAACTTCGAGAAGAGAAGCGGTTTCCTGTGCGAGTCCAGAACCCCAAGCAGATGGTGATTCTCCTGTGACAGCACATACTGATAACAACCAATTGTTTAGCTCTTACCTCTTCTGGGCAATTTTTAGGACATGGCAAGCGCTTGCCATCTGCTAATAGGCGCACAAGCCGTGTGACTGTCATCTGCCCCTGAGTTGGACCAATCATCTTCAAGAATTCCTATACATTATGAAAAATACATGTTTAACATTCCATCCTCCATATTTGGCTTTCAGATACTTTGCAGTCTTATCCAGTATTCCCCATTATTAGCCATGCTGACTGGCTCTGATGTGGCCTGATACCCAAAACTTCCCGAAAGAAAGGCTATTTTAGGGTGCCTAAAAGTCTTAAAAACAGCAATGACACATTCTCATAATGTAAAGAACTAGCTGTAACATTTGAGAGGCTAGCTGGATAAAAATGTTTCCATCAGATGAAATGTGGACATCCTTTCATTTTACCCAGCTTTTCAATTTCTTACAGTGAACTGTATTCTCTGTTACTTAAGTTTATGCAGCACAGCTGCCATGAAATCTGGCCAACCAAGAACCTCCAGTGGAAAATCATACATATGTTGATACTTGTATTTTGGAGAAGATTCTGAATAATACGTTAATTATGTCAATTCATAGAGCTGTACTAATGTACTAACTAATTCCTTTCACAGCTACTTACTGCCATTGGACTGCACTCAGAGTCACAGTAGGTCAATAGTTCATAGAGGGTCACTCCAAAGGACCAAACATCTGAAGCAATATAGAATTTGCTCTGCAGTAAGCATTCAGGAGCATACCTGTGGATGTGTACAGTGGAGTTTGTTTGTCTTTGGTAGAACAGCTGCACAAAATTCATAACTGATTGTACATGGTGAAATACTGAAATTCTGAGTAGTGGTGCTAAGAACATCACAACAGACAACTAGGATAATTCCAGACAAACTGGTTTGCAGCCCCCTTATCTTTTACACAAAATTATTATTCATTCATGAATTAAAAATAAAAGATGATCAATAATGTTGACAAAATATCATACAAAGCCACTTTTAGGAAGTAACTAAAGGCCATTTCACATGATTGCCCAAGCACTTCCTATGCCTAAATACCAATGGCATTATAATGTATGTGCTAAATACAGATTGCCTGCATGTTTGTAGGAATACATAATCAAAGAATCACCTGTCCAAGTGAAACTGAGATTGGAATAGGCAATGCAATAGCCTGTTCTTGTCTATACCACATATTCAAGAAATTGGGAGGGTTCACAGGTAACATCAATCCATCATGGCAATTTGCCACTATGGATTGGCTGTTCATGCATCTCACCCACAGGAAATCCAACAGATGATTGGGCTCATCATTGTTAGGTTGCTTCCTCCTCCCTCACTTTTTTCCTTCAGTGCTCCAGGTGGTATCCAGGGAACACTTTGAAAGGAATGCGTCTTCCCTCCCCCAGGATGTCAAGCCATTTTTGATTCAATATGGCTTTATGTCACTTTAACTTCTTTGTGGGAGCAGGGGGAAGATAGTGAAAGCCAGTTTTATGGCAAGCTTCCCTGAAACAATGAGTTATCCTTTCAAAATGTCCCAGCAGCACTTCAGGGGGCAAGGGGAGAGATAACTATGGCTTCCCATTTCTTTCTCCAAGTTGGGAACACAAATATGTTACCAAAATAAGTTAATCCTGTTTTTTTTTAAATGCACACATTCAAATAATGGACTTCTTCCGAGGAGTGGGTGGCTTGCAAACCTCAGCTCAGACAGCTTCGGTGGGGCGGGGGGTTACCCACTGTCATGGGCAGAAGGTACTCACCCTGCATATTGCCCAGCAGAAGAATGAAAACCATTAACTACCCCTTTCCTCCTGAAGGTGACTTGTCCTGAAACTCCCCACTTTTCAGCAAGATCCTCAACTTTTCCCATTCTCTTGCTTTAGTTTGCAATTAAGAAGTCACTATTGTAATTTCCTCCTGACCATCTAGAGATTTGAGGAAGTAAAAAGTGAGTTTCCCTGCCTTTCTTCTAGGGAACCAGAGCATGATAGATGCCTGTCAAATTCTGCATCACTTTAAAATGGGGGTTTCAAGGGAGGCCATGGGCATTTAGACTGGGATATATTCGGGGGTGCTTTAGCTCATACACATACATACCCGGAAGTAGGTCCCAGTACAAATCAACCCAATTTCTGTTCAAGCCCCCATTTTAAAGAGACCCCAAGTTTTGACAGGGGCATGTTGCACTGTTTCCCTTGGGAAAAAATGCAAGATTCTCAGCACATAGGTTCTCCCAACTGACTGTTTGGAAAAAAAGAAAATTAATTCAGGGTAACCCCAGCTGCATTAGTACAACATGACAACTAACCAATGACAGGTGACCATGGATGGCTTATGGATGTGCAAACCAGGTCATTCTTATGGAGTTAAATTTGCCTTTACTGATTGATTTCAAAGAACATGTATGACTTGGGCCTCATAGCCATATTGTATGCATCAATGGTACAGAGACGGGCTCATTCAGTTTTAGCTGACACATCTTATCCTTTCAATAACAACAAAGTCCATTTCTTACCAGAACACGGGACTGTCTCGATCATCATTGACTTTGTAGTATTCCTTATCAGTCTCAATTGTTTTGGTTAGTCCAAAGTCACCAATCTTTACTCTCTGCTCATTTTCAACTAGAACGTTCCTTGCTGCTAAGTCTCGATGAACATACTGTCGAGACCCCAGATAGTCCATTCCCTGATGGGTAAAGAAATGCACACAAACATTTCAAGCTTATTTCATTCTCTTCTAATGACTGGCCTTGCTTTTAGTTCAATCACCACTATACCAAATTTTCTTTTGTTAGTGATTCAGCACTAAATGGCCTAAATTGTCCAGAAAACCATTTCAGTTTTAGAACGGAAACCTTATGCCGAATGTCCAATTAAAAGCCATATTTTTGCTGCAAGTGGTTTAACAAAGCTTGTTTTAACACAAGTAGGGCCAGTACAAGGTCTCCAACTTCATGTAATCCTAAAGTTCAACTTTCACCATAAAATTCATTCATAAACATAGTAATGAATGTAAAACCAGGAACTTGAGCAGAGAAGAGGTAGACTACAAAAGCAGTTTGGGACTTGGTCATCTGAAAGATTATACACACATGTACCTGCCCTGCCCACACCATAAAATTGCCCTGCTTTCGAACTTAGACTGATCATGTTTGCAGGTACCATGGACAGGGCAATTTTAGTAGTGGCCCCACACCTATGGGATTCCGTCTCAAAATATGGCATGGCCTCCTCTCTTGAAGCCTTTCCCTCATTTCTAAAGACTTTTGTTAATTGTATTGCTATTTCTTGCAGTAGATTTTAACTCGTATTTTATTATATTTTTCCAATTGTTTTGTTTTTGATATTTTTATTGTAAGCTGCTTCATGAGGGCTTGCCCTAAAATGAAGTGAAGAAACAAAGATTTTTCAAAGGTTCACAAGGTCACTCATGAATAAAGGTTTCAAAAAGCTATTATGCTACACTGAACTTATTAATTAAAATGTAAGATACTAATGTTAACAAATTAAAATAAGAACAGAGTTTACCTTGCAGATTTGTACGGCATATTTCAATTGTTGTTTCAGACTGATCTTGCTCTTGTTCCGTGGGAGATATTCCTTTAGGCTTCCAGAAGGAAGGAACTCCATTATAAGCTTAATTCCATTTCCACCTTTGAACAAGGAATTCATAAATTAACTTAGAAATTCAATATCTTTAAGTACTTTAAATGTTTCCCCTGGATAGATGCTTCATCCAGTATTTACATACTTCTTGGCATTACAAGATCAGGAATGCTTCACACATTAATTGGAAAAGGAAAATTACTGTTTTGCATGCCAGCCACATGCTTTTCCAGCAGCTACTACATTAGGAGAGGAGATACATCTGAGAGTGCCCAGAGACAACTGCAGTTTCTACATGTATACTTACTTGTTTCCAGACATAACACTATGCTCTACATATTGCGGTAAATAATATAAAATGGAACTTGCTTTTTTCCTGTATCTTATAAAGTAGTCCTGAGATTTGGGCATTTTTGGTTCTCAATCTTATTGAGCAGTCCTGTAGATGGAGCCCCAGAACACAACTACTAGATTAGAAATGTCACAGTTAACTACTGCAGGAAAAACAAAAATAATCCAAGACACTTGAAATCTGTGTTACTCTTCTAACTAATTATTATGTCCTCAGCAATGCAATCCTATGTACCTTAACTTGGAAGCAAGTTCTCTTGCAGTTTGCAAGATATAGGATTGGTGTGCTGCAAGTGTAAGTTTTCAGAATGAGTTTCAAAGCACAGCAAACAGAACTGCTGGACTTGAATGTCAAGTTTACATTAATTTCAAAAAAGTATAAAAATGACTTTTAGAATTAACATTTTAAAATCAGCATTTTCTTCAACCTGAAAGGTTTCCGGCTAATTCCTTCTTTCAATTCATAAATTCAGCTGCTTCAGCAGAGCAACTGCTCTCAGTGCACCTGTGCCAGATGAAAGACCATAAGATAAGCAGCTGGCATGGCTTCTTTACCCTCCCTGGAAGGGTCCCTTCCTCCTCTTAGGAAAGGAAGGAAGGAAAGTCCATCTGCATATATTTTCCATTACTAGGCAGGAGTATGTTTGCGGGTGGGGGGTAGATGCCAAGTGTAAACCTGCTGCAGGAAAAGCAGCCCTAGGCAATATCAGATAGTTAACAGGCACTGATTATGAACACCATGTAAAAAGAAAAAAGGGAAAAGGACCATCTTTTCAATGCAAATTGGCTTTTATTCATATGATCGTTATTCTTTTAACTAATTTGAAAAAAAAATTCAGCACCCACTATACCAATTTGATATTCTCATGTTGTGCTGAAACTCCTTTTGAAGTTCAAATTTATACAGGTACAGGCTTGGTGCCACCATCCCACAAGCTCCCTACTGCATTGTTCTCTTTCTTCAGAATGAACACAATTGCAGTAACAATGAAGGATGAGCACCACATCCTCCATTAAGCCTCCAATTGCTCCCAGAGCAGAAGTCCAGCCCAAGATCCGTGAAAAATTAATATTTAAGGGCCCTGATAAACTACATATCCTAGAGGGGCTGGGATATTGCTGGGACTGAATTCTGTATAATAGAGAACTTGGTACTAGATTCAGAATCTATTAGAAAAAGCAAGGAAAGTGGTGGTAAGGTCACTGTAACTGGATCTAAAATTTGTAACTGGACTGGAACAACAGAATTTACTGAAAATATTTGGTTTTAGCTGACCTCCTGAGCTGGAAGGAGGGGCTCACCCATCCCTTGCTATGCCAGCACACTTTGACTATGAGCATGGTTGAGCCATGTCCACTGGTTTTATTGCTAAAACTGAGCAGCCGGTCTCTCATTTAATAAAACTGTTTGGGGAAAGGAATTAATATTTAAATAAATTTAAGACACTTAAACATTTTCAGTTACCATCTTCAGTGCAGATTCCTTTGTACTTTACAATGTTTTCATGATAAAGGTTCCTCAGAATTTCAATTTCTTTCTTGAGGTCAGCAATATGGTTCCCACCACACTCAGGCTTCAATGACTTTACTGCCACTTGTTCTCCTGTATTATCACCTTCAGGATCATACCTGCAGAGCTCAACTTTGCCAAAATGACCCTGATTGTAAGAGAGAGAAAAACAGCTACTTCATATGATAACCAGCTTTTACAGACTTATTTTGCAAAATAAGCTACCCAATTAGAATATGTTTTGATTATTTGTACTCAGCCACCACCTCCACTATTTGAAAGATCTATAGAAGATGAATGGGAATCAAATAGTCTTTTCTTTTACACAGGCTGAAACAATATATACTTCATTGCTTTAGTTCAGGTGTCTTCAACCTTTTTGGAGCCAAGGGCACATTTTAAAAATTGAGAAACTGAAATGGGCAATACTACAAAATGGCCCAATCAGCCCCCCCCCCCAAAAAAAAACTTTGCCAAGAATCTGAGTACAAGGCAGAGCTTGGATATGAGCTCCAAAACAAAAAAACAGGCTTTTGTACCACAGTTTTCTGCTCTAACACCCATTACAAAGAGATAGGTAGCCTGACCAATAAACTGAAGTATGAGGTTGAAGCCCCCTATACTGAACTACATATTTGATCATTCCACCACCCCCACCTTTAAGGCTGTTTGAGCAGGTGGCTGAAAAGCAAAACACCCACTCTCATTCAGTTGCCCTGCCATCTTGCTTTCCTTCCTACAAATAGCACATTAAAAATAAGAGGAGAGGATAGAGGAGCAGGGTAGCTGGGGGCCTGTGCTTCTTTTCCAGTGTGCCTAACCTCCACCTATTGAAAAAGAAAATTGAGACAGGGGTAGGCAGCATCTGCAAACACCAAGTGAGCTGGAGGAGTGCCAGCTGGCACTATCCTGGAATTTCAGATTTAGTGAACCTGTGACCCAACTACTCCACTCGTGCTTTATTCTGATAGATTAACCATTGCCACATTTCAGCTGTTTCTTGCACGCTCCCTGGAACCAGCAAGGATATATAAAGCAATAATCTATCAGAGTGTCAATAAGCTTGCATGGAATGCTTTTGTTCACTGAAGAAATCACTACAAACAAACTTGGTGGGCTTACAGATAAGAGAGAGAGGCTTCAGTCTTTACACATTTCTTGTCAAACCTAGCAAGTGCTTTTCCTTCATACAGGACTTCTCAAGGACCATGCAGCTATCAATAGCATTCACATTCATTTCTATCGTTCTGCTTACAGCCAAACACAGTGCCAACAGAATTTGCTCTCAAGAAGCACTTTTGAAACAAGAATGAGCAGCATGATGAATGATTTCACACTAAAAATGCAGTTGCTATGTTTTGACATACTGTCGCTGCAAACCTTGAAGGGAAGGGATATGTTCCATGTAGCACCTCAAACAATACTGACCCGAAGCTTTAATAAATATTAACATACCTCGCCTAGGTCCCGAATCCGCTTCAGAAAACGTTTTTCAAAAATGGTGGGATCAATCTCTGCATTGGGTTTCTTCTCAGACACAATATCAGGATCTTGCAGAGATAAGAATAGCACAAGTGAGCATTCAATCTTGAATTTTCATGTGGGCTTTACTACATATATCACCATCTTGCCTAATATGCTGTTGCATGTGCAGATGGTGTGCTTAGCCTCCTTCCCCCACCCCCATGTACCAAATGATGAAAACTGTTGCTTTTTCTTATATGATGTGAAATTATTTCAGAAAGGATGCCATTCATACTAGGAAAAGGGTAGAGTTTGAGGGCACAGAGCAAAAGCTACCTGTTCAACTCTGAAATTGAACAATAAGCCTCTTCTTACTGTGGGTTAGAGTGGGTGGCAACAAGAACTGCAGCACCAGAACTGTGGGCAGGATGGCTTAAAGTTGCTCCCCACTGTATACTAAGAAATATGGAAGGTGGAAGTTATTCTGTAGTTGTAGCATAGGCAAAAAGATATTGATCCAGTTTGCCCTTCATGAACTGCCCAAGGTTTGTTACTTATGAGTTTCTGAAACTGTAATGGGAGCATGCATGCATGCTGATTCCTGGGTGTCCATGTGCCCTATTAAAAGAAACGATCCAGGAATACCTTATCCTGGTTTGTGTCATGACATCTAAACCTAGAATCATGGCATGTTGGGGAAAGAAGAACCCAGAATTTGAATCCTGTGAGCTTCCCAGCAATGCAGACTTCTAGGTCTGGGCATGGTGACTGAAGAGACAGATCATCCTTTGGTTGTTTATCACAGTGAGAGCAAGTGGCTAGAATATAGCTGAATTTATTCATGAAGATATATACATGAATTTGTGCCTGTTATCAAACCCTGGGATGTTGCCCAAGTGTGATCCAGGTCATAGAAAAGTGAAGCGGTGAGGCAGAAGTGGATAGTGTTGTTTTCCTCACAAACCATGTTTCCTTTGCTGTTGACACATAAAGATTTACTCTATGTAGGTGGTAATCCAGGACAGGATCTGTCTTTGGAGCTTAACATAGAAATCTACCATAAAACAATTTCTGAATAGTAGGCACCTTCCCTGCCTCCGAACAACTGCACAGTAGGATTTTTGCCATCAAGGTGCTGGCATATTCAGGTATCTCAAAGAATTCAATTAAGCAAAGAAAATTTATTTACTACCACATGGCTAAGAAAACAGGCAAAAAATCCTTACTTTGTTCTTCTAGTTTGTTGATATCTCGCATAATTGCCCTAAAGAATGGTCTCTGATTAGGGTCATAGTGCATGCATTGCTTCATCAGATCAGCGAGCTCCTTGCAAGATGGGACTGGAAGTGTGAAATGCCCTTCATAAAACCTCTCTTTCTGCAAAATGGGATGGAAACAACTGCATTATTCACAAAAACAGGAAACATTCTTCTCTCTCATCCCAACCTATCCAAGACACTTCTACTAGTTTTCAGTAGCTAAGCTCCTATCAGTGAACCTGTGGTTTTTGCAATCGAAATCCCTTGTGTTTTCAAACCTTACTACACTTGAAGAAAAGGTCAATCAGCTTATAAATTATCCTACAAGCTTTCTATGACAGACCTAAAAGATATTTTCACAAAATAATTAAATAAGGATGCCCATCTGAAGGCCTCAAAGCCTTACCTCTGCTAATGTCTTGTCTTTAAGAGGCGTTTCTCCATTGTAGCAAATTTCCCACAATGTTGTGCCAAAACTCCACTTATCTGCAGCCACACTTAATTTTTTGGGGTCTTCAACACATTCTGGTGCAAGCCAAGGAATACGTTCAACACATTCTTTAATGAAACAAAAGGGTAGGATGCATTTTAGAGTTAATAATGGTATAGAGGGCCTAAACACACGATCTGTTTTCAAGGTTACCTTTGAAAATTAATGCATTTTCAGGAGTGACCAATAACTCAAGCATGGAAGTACAATATAAATATCTATTTCAAGGGAGAAGCTGCCTACAGGAAACAGGCCTGGGTGCAGTTATGAAGTATACATCTTCTGGTACAAAATGCTTTGGAAGGATCAACTCAAGCAAAGGCAAAGTTGTGCTTGGGATAATTAAAGATGGATTGAAAATAAAATGGCATGTATCATTACAATAAAGTGTGCAGTTCTACATGTCCCACCTCAAAAGAAATATTACAGAACTAGGAAAATGGATAATGAAAAGAATTAGGGAGCGGAAAATCTTCCTGTGAGGAAAAGCCAATACATCTGGGCCCTCTTGTTTAAAAAAGTGACATTAGAAAAAATTACAAAAATATCTGTAATGAATTTTCATTCTGCACATATATAGCTAAGGTTTTGGCTGTTACTAGCAATGTCTTCCTCTCCCATAGCCAAGCCCAAAGAGACGATAGAGCCCCCACAATGAAATATTCCAATCCATGTGCAGTTTGACTTGCTGTCCTGAAATGATACCTTATTAGAAAGTAAACATCTTGATCTTTTCTAAGCATTTTTCTCAGACTCTCTTAACGCTAGAACACAGCATCTTCTAATGAAGTTTATTGGCAGCCAGCTTCAGAATGGCAGAAGGAATTCATCAAAGGAAGTATAATTAAGTTGGGGAATTCACTACTTTTCTTTGGTTATGGTAACATTTCTAAGACCAATCTTTCGGTTACACTACTTAATAATGGCACAACTTGGAAAGAGTTGTATAGACAGCATGTACTGCTCCTAATACAGTATTCCTAAGAAATTAGTTAGATCTGACACATCCCACAGACAAAGAGTTGGCACATTGGTTATATATATTCATGCAAAAGGACAGAATTATGATTCAGGCAATAACAAAAGTTTTTTTAACTGCTCTGATAAAAATAGTTTATTATTTATGTCATTTCTGTACCACCCAATAGCCAAAACTCTATGGGGAGTTTACAAAATACATTGCAAAATAAGATATATATGCTCTATAAAGTTTTATATATATATTAAAGGATACCTTGTCTAGACAACACCATTATTGGAATTCCTGGGTCACTTAGTTTTATGAAAGGTCCGTATTCATTGTCAATTCCTTCTCTTGCCAACAATATATTTTTTGTGCACACATTTCCATGTACTAAATTTTTGTCCTCCTGCATTTTTAGAAAAATATTAGTAAGATTGTTCCAGTTGGGCTTTTCAAATACATGTTTAGAGTATCTGAAAAAATACTTAAAATAACAGTTTGCAAAACACAATGGTTTGGATCACAATGTTAAGTAGAGAAGGAAGTACAAGCAAGGAATATTTTCTATCCCTCTGCACAGTCCTGAAGGCCAGCAGCAACCTCGTACACCATCACACATGATTTATCCTGGTCCTCCAGAAGGCTTTTCAATAGGTGGAGATGACTGGGAATGGGCAAAACAAAAACATTCAGAGAATGTCCTTAACTTATTTTTGGATCTAAGGCAGGAATGAGCAACTGTAAGACCATCTACACCTGAATTCCCATGACTCTAACTAACAAAACCAATGGTGAATGATCAGGCCAAAAAAAATCTGAAGAGTCACAAACTGTACACCTCTGAAAAAGTAAGATTGCCTACATTTAATTGTTGCTCTTCAAGTGGTCATCTGTGCATTCAGACATATGGGCATTGAGCCTGCGCAGTGCCTCTGTTCAGGAAGATTCTTCTAGCTAAGCTTAGAAATTTTGGTGGGAGCCCCACTCCTTTTCCCTCTTAATATAAACAGGTGGGCACCCACCAGTTTCTCAGTCCATCTGAAGACTCACATTTGCTTTCCCTGGATCTTAACTTCCCAATTTCTAGAGGAAGGGGCAGGTAAGAAAAAGGCCACCGACACCAAGGTGAGGCCAGTGGGTGGGTGGTGTGAATGCACAGACAACCACTTGAAGAATGACAGTAAGCAACCTTACTTTCTTCTTTGTGGTCTCTGTGCATCACACATATGGGTGACTAGCGAGCCTATCAAAGAAAGGAGGTGGGAGGTGTCATCACTGAAGGATGGAGGAGTGGACAGCATGGCCAAAGGAGCAGTCTTGTCTTGCTTTCACATTGAGTCAGTTGTGGTGAACAAATGTTGATGGTGTAGACCACCTAGCCACCTTGCACAAATCATCCAGAAGTATTCCTGCATATAGGGCGGGCAATGCTGATACAGCCCTGGTTGAGTGGACTTTGGGTTGGTATGGTAGCTCTAAGTTTACCAGCTAGTATGCTAATTTGATTATTTCAACAATCCAGTGGGCCAAGTGTTTGGAGGATGTTGTCCATCCCTGGTGCCAGGGCAAGAGGCTGCCTGGCCTGGTAGGCTTGGTCGATTGGGCCCATGGCCACTTTGTCCTAGGTTGGAAGGCCATCACCCTGGCTTTCAGAAGGGTGTCCAACCGTTTGTCCATTCTGGTGTGGAAGAGGCCTTCTCCATCAAACGGAATGCTCTCAATCCTTGTAGCAGGTTAGCTGCCTGCAGCCATGCATGCCTGTGTATGGCCACTGCACTGATGAGGGCCCTTGAATCACAATCGACATTATGGTGAGCCATTCTGATTCATTGTTTTGAGAGCTGAAAAGCTTTGGTGATGAAGACTCTGGCAAGCTCTCATTGTTGATCTGGGAGGAAAGCAGCCAGTGCTTCCATCTTCTGCCACAGAAAGACCTGGTACCTCCCCATTATGGCTTTGTAATTTGAGATGTGGAGACCTAGACCCATAGCTATGTATATGTGCTGTGCCATCACATCCAGTTGGTGACCCTCTTAGTCAGTTGGTGTGGAGCATTCTCTTTGTGGCCTTCCTTGTGCGGACTCCACCTTGATGGAATTTGGGCATGGATGGTGCAATAAACAGGATATGTCTCTCTCCTGTACCCTGTTTTTGGAAAGCAGGATGTGGTTGGTTAGGGAATTTCCAGGAGTCTTTCATAGCACAGGCCAGGGTTGGAATAAATAGTATTGCTACCAGAACAGAGACCTCCGTCTGGATCACGTCATAGATCATGTCTTCATTTGGTTCGATAACCTGTTGGGCCTGGATGCCCAAGGATGTGGTCATCCAGAGAACTTGTTCCAAAAATGAACCAAGGTCCCCTGGGGATGCAGATCAGTTCTTCAGAATCTGCTTGAGAGTCAGAGTCTGAAACATAGTCCATCAGGTTGGAAGAGGACAAGCCAGCCAATGGAGAAGGAGATCTTTGTTCAGTTGCAGGCTGTGGTTGAGATTGATATGCATGGTGTCTCGAGGTGGTTAGATCCTACCTGAGTTGATGGCTCAAGTGAGGTGGTGTCCAGTGCTCTCCAGATTTATCCTGGGCTGGTGACCACGAGTAATCACACAGGTCTGCAGCCTGGTGCCATGGATAACCAGCAATGTAGTGTCCCAAGTAAGGGGGTAGACCCTAGTACAGATTCCTCCAGTACATCTAGGTCATCGGTTTGAAATTGTGTACCAAATAGTGGAGAGAGACTGGAGATCAGGTTTGAAGATGGCAGCCCTTATGGACAGGGCATCAGAGGAAATGGGTCAGGTTCTCCCTCATGGCATGCTGTGTGTACCAATTGGGCTGGAGTGATTGGAGCGACTAGAGAATTTCCCCTTCGGAGAATGAAGCTGGTCCCATCAGTTTGGTTGGATCACGGTGGATTCCGATTGAATCAGAATGGTCACTGCATGTCCAGCCAGTGAAGTTTGGGTCAATTATGGGGCTGGCACAAAAGAAGTAACTGGGGCTGCTGGGGGGCAGGCAAACCACAGTGCTCGATGGCAACTGGTTAATGGAGGCTAGGTTTCTTAGCGGGCTCGAGTCTGCTCAAATTTTTAGCCCTTTGGGGCTCTTTTGTTATGATGTGTTTCCTCTTTGTGCTTTTTGGGAGCATTGGTAGAGGCAGGTTTTTTCAAAACCAATGTGGTCAGCTTTAGTATACCTGCTGCCTTGGAGGAAGGACAGTTTTTAGCAGTCTCTTTGGAGGTGGAAGGGTGATTGTTTTCATTACCAGCAACATCCCTCTTAATGATGAGAGCCCTTTCCCACATCTTCACTTTCAGGCATCCAGCCCTATTTTTGCAGACTTGCTTAGTAAATGCCTGACAACGCAGGCATTTCTCCACATGATATTCTTCGCCCGAGCAGAAAAGGTACAATGAGTTGGTGGAAGGCATTTTAATGCCACTCTTCACACACTTTTGAAAAACCGGTTTGTGGCCATCAAGACAGCAAGAAGATTAAGTGAATAGAAGGAAGAAGTCTGAGATGAGATGTGAAAAAATGAGTGCTTAAAGTAGATAGAGAAGGAGAAAAGTCTGAGGTAAATCGACAGGAAGAATGCCAGAGATCCTGAGGCACTGCAAACTGTGGTTAAAAGCCAACTGAGAAAATGGCAGGAGCTGTTTATATTAAGAGGGAAATGGGGTGAGGCTCCTGCTAAAATTTCTAGGCTTAGTTAGAGGAATCTTCCTGAACAGAAGCATTGCACAGGCGCAGCACCCATATGCGTGATGCACAAAGACCATGAAGAACAGCCAGAGAAAGTATAATCTGCCACTGCTCTAGAATTTGCTTTGGTGTACAGCAGTACAGTTACTCTGGTGATACAGCACTGAAGGTAACATAAAGCGTGGTCACATCAAAGACTGTTTTTTCAAATGGGGATAAGGGTTACCATATAAATAATGATCACTTTCTGAATCTTGGGACAGCTTTTGGTATTTTTGCCATGTTAAATCATCTATATGAAGTTTTACTGCTTACTGGCAGATTACAATCATTATGTTACATATGAAACAGTTTTGCTTGGGTAGTCACTCCTAATCATATCACTGCGGTCAAGTCCGCAGGCTGTGACTCCTGTTTTGTAGTATGTTATGACATGATGCTTTAGTTCCAAAATGACATTATCCTTGTACAGGTTTGGTGAAACCCGAGGTTTACAGAAATACAAAAACATAATTAGAAAACAACCCCCATAGAACTGCCCAATGATAACTAAGCATGCTCTGTGAGCACGGCATAGTGACTGACTGTTGGAGGTGGAGAAAGAAATCGAACACAGTGGAGAGAAATCTGAAAAAGCTAAACCTCTCATTGTAATATTCTACTGTTATACTTAATACATATAAACTGTAGCTGTTGAGTGTTCAGTTGCAAAACTTTTGAAGAAACATGCCCCAGATCATAGTAAATTAAAACGCAGATATCATGAGTATGTAAGCATATTTGGGTTTTCAGAAGAAATATTAAATCTAAGTTTGATTTATTAATTTTATTTATTAAATTTATATCCTGCCTTTTTTAATTCCAAGGAACTTAAGGTGACTTACACAAGTTAACAATAAAACTGAAAAGGTATTTGCCTAACTTCATTGCATGGCCATTTTGTAGTCCACAAGAATTGACAAAAATAACTGCAATTGGTAGATAACATCTGGTGCTTACCAGATAGCTTAATGCACTTGCCAACTGTTTTGCTACTTTGAATTTCCAAGGAGTTGTAAGGACATCGCTTTTACGGTGCATAAAAAGATCCAAAGGCCCAAATTCAACAAACTCTTCCACCATAATGTCTGAAACCATGGAGGAAAAAAATTAGTGCCATAGGTATAGCATCTATAGTGCAGTCATCCAAGTATTTTTTTTTACCATGAATTAAAATCACACAAAATAACTGTTTTAGGAAGGCTGAATTTTAAAACATGTAATTGAAATGTTGGAAGCTAGGGGAAAAATTAGAAAGGATTTTAAGATAGGGTTGCAGTACATTCCCTTAGCAGTAACTGCTGGGGGTTTGCATACCAATGATGAACAGCCTGAAATTAGTACTGGATGGGGCCAGGACCAAAAGTGGGCCGAGCCAACATTTCTTCTTTCTGCCACCTCCTTCTTTCTTACCTAGTGGGCTACCAGGGAAGGAACAGATAGTTCTTGTTAGCTGTCTGAGCTGATTACTTTCACAGAGCTTTTGAAATTTGTCTGGGGCTGAACACTGCTGACACTTGTTCTATTGGCAACAAATATCATTTCTACTCGAAAAACTGCATTCAGAGAGAATTAACTTACTCTCTACATCACGAACACAAACTCCATGAAGAAGGACGATGTACTTGTGAGAAATTTGTCTCATCATGCTTGCCGTCTCAAAAAATGCCTAATAAAATACATGTATTTCAAAGGTTAACAAAGCAGAGATTTAAAACTGACAAAATTATGAAAGCACAGAGCAACAGTGAACATTGTCTGTCCCAAGACGTTGAAACAATAACTTTAATTTCAGGGAAGTGCATATTTTTATTACATGAGGTTGCTCTTAAATTCCACTCACAAATCAATGTAGCCTGGGCTCGTCAAAGAACTATGCCTAATGTCAAGTTCTGCAGCCACGGAAAGATCTTTGCAGTTATTACTGTCGCTATACGTAATTACAAATAACCTCAAAAGAACTGGCTGAAGGCCTGCAGAGCTGTAGCTCAGAGAACACAAGTTGTGCACATGATGAAATTACTAACTGAAAGGAATTTGTTCACTCACAGTTAAATATGCATTACATACTTCATTAGCATGTCCATGCTACCAAACATGTGTCAGCTGTAACACAGCAAGATTTGATGAATATATGTATTTCAATACATATGTCCAGTGTGAGCACATTATAGGGAGTTACAGTCTGTTGCTAGAACTTCAGTTGAATCCAAGTTTCTGAATTCCAGTTGCGAACTAGAACTAGTCAGGATCCAGTGTTAGACCAGGAGGAACAGGCCTCCATATCCTACAACCTCTGGATACAGAATAATGATGTTTGACTGTGACAAGTGTCCTGTGATATCTGGGAAGGAAATACTGATGTCTACCATCCAGAGCTTGGTGATAGAGAAGACAATGCCACTAAATAAATTTCAGACTCTGTCCCCAGTTAGATATTAAAAATGGAGAAAGTCTTGTCACACAAGCAAGTCAACTGAATTTAAAGCCTATCTGATTGAAGAAGACATTAGAATATGAGCAATCTGTCTCCTTACATAGGAATGCCTGATAAAACATTTTGAAATGAAACCTGGAATAACTGGAGCATGGATGGACATAAAGTGGTAGTAAATGATAAATAAGGGAACAATCCTAACTGCACAGCTGGATCAAGAAAAGGGATGGACATTTCTTACTACTTCTCAAGCTTGTCAGACTTCCTCTTCTCATAACACATTTCAGGAGGTAAAATGGCAAAAGCCAGTGCATCAGCAAATGGTCCTCTCCCATTGTCTACAACAAATCACTTTTCAACAATACAGGCAAACTTTAACTTCTCCAAAATAGTACAAACATAAAAATTTGCAAGACTCAATTGCCCTAGGAAGAATGGAACCCTGTAGTATTTGTTAAGTGACGTGCCCCAGTAAGCACCAATAATAGAGGAAGTTTGTCTCATGAAGAAGTACCTCTTTCTGCCCAACAATAAAAACTAGGAAATAAGAAACCCCATGCCTGAAACATTTCCTCCTCTCTAAGCAAGGAGGAAAGATTTCCTATTTTCCCCATAAGTATCTCAAGTACCAACAGAAATTTACTAGTTCTATACCTAATGGGCAATATTTGACAATAGGTTATAGTCCCTTTGAGCACAAAGAGATGAGTTCTAGCCCATCAGAAACAACTATTTAACACATGAGGCATTTATTTTGTTTACTGTAGCTTCAAAAACATTTGGATAAACTGATCTTCCACAACCTGACACCTTCCAATTGTATGGAACTACAACTCCCATGTTCTACAGCATTATGAGAATTGTAGTCCAACACATCTGTAAAGAACAAGGCGATTGGAAAGCCTGCGGCAAAATCTCACCTATATTACAAATACATGGGGGGGGGGGGGGACTTCTGCTCATGCTCACAGTCAGTCACTAAGCTTTGCTCTCCCTCTGAATGCTGATCTAATTGGAAGGATCTACTTGGATAAATAGCATGATTTTGGATGCAAAGTAAAGGGGAAGGTGTCTATCTCCTGAAAAGACCAGAATATTGGGGCAGTATTTCATAGATGCTGAAGAATTGAGCCTTAAAAGTTTTTAAGGGAGGATTTCCCCCTTCCCTCTCCTATCACCTGACAAATGCCAGAAACCTTGCGAGAATAAAAGGAGTTTTATGGCTTTGTTTTATTGTCGCCTACAAGCTGGAGTCCAAAAAAAATTATATTGCTCAAATACCTGAACGTGTTGAGAGCACAGAGACTGTCATGCTGACAAGGCAAGCAGAGCAGAGTTCCTGTTTCCTGGTGACATGGTGATTTATGAGAGAGGCATACATTTGTTTTAAATGTGTGCCATCTAGTGGATGAATGCATTGTCAACAGTCTAAACCAGGGGTCCTCAACAGGGGCCAGTTCACTCTCCCTCAGACTGTTGGGGGGTCAGACTATAGTAAAAAAAAATAATGAGTGAGCTCCTATGTACACTGCACATTAAAAATTAATTAAGATAAATTATGTTTGCTCTGCTCGCTTGAGCTGCAGCGGAAGTCCAAGATGGCATTGTGCTGCCTGCCAAAAGGGAGAGCATGACACAAGGGGGAGCCATGAGGGCACGCTCACCATGGTTAAGCCTTCCCGGCTCCTCGCTGCTTCCCCCTTTCTGAGCCAGAGGAAGGTCCCCTTGCAGGCGCTCGCCTGGCTCTGAGAGGGGAAGCAGGAGCAGGAGGCTGGAGAGGCATGTGCAGGATTGCTCCCCAAGCTGGGAGAGGGCCACAAGGAGGGAGGTAAGAGCAGCTTTCTGTGGGCCAAGGCGAGGGGAGGTGAGAGGCTGTGGCCGGCTGAGCGGGATGCCTCCCGCCTCTCCCCACTGCATCCGACCCCGGCAAGGCGGCCACAGCTTGGTCCGCAGCCCGGGAACATGGCTCTAATTAAAAATAGATTTAAAAGTTATATTTTTCTTACCTTCAATATTTTTTAGTTTCTTTGTCTCTCACTTCTGCCCTCCTCTCTTCTGTTTCTTGCTCTGCATTCCTGCTCTGTATATGCATGCAATGGGGGTGCGGGGAGAACCAGCGCACACGCAGGTGAGCTCTTACAATTTAGCACATACACCAGCTTGCCGCTTAGTTTCAAAGAACGCCTGCACTGGTTCAGAGCTTTCGGACTCGCTCGGAGATTGTTTTCTCCAAGCAAGTCCAAAATCGAGTCCAAAAGCTCTGAGGTGGGACAGATAAATGAGCATGGCGGGCTGGATCCAGCCCGCAGGCCGTAGTTTGAGGACCCATGGCCTAACCATCCAAGCTTCAACCAATACTCAAATCTGTCAGGACGTCTGACCTTAATCTAAATTTCTTAAGCAGGTAATTTTGACACAGAAGCAGTTGGGGCAACAGGAAAGAGGAAGTTAAAAGAGGAGATGAAATTATGGGGGAAAGTGAGAAGAAAAAGATGAACATATTGAAAAAAAGAATAATCAACAAATGGAGAACTTAAAGCTTTGAATGAGGGAGAGCATAGAATTCAAAATATGTTCGCTCAAATTAAAGAAGATAATAACAAGCTTTACATGAGATTGGAGGAAAAAATATTGAGTGAGTTTTTCTACAGGAAATGGAGAAAGCAGTGTTGGCAAACATATCACAACTGGACCATCAAGTAATAAAAATATCTGAGCTAGTTAAAGAAATTATACATTTGCAGGACTCATATCACAGACTGAGCATTCAAATTAAAAATCTTCTGGAGCAAGTTGTATCAGAAAAAAAGAAGGTGACAAACAATATTGTTGAGTGGATGAAAAAAATGATTCCTCATGTAAAATGGAATCAAGAGGATTTTGAAAGGATGCTTCAGGTTGGTTATAAGTGAGGAGCCAGGATGATTCCATGAGATGTTCTGATTAGATTCTCTGATTGGATAGGCAGGTTGCTTACCTGTAACTGTCATTCTTCGAGTAGTCATTTGTGCATTCACACACGCATATCGGCTTTGCAGTGCAGTGCAAGGACTAGATCAGAGAAAAAACTTCTACAGCTCAGCATGGAAATAGAGTGGGTGGGAGCCCTGCTCTTTCTGGGGGCCATATAAAAGGAGGGGCTCCCACCCAGTCCCTCAGTTGCCTTGAAGATTGCATTGTCCCAAGCATGTGAGGGTACCATAGAACCTGTCAAAGAAGGCATTGCTGACAGAGCCCAGCACCCAGGAAACAAAGTGGGGCATGCTGTGCTGATGACAGCCAGTGGGGCAGAGGATGGGTTGTGTGAATGCACAGGTGACCACTTGAAAAATGACCATTACAGGTAAGCAACCTGCCTTTCTTCTTCATGGTCTCTTTGCATCACACACATATGGGTGACTGGCAAGCTATCGTCACCAAAGAATGGACAAGAGGACTGCCTACCTAGCGCACAGTCTAGCTGGTAGTGTTGAGCAATGGTCAATGGCGTAGTCATGCAGCTCTCATGCTGGGGGAATGCTGGCCAGGAGGGCAGTAGATGGAGCTTGTGCACACGTGGAGGCCAGGGGGATGGTGTTGGACAACCACTTCGGGAGTCTGTGGGCCGAATTGGGCTCCCCTGTCTTCTGGGCTCGGAAGGAGATGAACAGGTGGTCAAAGCAGCGTGGAGGTTCCCTCTGAGTTTTATAGAAAGGCAAGGGCTCTGCGGACATCAGGGAAGTTCAGCATGGCTTCTATCAAGGTGGCAGGGGTAGGGAAGAGTATGAGGACGACAATGTCCTGGTTAACATAGAATGATGAAGTGACTTTAAGTGTGGGTCCAGGTGCAGGACAATCTTGTCCCTGAGTAGGAAAAGGAACTGGGCATTGATCTCCAGTGCCACTAGTTCACTGGTATGGTAGGCAGCTGTAATGGCCAGTGGGAACGTAGTCTTATATAACAGGAGATGGTGATCAAATGCAGCCATGGGCTTGAAGGGCTTCTTTGTGAGGGGCTGCAGGGCCACAGAGAGGCTCCAGGAAGGAGTGCAGGGTCAAACAGGTGGGGTGATGTTCTGGAGGCCCCAGAGAAAGCAGCACACCCGAGGATGCATAAAAATGGAGGGCCCTTGGATGGATGGGAAGAATATGAAATGGCTGCTGGTAGACCCTAAGGGAAGATGGGGAGAGGCCTTAAACAGGTCTGGAAGTCGGAGAGTATGCACTTGATCAAGGAGTTGGTGGGATCGAGACTTTGTAACCTGGGGGGGAGGGGCAGTGGCCAAGTCGATGGGAGATACAGAGAATTAGAAGGTTCCCTAGAACATCTGGGAGTGGAGGTAGGCCTTTTTAAACCAATAGAAGCAAGCCAGTCTCCTTGGTTAAGCAGGGGAAGGATGACGTGAAGGGTAGCCATCCTGAACCTCTTGGGTATATGGAATTTGGTGACACCCCAAAGGTCTAGTATTGGCTTGAGGCTCGCATCATGTTAGGGCACCATGAAGTACCTAGAGAGCAGGCCCTCTCTCAAGTTGTTGGAGATTCGATCCGTTGCCCCCTTTAGCCAGAAGGGCCTGTGCTTCTGCCACCACAGCAGGTGAGGATGACATGGTCTTGATGCAGCCTAGAGGTGGCAGAGAGTAGGACTCTACCCTGTATCCTATGTGAGTAATGGAAAGATCCCAGGGGTTGGAGGTAACGTTCCTCTCATTGGGAGGAACTTGCCAGATAGTGTGTGAACCAGTGAAGAGGGGTGGGAAGGATGGGGCTGCCCAGGCTGGAATCACAATGCCTGCACCTGGTGTCCTAGCACTTGGGGGTGCGGCGGGGAGCCATTGATGAAGATGTGAATCACGCCTCTTGTTAGGGAGTGCCATGTTGAACCAGGAGTAGGGGCTATCAAGAATGGGGCAGTGGCTGAAGGATGTGGGGGGGGGGGCTTGCCACCTATGCTGATGTGCCTCGTGCACAAGCCCCATGTGCTTGACATTGGTGTGGGCTTTATGGAGGAAGTCCATGCACTCATCGGTGTGAGAGGTAAAGAGTCCTCCCCCACCAGGTGTGTCCTCAATGTGGGCCCTTGTTCTGGGGGGAACGGCTGCAGAGCACAGCCAGGCGTGGCAATGGATTGTTATAGTGCCCATCATAGCCTTGGCAGCACAGTCAGCATGATGTCGAGCTGCTTAGATCTTAGACCTGGAAAGCTGCATTGCTTCCATGTGTATCAGGTGGGAAGTGTAACAGAATTTGTCAGGTTCCCAAAGGAAAGGTGATACCTGGGCCAAGTTGACCCTCGGTTGGAGACCTGGAAGGTTAAAGAGAAAGCTGGATAGACATTTTTGGCCAGGTCATCTAGTCCTCCTTGTCCACAGGTGCAATCAGCAGCAAGGCAGCAGCAGCAGGAGGCCTAGGGCAGGCCATCAAGCCTTCCAAAGAGTTGGAGCCACTCCAGATGGGGTTAGGTCTCTTTTGCAGGCAGCAGCCGCAATGATGGAGCCAGAGGCATTGGACTGGTTGTCCAAGAGAAAGGAGACTGAAGATCAGAAGAAAGAGGCACCCCAGTCTGGGAGGTGAGAAAGAGGAGGTCCCCAGAGTCCCCTGGGCAGCAATGGAAGGCCTGCCACTGACAGGGGCAACTCCTGCAATAATTTCCTCAGTGAATGGAGACATGGTGGGCAGGCACTGTGTGTATGCAAGGGCAAGTTTCATGGTGGCAGCAATTTGCACACTGGGGTTTGGCCCCTGGTCATGGGTTGAGTGCATGTCTCCTGGAAATCCTCATCTGGAACTGCAGAGATGCCAACAGAGGGGACCCCAGGATCTGGAGTGTATGGGTGGTCAGGTGGCAATCCAGGCATTGGAGGAGTAGCAGTCTTGATGGTGCGGAGGTCCCTCTTCTGGGGAGCAACTGAAGTTCCAGACAGTCCCTCTGCCAGCGTGGCAGGCCTCCTCCTAAGAGCCATGTGGCCAGCCACAATATATATCCTCAGTGGGGGTCTTCAGCTCCAATGTGGAGAAGTCAGCAAAGTGCCTCTCGCCAAGGCAGAGTAGAAGCCAAGAGTAGCTGACCGTGGTGGAAACAGCGGTGCATAAAGTGCAGCAGGAAGCCGGGTCAGTCATGTGCAGTATAGCAAGCACATGGAGCAAGAGGGAAGAAGTGAGAGAGGGAGCGAAAGGCAGTGGAGGGCAGCCTCGCATCAGGTGAGATAATGGCAGAGAAAAAATAGAAGGATTTTTTTTTGGGTCAGGGAAAGAAGAGGAAGAAGAAGGAAGTGTGAGCTGTTAAGTAAAAAAAGGAACAGTGGAAGGTCTGATTCAGCAAAGCAACTGCAAGAGCAGTTGAAAAGGAACTGAGGGACTGGGTGGGAGCCCTCCCTTTTATCCAGGCCCCCAGCCCTGCCCTGCCCCTTCTGGGGGCCTGGATAAAAGGGAGGGCTCCTGCCCACTCCGTGACACTGAGCTGTGCAAGTTTTTTCTCAGATTCAGATCTTGGGCTGTGCGGCAAAGCCCATATGTGTGTGATGTACAGAGACCACGAATAATCTTGAATTATTACAAGAAAGATTGATTTATGAAAGTAATGAAAGAAAATTCCAGTCAACTGAAATTCAAAGGAGCTGCTATTCAGGTCTATCAAGATCTCTGCTTCCAGGCATGATGGTTTAGATGGTTATTGAGATTAAGACTGTGCTATTGAAGAACAATATCATATATAGCTGGGGATACCCAAGGTTCATGAAAGTTTTCTAAAGGGGAATAATTATATAATAGATTTGCCAAAGCAGGGGAAAGTTTATTGATTGGTTAGGGACTGATGGATGAAGAAGAGCAGGGAAGTTAAGAAACCTTAAGAACGGCCCTGGCTGATGTCCAGTCTCAAGAAATGGAGGATGTGAGAGCAGATTAAAAGGATGGCAATCAAAAAGAAGAGGAACAAGGAACAATTGATCGAATCACACCCACACTAGCCCCATTCTGGCTGATGAGGAACAACTGGAGAAGAAGAAATGAGAAGTAAGATAGAAGAATTTTGGACTGATATGGAGAGGATAATTTTGAGTTTGGTGTAGGAAAATTCTAGTAGAGAATTGTAATTGTTATAAGATCAAAGAGATATAGTTATAAGAATAGTAGGGTAAGGTTTATTAAATAATATAAGGTGACAGAATGACAGAATGATATGATGAAGTAGTTTATGGATTAAAGCATGGAATAATGAATGAGTTTAACAATGAAGGTTAAGGTCCATTAGCTACTATGTAGTTGTTGTCATCGTCAGCCATTCAATCGTGTCTGCCCCTTGTAGGATGAACTTTATTTAAATATACTTAGATGCACAGAAATATGAGAGGTAGTGGAAGCTAGGAAGGGTGAAGAATTACTGAAAAAGGATAAAAATGGTAGAAGAGATTTAGAATTGTTGTAAAAGTTAAGAGATATAAAGTAACTAATAGTAAGGTAATATTAATTAAACAATATAAGGTTTATGGCATTGTATTTAGTGGAATCTAATCATTAAATGAGATATTGAACAAAGTTAATATTAAAGATGAAGGTTAGATAGTTATACAGTAAGAAGTTTATCTCAATATATTAATTCTAAGTAATGGAAATATAAGAGTCGGAAGAAGTTAGGGTAGATATAAGTTAAGCATATAAAAATAAAAATATTTAAAAATATCATAAAGGGAACAGAAGCTGAAACAATGGAATGTTGATTAGTTCCAAGTAGTATTTAAGATAAGTTACAGGAGATAAAGGCTAGGAGAGAGGTGGTTGGGATGACCAAGAGTTTTCTCCTATCACTCCTTCAGCTTTGGATAAGGATAGTGCCCAGGGTACTCCCTTGGGGAAAGAAGGGGAATAGGTTAGATAATGTGGGAGAAGTTTTATGTGATTTAAGTGTTAGCAGATTTATTTTTTTTTTAGATTTGTATGTTTTTTCTTTAATTGTTATTTCTATTTTGTAAGGATGGGGGGTTGCTCATTATCAGGGAACACAAGGCTGTCAAAAGTTAACATTTTATGGCTAAAATGATAAGAGCATTAACTTTGAATGTAAATGGTCTGGGGAATATAACTAAAAGAAAAGTATTTAAGCAATGATAGAGCTGGTTACATGATCCAACATCAAACAGGATGAAAACAGTGTGCAATTGATATTTATGGCCTTACATTCAAATATCAACATTAAAGACTGCATATAAAAATTAACAGTGGTAACATCAGTCATTTTACAAATAAATCTCCAGAGAGGGACTTACCAGAGAAATGTCCCTGTGGCTGGGGTCTAAGACTTTAAGAAGAACTTTAATCTTTTCACTCTGATAATTTTCATCATCTTTATAGCTAAGAATCCCCGAGTAAATCTGTGTTCTTGTTCCTCTTCCAAGATGCTCACCCTTAAATACAATTTTAATCCAGCAGTTAGAACATTTGGCAAAATTACCTACTTGTTAGTTTGATAATGCACATACCACTAGTCAACAGAGGAAACAGTTGCATCAATAGTCTGAAAGTTCCAGTAGGATCACTCTGTCTCCATTTTAAGAATAAGCCACAATGAATCTTGAATTGCACATTCCCCCTCCTGTCTCTTCCTCTGGCATAACTTCTGCTTCCCCTTTAGAGTAACTGGAACTTGGTTTGTCAAGCCTTAATTTCTTAGATACTAGTGTTGAGCAGTTCTCAAAGAACAACAGGAAAGCATAAGTCATGAAATTCTACAACTACTTACTTGTATTATTTCTTCTTTAAGTATTCGATGGAAGCTCAGCTGACCTAATGGGCATACTGGTTGCCATTCTAGGGATTTCTTTGTAGCCACAAGCAAATTGGAGATTTCTGGGGAAAAATAGGTCACTTCAAAAATAATACACTTCAAACAGATTTTCCTCCTGACTTATAAAATTTTCAGAATGACTGTTTTCCATCTTCCTCATGATAACCTGCGCTGGGATAACTAAATCAGAACTGAAGATATGCACATTACAATCTTCAGAAGAGTTCTGCACAGTGCACATAGAGGCTACTGTCTAAATAATAAGTTTGTAATAAAATACATTAGAATTCCCATTTGATTATAGAAACATAGAAACAGAGTGAGTCAGAAGGGGTCTCCTGGGCCATCTAGTCTGACCCCTGATTCCAGCCAGCTCCACTCATGACATGCCTACCATAATAGAAAGATAGAAACGAATTATGATTCTTCCTGGACAATATTGGGTAAATTACTATGTCTCAGTAAAGCTTCACAACAACCTTGAGTTAATAAGCTGCTCTGAATTTAGATGAAAAGACAGGAAACAAGTTTAAAAGAGTGAACATCTCATTTAAATACTGAATTACTTCAGAAGGCACTAACAGTTCTGCATTTACCCTAGAGAAACTTCTAATCACTGAAATACTTCAGTGTAATGAATGGTTTGTGTTGAAACATTGCACTTAGAAGAACATTCATTTTCTGCAAAGCACCTGCAAAGGTCATTATTATTTGGTTATATTTGTAGTTTGTTTTTGTTGTTTTTTGGAGGAGCTCATAATAGCAGTTTAGCCTTGCTACCACCTACTAAGGCAGAAAGGTAGAACCTATTTCAGCTTCAATGTCAAATTCAATTTCAGAGCAGCTCTCAAAGGGCCACATTTCAGTGGTGCAGGAACCAAAGGTAAATAGGGCAGAGCTTAAAAATCTTATTTTCAGTAGCTAAACCTTAGGCAAGACATTTCAAATGAACAGAAGTGAAACCACATAAAAGTCTGGAAAACACCCAATGTTTTGCAGTCAAGGGTAAGTAGCTGGAACTCAGGGAAGGGAAATATATCTTTATGGGGGAGGGGCAGAAGGCTGGATTTGGCTCTTAGATCTGAAGTTCAGCATCTTCTCTGCAATGCATACTGGGCTGAGCAATTATAATTTGCCCAAGGATATGAACATTGTGATGAGTAGGAAGCCACTGTATTGCTCAGCCACTGTACTGAATCCACACCTGATATGCTACTTTTTGTTCCTAAACAACTTAATGGAAGAAACAGAAAGGGAGTTGTTTCTTAGAGTTAACCAAATTACATTCACATAAGACAGCATCTATGTTGACACCAGCATCAGAGTAAACAGCACAGTAGTAGTGCAAGCAATCTCCAGCTTAAAGCCAATAGCTTTAGCTGGCAAGGAGGTTTCTCTAGAAGACCTGTTGTACCAGTGTGAGGAAGTAAAGAGGCTCATCCATTTTCCCGAGGCATTCAAGGGAGCATGGCCGAAGACAACAGGGCAAGGCTGGGAATCTGCTTGGGAAGAACAATGCATGGGAGTCCAATGGTCAGGATGTGGAGCGCAGAATTGTTGGCCAGTGAAGGAACAGCTGGGTTGGCTGGAGTGGTGTGCAGAAGGAAGTTCTAAAGGGGAAGCAGAGGCAGGAAGGGAGGAGGGGGCAGGGAGAGGGAGAGAGAAGGGGGACCGAGGAAGAGATGTACAAGTAGATTGTAATGAACTCACTCTGCCGCCGCTCAGAGACAGTCAGATGGGAGCAGCAAGGGGAAACTCTGAGACCAAAACATACAGCTTTCCGTCACTCCAGGGGCAACATTGCTCTTTGCCATAGTCACTGGAAGGAGGATGGGCCAGGCCAGGCCAGGCGAGGGTTCAGAGCTTCGGGCAGCACGGCCACGAAAGAAATTGTAAAATGGCAATAAAGAGGCCCGGTGCATGAACTGGTTTACTTGCATGTATTACAATAGAAGTAAGGGAACAAAGCGTCTTTAACATGCCTCTTTCTCCTAATACTGTCACAACCAGCTAATGCTATTAGCATTCAACTAGAGGTTGCTTATATGACCACTAGTATTAACCTGGATACAGATTATGAAACTGCAATGCATGCATCAAATTATTTTCTATTCTTAATCAGTGAAAGAAATACTTTTAATGTATACTTTTGGATTTGCTACATTTCTTCAGAGCTGTAACAAATGCCTCTAGGCACTCTATCATCACTAAGCTAGTACTGAAACACACCTTGTTATGACACATGGTAACTGAAGAACCCCCTTCATGGATCACTCATGAAGCTATGAGCTATGCCGTGCAGGGGCACCCAAAATGGACAGGTCACAGCAGAGAGCTCTGACAAAAGGAGAAGGAAATGGCCACCCACTCCAGTATCCTTGTCATGAAAACCCCATGGACAGTACCAAAGGGCAAAGAGATATAATGCCAGAAGATAAGCCCATCAGGTCGGGAGGTATCCAATGTGCTACTGGGGAAGAGCAGAGAGCTAGTACAAGTAGCACCAAAAAAAAAAAAAAAAATGAAGCGACTGGGTCAAAGCCAAAAGGACACTCAGTTGTGGATGTATCTGGTGGTGAAAGAAGAGTCCAATGCTGTAAAGAACAATATTGCATAGGAACCTGGAATGTAAGATCTATGAATCAAGGTTAGCTGGACATGGTCAAACATGAGATAACAAGACTGAACATTGACATCTCAGAAATTAGTGAACTAAGATGGACAGTAATGGGTGAATTTAATTCAGATGACTATCAGGTATACTACTGTGAGCAAAAATCCCTCAGAAGAAATGGAGTAGCCTCCATAGCCAATAAAAGAGTAGGAAAAGTAGTACTGGGATACAAACTCCAAAATGACAGAATGACCTCAGTTCAAATCCAAACCATTCAACATCACAGTAGTCCAAGTCTGTGCCCCAACCGCTGATGCTGAAGAGGCTGAAGTTGACTGGTTCTATGAAGGCCTACAACATCTTCTAGAATGAACACCCACAAATGATGTCCTTATCATCATGGGGGATTGGAATGCTAAAGTAGGAAGTCAAAAGATAACCGGAATAACAAGCAAGTTTGGCCTTGGAGTACAAAATGAAGCAGGGCACAGGCTGGCAGAATTTTGTCAAGAGAATATGATGGTCATAGCAAACACTCTTTTCCAACAACCCAAGAGACAACTCTACACATGGACTTCACTAGATGGTCAACACAGAAATCAGATTGATTACGTGCCAAAGACGGAGAAGCTCTGTCCAGTCAATAAAAACAAGACCAGGAGCTAACTATGGCTCAGATGATGAGCTTCCTGTTGCAAAATTTAGGCTTCCAAGGACTTGCTGAAACACCACCAACTGACCGGCCCCATCACCCCTTGCTCCGCTGCTGTTGGAACGCATGGTAAGGCCAGGGACACTGCTGCCGCCACCTGCAACACTGGAAAGTCCTTGGTAGGCCCTGTCCCCACTTCCTTCACCTACCTGCACAGGTGGGAGCTGTGTTGGGCGGGGTGGAGATTGATCGTGGGGGGAGGGGCTGCGCCAGAGCCCTTTTCTCACCAGCCATGCCCAGGGCCGGTGGCTGGAGGGCCAGTGGCCAAAGAGCCAGCGGCCAAACAGCAGAGAAGTCTGGGGCCATGAGGGGCTGGGTCAGAGAGTCTGTCCATTCCCCCCCCCCTTCTTTCTCTAATTCTTTTCATTTCTTCTTTTAGTCTGGGACTGTATTTTATTGTTTTATTATTTTAAGGTTTTAATTCTGAATGGGAGTGCCTGGGGAGTGAGTGGGTGCCACCATTGGGGTGGTGATGGGCAGGAGAAGATATGGCGTTGGGGATCTAACGAGTCAGTACAGAAGAAAGAGGGACCGATGTCTTATATCTGTCACCTCTTCCCAACCAGAAGGTTCCTGGCAGCAATATCAACCAGCCCCTAGGCCTGACAGTGCTGCTACTGAACGCCAGGTTGGTTCAGGTCATGGCATCTGGTCCTATCACTTCCTGGCAAACAGATGGGGAAGAAATAGAGGTAGTGACAGATTTTATTTTTCTGGGCTCCAAGATCACAGCAGATGGTGACTGCAGCCAAGAAATTAAAAGACGCTTGCTCCTTGGGAGGAAAGCTATGGCAAATCTAGACAGCATAGTAAAAAGTAGAGACATCACCCTGCCAACTAAAGTGCGTATAGTCAAGGCTATGGTTTTCCCAGTTGCAATGTATGGCTGTGAAAGCTGGACCATAAGGAAGGCTGAGCGTCTAAGAATTGAGGCCTTTGAATTGCGGTGCTGGAAAGTCCCTTGGACTGTAATGGGATCAAACCAGTCAGTCAACCCTGAGATCAACCCTGACTGCTGTTTAGAAGGCCATATACTGAAGATGAAACTCAAATACTCTGGCCACCTAATGAGAAGGAAGGACTCATTGAAGAAAACCCTGATGCTGGGAACGATTGATAACTAACGAAGAAGGGGACGGCCGAGGATGAGGTGGCTAGATGGAGTTACTGAAGCAGGTGGTGTGAGCTTAGGTGGACTCTGAGGGATGGTGGAGGACAGGAGAGCCTGGAAGAATGTTGTCCATGGGGTCGTGTTGGGTTGGGCATGACTTCACGACTAATGACAAAAACAACAACAGAAAAACTATGTAATGCAATAGATGAGCAGCACTCCTATTTTCTGTATGTTTTCTTGTAAGAATTTAACACTCGTTATCCGGAAAAAAATGGGCAAGAATGCGCTGGAAGTACTCTCTCCAAGTTTAGTTATCAGAAGCTTTTAAACATACTCTTTTAAACTCTTTTTAAAGGAGCTTTACAGAACTTAAAAAACATTACCTCTTGGCTTTGGCTGACAACACCTCTTGAGTGTAAAAACTATATTATCTGTTCTAAGCATCTGCCCTTTTAAATGGTCCATCAATTCCTTCAGAGAGGGAAAAAATTTATCAGATCCCTGCAAAAGACATCCATCTTTCTTAATTTCAATCTGGAAGTTCTTGTACTGTTTAGGAGTATTCAGCAATTGCTGTGGGGAAGGAATAGGAGAAAGACAGAAGAAATCATTCTTAACTGAACCCATATAAAATAGATCTAATAGATAAAAGATCTAAATTTATTCCTGAAGAGATTCCAGTGAATGCAATGAAATCATACTCATAATTGGTCTAACATACATTTGCTAAAGCAATTTGATTGCATTTTGTGTCACAGTAAGGGACTCTGGACGTCTCCACATAAATTGAGAATATGCTTTTTTCTCTTACACAGAATTCAGAACAGACAGGTTTATTAACAAAGTAAGGTTGCTTACCTGTAACTGTCGTTCTTCAGGTGGTCATCTGTGCATTCACACATACGGGTGCTGTGCCTGCGCAGTGCCTATGTTTGGGAAGATTCTCCTATTTAAGCCTAGAGATTTTGGCAGAAGTCCCACCCATCTGCTCCTAGCATAAACAGGCTGGGTTCCCACCCTTTGTCAGTCCAGGTGGAGACTGATGTTTTGCTGGCTAGCTTGCCTAAGGTTTTACTGGAGTAAGAGCTGGTCGGAAACCACTGACACCAATGCGGGTCTGGCAGGTGGGTTGTGTGATTGAAAGGGTTAAAGCTAATCAATCTGACTTTCTTCTTCATGGTCTCTATGCATCACATATGGGTGACTAGCAGGCTTACTAATATAGGAGGTGGGAGGTGTTGTCTTTTCAGAATGGCAGAGAGGACAGCTTGACGGAAGGAGCAGTCTTGTCTTGCCTTGACATTGGGTTGGTAGTGGCATAGAAACGCTGATTGTGTTGACCAGGTTGCTGCCTTGCACAGTTCACAAAGTGGTAAGCCGCATGTAGCACTGTCAATATCGCTCTGGTGGAGTCAGCTTTCTGATGTTCTGGCAAGTCAAGGTTGGCCGACTGGTACACGAGTTTGATACTATCCAGTAGGATAGAAGTTGTGGGCTAATTGTTCCACCCTTTGAATAGTGTGCATATTTTGGTTTGGCGGATCAATGCCATACAGGAATGGTAGAAAGCGAGTGCTTTCCTTATATCCAATGTGTGTAATGATCTCTCAATTGGTGTCGAGGGTGTTGGAAAGAAAGTTGGCAGTATTATGTCCTGGTTTAAATGAAAGGCCAAGCAGACCTTCAGTAGGAATGCTATGTCTAATTGCAGGACTACCTTTTCTTTGTGAAAACTCAGGTACAGTTGATCTACCTTAGGTGCACATAATTTACTTGTTATTAGTGCCAATGTGATGGCTACTAAAAACAAGGTTTTCCATGAAAGAAGACAGTTCTGTGGAAGTGTTTTGAAGGGAGGTTTTGTGAAAGCTTGTAACACCACACATAGACTCCAGGTGGGGACCAGGGATCGGATAGGGGGGTGTGGGGTTCAGATTGTGAAGTCAGTTTCAGTCCATTCTGATGCGGGGAGTGAAGGAATTCTAGGATTTTGTATATCAGCATTATTGCCAGGTTGAAGGCATGCTTGGTTGTGTAACTCTTGAATCTGTTTCATTTAGCTGAGTACAACCATCTGGTGTTGGGACATAGCACTGCTAGTAATACAAGTTGTATTTGTGGGTCTAATATGGTGGTTTCCACTACTAATGGATCAACTAGGCAGTCAGTTGTAGTCTCCAGACATCTGGATCTAGGATTTCCTAGAGATCAGGTTTGACATTTCCGGTAGGTATAAGAAAGTCTGATTCGATAGTTGTAGAATGGATGGGAACCAAGGCTGTCTTGGCCACCAAGGTGTTACAAACTGCAAGACGTTCCTTCCTTCTGTATTTTTGCAATTATCCTGGTAATACAAGGGAAGGGTGGAAAGGCATAGAATAGCATCCTTTTCCAGGGGAGGAGGAGCACAACCCCAAGAGAATTCTGTCCCATGCTGGCTCAGGAGCAATACATGGTACAAGCTGTGATGGCATCTGTTGCAAAGAGTTCAATAGCCAGGGTGCCCCGCTTTGAGAAGATGTGGTATTTCACCTCTGCATTCAAGGGAGCTGCTGGTTGCTCAAGCTGGGAGATTTTTTGTTGTTGTACTATACATGATTTGCTCTAAGGAACAACTATATCTCCCTGATGAGATTTGGGTTTTTTTTTTATTTTTTGCTGGACCTGGTCCCCATTAAGAATAAAAAATTAATAATCCTAAAGAACAAAGAACATACATGATATACTATGAGAAGACCATTAGCACTGCTTTATTGGACCTGGAGAAGACTGGAAGTCAAGGCCCCTTGCTATGAAAGTTGGAACACTGCCTCTTCTTAACAAACTAATTCAAACTAATATTTTAATAGAGATAGAATGGGACTAATAATTCTAATATTGATAGAAGGCTAACTAGCATTATCCACTTTCATCTTTTGTCCTTTTTCTCCTCTTATCTTTTCCTTGCTTTTTCCCTTTCTTTCCTCCTTTCTTGACTCTCCTCCCCTAACTTTTCTGCTTTAAGCTGTACTGTCAAATTGTAGTTTACTTATAGGTAAGAAGAAATGTGAGAAGTATGGAAGAGCAGAGAAGAAGGACATCTGAAAAGAGATAGTCACCTGAGCTCTTTAGATTGAGTTTTAGAGACCATTATCAACTAATATTAATAAGATATTATCAACTAATATTAATTCACTGAATTTTTCCTTTAAGAGAATCAAAGCAGTTTTTCATGAGTCTTAAAAATATAGTGTCAGAGAGCCTTTCAGGGAATATGTCAAGAGTTAGGATTGCAACTGGTTCTGGATGGAGATCACCAGAGCCCTCAATAACTGAAGAATGGAGAAATAGATTGGTGGAGTGTGCTGTTTAGAAGATTGTTAGAGGAATGTGCAGCATAAGTGGATTTGAGGTGTTTAAAAAGATAGGGAAAGCTGTGGTGGATCTGAAGTGATTGGAAGATCTGTTGTTGTTGTTGTATGGATTAAGGATTTTTGTGTGTGTTACATTTTTATGGAGTGTTGATGGATAGATTCCAAGGGCTGATTGTACTGGTTGGATCTGTATCAAATTCCCTTGGCAATTTTGTCTACTTCAGCTTGCTCTGTTTATTATACTTGTTTTGCTTCCAAATTTAAAAAAAAAACCAAAGAAAGAAAGAAAGAAAGAAAGCAAGCAAGCAAGCAAGCAAGCAAGCAAGCAAGCAAGCAAGCAAACAAGCAAGCAAGCTGTCTCTCAGATAGGTCAACTGGTTGGATCACATCTTTTGCTAGTAAGGTCTTAACTTCTTTTAATGCTGAAGAAGAGGGAGCTCTCCAGACCATTCCGAGAGGGGGCAAGGTGTCAAACCTGATTTTATATCTGTGTTCTATAATCAATAGTAGCCACTGGTCAGATGTGATGGATCCCCAGATGGGAAGATGGTATTTGAGTAGGTCATCATATGGGAATGGTGAAGTGAGAGTAGAACTGGTTTGCATTACCCAACAATGTTGTCTCTTTTCACTATCTAGCTTTTTTTAGATTGTTGGAAATGGGTAGTATCATTGCAGCATTGTCAGCTTGGTGGATGTTGTTCATATTGTTGGTACCTGGAAAAGTAATTCAGCTGCCTCAATTGGTAAGGTCAGTACAGTTGTACCTTGGCTCACAAACTTAATCTGTTCCACAACTCTGGTTGTGACCCAAACTGGTTGTGAGCCAAGTCAATTTCCCCATAAGGTTCAATGTAAATAAGGTAACTATTTTTGTAATTCTGTAACTATTTTTTTTAATCAGAAAAATTTGAAACAAAGTGACAAAGAACAACAAAGTGACAAAGAACAACAAAGTGACAAAGTACTGTACAGTACAGTGGAGAACACTAACCTAGGTGGGGGGGGAGGTTATTGTTTTGAGGGAGAGTCCCCCTCCATAAGGACATTGGGGAGATCTCTTTCAAGGGTTTCCTCTTTCTTTGTCTCTTAGCTGCAGGGTCAATTTTGGCAAAAAATCTGTCTATAGTCACTTGTTTTTCCCTGCACTGCATAACCCAAAATGACAAAGAACAGCAAAGATCGTGGCCATCTCCCCCCGCCACCCACCCCAAGCATGACCTTGATCGCACCTGTGTTCCCTGCACGAGTGTAACCATGATTGCAGCCACAGACAGGTGCAATCACGGTCACGCTCAGACAGGGAACACAGGTGTGATCGCAGCCATCTCGCCCCTCCCCCGAGCACAACTGCGATTGCGCCCATGCAGGGAAGATGGGCGCAATCGCGATCATCACCCGATGTGGAGTTCGCGACCTGAGGCAATTTTTTTCTGAAATTTCTGTTTGCGACCCAATTTGGTCATGAACTGAGGCGTTTGTGAGCTGAGGTACTGCTGTACTCCGAAGAGCGGGCCCATGGGCACTTACGTGATCTTGACTGGTTGGAGCCAAAACCCATCTGTTGAGCCATCATCCTGGATTTTTGAAAAGTATCTAGGCATTTGTCAGTCCTTGAATGGAACAGGCCTTTCCCCATCAAATGGCATGTTTTCCATTCTTGATCAGGTCTCTTGCAAGAGATTGGCCGCTCAAAGCCACATGTGTCTGTGAACCACTCCCATGCTGATATCTCTCCTGGAATCACAACCAACATGATGGCGCACCATTGTGATCTGCTGGCTTGACAGTTGTATGGCTTCTCCAATGAAGACTCTGGCTAGGTGTCATTGTTGGTCCAGGAGGAAGGCAGTCAGAGACTCAATTTTCTGCCAAGGGAAGACTTGGTACCTTCCCATCATAGCCTTGTAATTAGATATGCGGAGGTCCAAGTCTCATGGCAGAATAGATATGGTAAGCCATCCTGTCAAGGTGGTGTCCCTCATGATCATTTGGTGTAGATTTTCTCATTGTTGGCGTCCTTGCATGACTTCAACAATTATAGAGTTTGGTTGCAGGTGATGCAGCTGAAAGGGTACATCCCATTCCTGGACTCTGTACATCCCCTCCAGGTGCCATGAGGCAGGATGGAGCTGGGTAGGTAGTTCCCACAGTTCTCTCATTGCCCGCTGTAGTGTCCGAATAGAGGAATTGCCACTGGAACAGAGTCCCCTGTACGGATCACATAATAAACCATGACTTCTTCAGGTTCAGTGATATGCTGAGCCTGAATTCCCAGTGATGTGGCCATAGGAAGGACCTGTTCCAAATAATGGTCCAAACCCTCTCCTAGTGATCCCAGGCCCTGCAATGAGACCACATTGTCTGGTGAGGTGGAGATGGCCTCTTCGGTCTCTGGATGTGATTCAGAGTAAGAGGCATATGTGAGAGGAGGACGAACTGGCTGATGGCATGAGTGATTCCCATTCATTGGCCTGCCTTCTTGATGGGGGAGGCTGTGCTGAACTGTATGGAGCTTGGTCCAAATGTTGGCATTGGTGTTGAGGACACCTTGGGTTGGTAGGTTGAGCTTGGACTGGTGGCCATAGATATTCATACAAGGGTAGTGTTTGCTCCCACAGATACCTAGGTCCATAGTGTCCAACATATAGTGGTGCCTCATATGGTTCGAGGTACTAATGGATGGGTGGGTCAATACTCGTAATGGATTGGGAGACACTAATCCATACGGGCACGGAGTTGGAGGAAGTGGGAGCTGCGTCTCTCTTCTTGGTATCGGCCAGTCTGGCAATGGAGGTAGGCCCAGTGATTGAGCTGGAGTCCTGGATCTCCCCTTTTGAGAAGGAAGACAGAGGGGCTGTCTCTGTTGGGATGTGCTGTGGTTCCGATTGGGATGGTATTGTCAGAATGAACAGAGTTAGAGACGCTCGGATTAGAGGCAAGGCTTTGTCGTAATTGCTGGAGTCGATGACAGGATGAGTGAGGTGACTTTGCTTTTTCTTGGGTTTGTCCTTGCCTGCTCTTTTGGCCTGCCTGAGCTCTTTGGCCTTAAAGTACTTCTTCTCCTTATGGTTTTTTGGGGGAGCTGGAGGAAGATGGCTATTTAGGAGCTGATGTCGATAGTTTTGAGACAGTTTGTTTGCCAACAGGGTGTGCTTTAGCACAATTTGAGCAGAGGCAGATGTTCCACATTGCCTCCAAGGCTTTGTCCCAGAGCTCCATCTTTAAATAGCCTTCCCTGTTCTTTCAGACCCCCTTAGTGTAGGTCTGGCAGTGAGGGCACTTATCAATGCAGTGTCCCTCATGCAAGCACAGCAAGCAGAGAGAATACCCATCTGTGGAAGGCAGTTTCACACCACAATTTGCACACTTTCGAAAAGCTGGTTTCTGAACGATTGAGTACAATAATGAAGGTAAGGTTGAGGCAAAGAAAGAATGATAGAATGCCGAGGGAGAAGCTGAGGTATAGACTGATGATAGACAGGTTTTGTCTGTCTCTCTGCCTTTCTGTTTTAAGGGAATAAGCATAAGGATGATAGAGGTGAGGAAAAGAGGGGGTAAAAGTGTAGAAAGATGAGGACAGTTAAGATATTTAGCAGTAGAAATTTGAGGTAAAAGTTGAAGCTAGAAAGAAATCTGTGGCACAGTGAAAATAGTGGTTGAAAGAGAACTGACAAAGGACAAAAGCCCCACCTATTTATATTAGGAGTAGAAGGGCGGGCCTCTAGCCAAAAATTCTACACTTAGCTAGGAGAATTTTCCTGAACAAAGGCACTGCGCAGAAGCAGCACCCATATCTGTGATGCACAGAGATCACAAAGGAGAATTTTGCCATCCATCTTAAATGTAAAAATGTTGTATAATTTGCAGAGGTGCTATGACAGTCAGAGGAATTCAGATCTACTCAGTACTAAATATGCAAATTCATACTTTAGTCAAGAAATCAGATACTACTAAAGACAAGAAGAAGGGGGCTTCAGTTAGAGTCCTGAGAACCATGTTCAGGTTCCAGGTGGGGAACCTTGGAACCAGGATCAAGATGGGCCACCAAGGCAGCCACAGGAAGAAGTTCCCATGTGGCAGCCTCTGGGTACACAACCTATGTAATGGCAGGCAGGAGGTTTGGCCTACATGCTCTTCTTTGACCAGTGGTACTACGAGACCTGGAATCTGAGTGGGTTTTTTTAATTGCTCTTACTGCACAAATTTCAAAAGGTATGCCTCCCACAATGAGGCAGAACAAGTAGCTGGAATTTCTGGAGGAGGCCCTACCAGGAAGATCAGATGAAAGGTCTGTCTTCCTGGCACTAGATAGGGGGCTAACTGGCCTCTTGCACTTGCAGGGAGGGGGCATCACAGTAGACTCAGCTGGGTCCATCTTACAGGCTCTCATAAGTAATTGGGAAGGATTAGCACTGGATTTTCATAAGCATAAAATCTGGAACCGTTAAAGTCAACTACAGTTACCTCTCAATTCTATACCACAAACATTACCTTCTATAAATCAAAAGATAATCTTTACAGATAAAATCACTAGGCCCACAACTGATAAAATTCCACCATACCTGTGAGTATTCATTACATATTACAGTCAAGAGGATACTATTGAAGTCTGTGCAACTCCACCTCAAGATATACATCCCTTCCTCATTGCCTTCCTGTTTCAGCTTGTTGATGGCATATTCTGTGCTGAAAGTATTTAGAATATGAGTAATTATGTAAGATAATTCAACATCTCTTTGAAAAGAAAATCTTCGATAGTAGTTTAACATACAAACACATTATGAATACACTTTGACAAGTGTGGGGGGATTAAAAAGTATGGGAAAAATGAAATATGTATTTTAAACAGGAATCTATAAGAATTAAAGGACAGAGAGTTTTAAGTAAGAAATCTAAATTATGAAAAACTATTTTTATGACCCAAAATGATCTCAAAAACTGGACTTCAGGTACAAACTCAAATTCTGTGAATTAACTAAAGCTTTGTAATATTCATTTACAAAATGTTAAATGTTTTGATTAATTACTAAAGGAAGCATCCAAGAGATAAATGGTTTTAAAAAGGGAAAAGATTGTGGGCAACTTACACAGCTTACTCAGATGTGCACATGTAGCTCCTGCACAAACTGAGGATTCTCAGAATAACATAAATTTTTCTAAGAATCAGTTTGCACTACCTAAAGATAATTTCCCACAACAAAAGAACAGAATGCTTATTCAGAGGCCCTAAATGCATGTTTTGGTGTTTGCTTTAGAGCTTTCATAATATTAGGTTAACCAGTGGGACTGAATATGGGCAAACATACCACAAAGAATCTATGCTTTAAGAACAATTTGAAATGGATGAAGCAGTTATGTTTCCTTTAGATATAGTTTCACATCATCAGGTTTTAGTTTTTTAAAAGACATAAGCATTCAAGTTGTAACTATTCTGCAAAGTCAAAAGTAAGATCTGTGAGAAGAAAGATGCACATTATTTAGATAAAGATTATTATCTCTTTAAAAGACAGAATGCTCAAAGGACATTAACTAACCAAATTGGGCCATGGCAGCCATTTTTAATGTTGTGTTTTATCAAGGGAGGTGCAACATCTGTACACAGATAGTGATGGGCATCTGCGGTAAGCCTGAAGTAGCCATCTATCAAGGCAGCAAATGACAAGGCTTCCTCATGTGAAGACAGTTTAAATTCCTAGAAAAGAAATCAATTTACTTTAATTCTGTCCAGAATTTTAATTATTATAAAAGTATATCCTTTCTTACCCACAGTTTTCCTGAAACAGAAAAATCAAACATAAACTTGGAAAGCTTTTCTCATGTCCACTGCCACAAGAAGATAACTCAGGGCCTGATAAAATGGGAAACGCCATTTCTAGACCTAGATAATTGTCCAAACATGTACATCTTCTCTTTATCTAGAACTGTTGAACTTGAATCACAACTTCCTCAGTTTTGGTTCAATACAGAAACCAAAGCTTCTGGATGTGAACAATATAAATTATCTCTCTTTCTAATCAGAAGCAAGTCTTGTTGATTTCAGAAGTTCTTATTTCCAAGTAATCTACACAGGATTGCAGCCTTCATGAAATAACATGAATACCTGGACTGTTCTATTGTATTTTGGTAACATCTTCCTCCAATGTTTTAGATGACCACATATACAGATATGCATGGATATGATGTGCTTCTTGTGTGAGCCATCCCGAGGCTATATAGCAAGGGGACGGCATACAAAAACTTTAAATAAATAAATGTACTTTGCAGTGCTAAAATTCCACCGCTCTTAAAAAAAGACAAGTTCCTACTTGAGCTAAACATATCCAAAAGTTTAGATGAGCAAGGGCCTTTTTACATCTTAAAGGAATTAGTAAATGTTAACACAGCATTGTGAACTTTAACATTTTTACTTTATCTATATTATAAAAATATGCCTATAGGAGTGGGGAAGCAGAGGTCAACTACTGCTCAAAAAAGGCAGTACTGTGCATGAAGAGAGATTTGCAGCCACCCCATATGTGGCAGGCACATTGTAAGTTTAACATACATATTCACACTGCCACTGCAAGACAACATGTCTCCCAGTCTTTCAGTGCATGATTATTATGAAGTAATGGTCTTAGTGTATGTTAGTAGTAAGGGCATACAAGAAAGGGAGTGCTGTTTATATAATCAGCAGCACGTAGTGTAAGCATATAAAATATTTAAAGGATTTAAAACATTTACCATCCTTTTGTTATCTTGCTTGTAGATGCAGATGATGGACTTCTTGATCACAAGGTGGGTAATTTCAGGAAAGTAAGAAAAATTTTTCCATTCCTCCCTCTTATTTTTTCCTTCATTTTTCTTGACTTTACTGTCTGTTTTTTTCTTCTTCATTTTATGCTTTTCTTTCTCACTCTGTGTAACCTGCTTGACACAAATGAATAGAGATTAAGAGATAGGAAGAGGAGAGGCAGGCTGCAGAATTGGAATAAAAGATCAAGATCATCAAAACTATTTCCAATCACAAAGTATCAGTGTGAAAACAGGACAATGAAGAAAGTTGACAGGAAGAAACTGATGTGTTTGAGATTTAGTGCTAGAGGAGAGCTTTGCAAATACCCTGGATTGCCAGAAAGACAAACAAATAGGTCCTAGATCAAATCAGGCTGGACCTGGCCCTAAAGCAAAAATGACAAAACTGAGTTTGGTATATCATGAGAAGGCAACACTCACTGGAGAAGGCAATCATGTTAGGGAGCATCAAAGGCAGAGGACAAAAGGCAAGACTAAATATGAGATGGACTGAATCCATAAAGGAAGCCACAGCTGAACAGAGCTGCCATGGGCAGAACATTTTGGAGGGCTTTCATTCAGGGTTGATGTAAGTCAGAGAAGACTTGGCAGCTCATAAGAACAACATGGACAGAAGGCATACGAAGATTAGTATGAGAACAATGAAATGTAAGAGTGAAATTAAATTAAATGCTGGAGGGATTTTTAAAAAGTCTACTGATAAAGTAAAGGTGGATTTTCCTGCTCTGCACAGGGTTAAGTGTTCAAGCAAGTATTTTAGATGATGATATGAGCATGTTTGTAAATGCACACTTGTATAAATGAATACTCAGTCCTGTTTAGCTCCTGATCTTTTTCACAAATCCATCGAAAGAAAAATTCAGAAATGTCCAGTTTGAACTTTAACCATAAGGTTTGACTCTGAAAATATTTTATGTACTTAAGAAAATATTATTTTGAAACCAAGTATGTTTATATACATAAGTACAAATTAAATTACAGTACCTAGCTGTGTTTGCCTATAACAATAAACTAGGATTATACATTAGTTTGATTTTCTGTTGATCCATTTGGCCTTCCTTTGTACAAGTGGGTAAAAAACCACTTGATTGGTTGATCCCAAATTACTCAGGATATATAAGAGAACAACAAACTTATCCTCTTCTAATTTATTTTATTTAACTAAAGGGAATGAACATGTTGCATGCATAAGCATGCTGCTCCTTCACAGAAAGCCAGGATAAGCTTACTTTTCTGTGTGATCATGGGTGTGGATTGACAGCAAATTTATTTGAAATTTTGAAGTCTCAGATGTTGCTGTTTCTGAAATGAACAATGCTATATAGATAAATATTCCTAGTACTTAATCTATGCATCAGATCAATTAATTTTCTATTTTAGTTCACAAAAAGTCTGGGTTCAGATATGACTCTCACAGCCTCTGACACGATGATTGCAGGTTGTTTACAGAAAGCAGAGATGAAGAGCACATCAAATGTAGGGCACATTCTCACAGTACACTAAGCCACCCTATGAATAAGCTAAGTAGTGTGGGTTATGCCAGGAAAAACCCATGGATTGCCTGGCAGACTATCAGGCTCACTGTGGCTTGTTTTCTCCCTCCTTCCCCCTCAGTCCTCCAACAAAAATATTCCAATGTTCTTTGTGAAAGAACCCATCTATTCCCACTGCTTGGTTTAATCACTACCTGTTTTCATTTGTTGCTGCATTCTATTCTATTCTATTCTATTCTATTCTATTCTATTCTATTCTATTCTATACTATTCTACTGAGTTTCAAAAAAGCACAATTGAGGTCATATTTTTGCCATCTGATAACTGTACAACTGTGTTTTTCATCTGTTGGTCTTGTCCATTTACAAGTGTCCTCTACCATCCCCCAGAGTCCACCTAAGCTCACATCGACTGCTTCAGTTATCTAGTCACCTCATCCTCTGCTGTCCCCTTCTTTTGTCATCAATTGTTCCCAGGATCAGGGTCTTTTCCAGCGAGTCCTTCCTTCTCATTAGGTGGCCAAAGTATTTGAGTTTCATCTTCAGTATCTGGCCTTCTAAATAGCAGTCAGGGTTGATCTCCTCTAAGACTGACTGGTTTGATCTCCTTGCAGTCTAAGGGACTCGCAGGAGTCTCCTCTATCACCACAATTCAAAGGCCTCAATCCTTTGGCGCTCAGCCTTCCTTATGGTTCAACTTTCACAGCCATACACTGCAACTGGGAAAACCATAGCCTTGACTATACGAACTTTTGTCGGCAGAGTGATGTCTCTGCTTTTTAGTATGCTGTCTAGATTTGCCATAGCTTTCCTCCCAAGGAGCAAGCATCTTTGAATTTCTTGGCTGCAGCCCCTGTCTGTGGTGGTCTTGGAGCCCAGGAAAATAAAATCTGTTACTAGTAGCAAATGGAGGTACACTAAAAGGAGGTGGCAACAATCTCATCCCCTTACCAATGGCTGACAGTTCTCATTGTTTTCCACCTTTTCAACAATTCCCTGAGTCTTCAGCTGCTCCAGAAAGGGTTGAGAGAACTGACAAGGAACCACACAAACCATGGGAGTAAATGCACTGAAAAACAGGCTTGAAAAGGAGAGGGATATTAATATCTCCAATTTCCAGAGCAGCAGGACACTGTGAAGTGTTGAAAGTGTCATTTCAACACTGCTGAATAGTTCAGTACTTAGGGGGTCACCTCTTTCTTTTAGTGCACCTATTCTTTCCCTTTTACTGTTCAGTTGGCAGATTGCAAGCTTGCATTTATTAACCTATATGCAGTCCTGCCTTCTCAGCCTGTCATCTACTTCACTTCCTTGGAAAGCGAAACTTATAAGGCAAGACTACACAGACAGCTAGAAGTGCACAGTAGTGTCCCTGCTTGTCCCTGTATCGACAAAAATTATTAAGAATTAAAAAATGACAGACTTGCACAAATTTCTGGGGCCAAAGCATTTTTAAAAGGGTGATGAACCAAGTAGCTCCAAAGAGCGGTGGTCAAGACCAACCGCAAAAGTGAAGCACTGTGCAGAACAGTGCAAGTGGGATGGGGGGAGGTGTTGGTCCTCTTATGCAGCTCACTAGTCAATCCCTGTAACCTATGACAAAATCTGTCTCCCAGATTCAGATAATACAACATCCCAGTATGACAAGCCAGTTACTATCAGGATGGCTTGCTTTCCCCAAAATAAGCCATCCTGAAAGAAGCAGTTTGGGTTAGGATGGCACAATAACCCACCATGGGTAGTTACCCATGATAGATTGTCATGTTGTGCAAAAAGAGATGTTGCATTACATGTGAACGATGTCTTCCCTCCCTCACAGAGCTTGGTACCATTCCCCTCCCAATTCAGATTCTGTTAAACACTTCCAAAACCTAAATATATTAAATAGTCTCATGAAGCTAAACTTACAAACAAGCCACCTTAGAAAATATGTTTAAAATCAGGAATATTAAGTTAGTCTGATTCAAATTTGCTTTCATATCACTCATGTATGTACTCCATGATACTTACATATGATTTGAGCCGCCATTCAATTCCATGATTGCCTGTTACCATCACTTCATAATTTGGGATGTCTGTAGAGTCTTCCAGGTTACAGTTCTTCTCATTCTCAAATGAAACATGCAATGAGGCAGCGTCGAAGATTTCTGCTCCATAATGCTTTGTTAATGTTTCCATTGTGGACAAGTATTTCACCTTCAGATCATGTGGAGAAACACTGCTGTCACAAATGGTTTTATTGTTAAATTCCTTAAGGAAATCCTTGAAAACATTGTTTATCCGTATTCTGGTCAAGATGTTCCTCTGTCTAATTGTTTTGCTCAAAGTTTCAGGAATATACCTTTTATAACTAGAAAGAATGAAAGACAGAAAAATGCATATTACTGCCTCTGTCAATCTATTTTCTTCTACATTGCCAGAGGGACTATTTCATGAAAACCAAGGTATAAGAAAGATTTGAAAGAAAATCTCTTTGGAAGAATAAACAAAAAGACAAGTCTGAGATTTCAGGGTGCAATGTATTCACAAATATAAGGGCAATGTCCAATAGTTTTTGCTCAATAACCTCTCCTCAAAATATACTTATTTTTTTCACACCATGGACAATTTAATAACAAAGGGATACCTAGAATTCATGGTGTGCTTTTATTTTGTATCCTAAAAAGGTCTTTGGTAGAAAAGATGCCCTCATACAAGACTTTTTGAAAAAAAATTAATATATGACTGTCTAGTGATGTAAACTTTGTTAAATCCATTCTGTCAGTGTTTTGCAGATTATCAGGCATATTGTGTTCTACTGTCTGCTCACTGATGGAAGTGGAATTATTTTTACAATAAGTTTGTTCTATTTATGCTGATTCACATAGGTCCTACTATGCACTTGTGTAAATTCACCAAGTGCACAGATGCACTTTCGTACAAAATGCTTTCCCAATGAAAAGCAGGTCTACAAGACCAGATGATCTTTTAAAAAAGCCACTACACTGGGGAATCTGAAGTTCAGATTCAGAGAAATCCAAATTTATTTGAATCATTACAGATTTTTCCAATATTCCTACCTGTAACTCTATGCAAAGTTAGTCTAAACAAGCAAAACTTAGAGAACATACATATGCTATTTATGCAAAGGAAACTAAAGGCATTACATGCCTCACTCTTACTCAAAACATCCTTGTGATAAAGATTAACAGTGACTCAATTCAAGTGACTCACAAAATCGTATTTTCAAAGTTTGACTGTGATTTGTTATGATCAAATTAGCAAAGTATTGTTTCCAGGGCTGATGAAAAATGAAAGAATTGAGGCTCTCTCAGGTGATTCTCTAAGCATGCCCTCAGCTTGATTATAGTCCACTCATAGCCTATTGTTCCTGTTACCCTTTTTCCTGTTCCTAAGAGCAAATAAAGCACATGCACACAACCACACACATGCACACACAGAGTGAGAGCATTTTATACCACCCAACAGCTGATGTTCTTTGGGCAGTGAACAACTTTAGTAAATAAAATAAAAATGCAATATAGAATACAACATAGAATTACATTAAAAATTACAACTACATTTAAAGCCACATTTTTAAAACCAAACAGAGTTAACAATAGCTAAAAAGAGTAGCTATTGTGGTTTCAAGCTGTGTGTGACTTTATAGGTTAAAATTAACACCTTGAATTGGCCTTGGAAGACTCAGGCCTGGTGAGGATGCTTGGGGACAGTTGAGAAAGAAGACTGCTGCACTTTAAGACCTGCTGCAAGTTTCCAACCACCACCTACCATCTTCCAACTATCTTCACAATCACATCCGAGCCCATCACTGCAGAGTGAATTCACCTGACTTGGCAATCCAACAGCCTCCTGGGAATGTAAACAGTCCTTCTGCTGGGCAGAGGGCTGCCACCAAGGGGTTGTCCTGGCAAGTGTGTCTCCAAAGAGGACAACATGAAAGGGGAGTGCTCCTTTGGTCTGCTCTTTGAAATGTCCACAGGATAAGTGCTTCACCTGCCCCTTGCTTATGTGGGCCTATGCATAGGACTGTGCCTGGAAGGAAGGATATCATGCCAAGTGGAAAGATGGTGGAATCCCAATCACCATAGTGATGAGTAGATGAAAACAGGGTGCTGAGAGGAAGACTGGCCAAGTAAGGGGAATGCATCCCAGACAGCTCATGGCTCTGCCATGTTCTGGTCTTCCTTCCAACTGCAGGTTTAATTGTTGTGACATCAGTCTGCCCTCAAGTTTCTAGATTTGCTTTTAAATGTTGGATCAGAGCAACATAAAACCTCCCCCATCCATGATGTTTCCTCATAATGAATGAGATAGCTGACCTTACCACTTTGTAATGGTTAGATCAGTGCTGAGATTTAGACTGATGGCTCATTTCCCCTTCACAAGGGTGTGGGAACTATTAAGATGGTCTGTCCCTGGAGGCTAATGGATCCGAATGGTTTCCAGCAAGCACTGGGGATTTTACAGCTGATATGGCTGGTACTTCTGTGGAATTGGATAGTTGACAAGATTGCTGCAGCTTGTGAAGAATGTGGCAGCCAGCTTAATAGCTGGAATCACAGGTCTGAACATGTAAGACCAGTTCTGGCATGCTTGCAATGACTGCCTGTATACATCTGGGCTCAATTCAAGTGCTGGTTTTATTCTATAGAGCCTTACATAGCTTGTAACCATAATACCTTTTAGAATACCTCTCTCAACCACAATCTACTTGCACACTATGCTCCACCTCTGGGGCTTCCTCTGACTGCCTACTCTGAGAGAGGCTCAAAGAATGGCAACAAGTAGGAGAGCTTTCTCTTTGATGGATCCTCATGTGTGGAAAAATCTCCCCACTGAAGCCTGCCTGGTGCCAAACCTTTTTGGCACCAGGTTAGGACAGCTCTTTATGCTGATGTTTTGAAAGACTTTCTTGGATACCCAGGGGTTTTAAGAGATTACCCATCCTAGATGTTTTTACCGAGTCATTTGTTGTTGTTTTAGCTGTTTTGATCTTGTTAATGTTTCTCTGGTTTAATGATATTTTATTGCATTTTAGTGTCTTGCTTAATGGACTATTGTAAACTGCCTGTAGAGCTTTGGCTATGGACCAGTGTAGAAATAAATAAATAAATAAATAAATAAATAAATAAATAAATAAATAGTATATCACAGAATAATAAAGTTGGAAGTGACCTATTAAGTCATTGGGTCCAGTCCCCTGCTCAATGCCAGATCTCCAGTTAAAACTTTCCTGACAGACTGGCCTCCTGAATGCCTCCAGTACAGGAGAGCCCACAATCAAAGCAACTTGTCAACTTTCTTGAGCTGAACCAACTGAAACACAACCAATAAAACTGGACAAGGCTGTGCTCTAGGTAAACAATTGATTCAACTGCTACAATATTGGAGGATGGCATGCACTTTTATCTTGGAAGTGCCTAGCAAATATATTACTGCAGGCCTCAGATGGTCTAAGATGTTCTTAGGGCCAGGGTGTAACTGGCCCAGGATGAACTTAAAGAGCTCCACAGACTGTCAAACAGAAGACAGTAAGATGAGTGTTTCTTAGCTGCCCTCATCCCCCTCCCCCACAAATACCTGATTATAGCAGAACTCAGTTACATCCATTAGGAGTTCCACTACATCTGCACTCTAGTTGTTTCCTGTTTTGTTTTATTGCTCCCACCTCCAGGAATTATCATGGAACCATGCAAGCATTAATACAGTGAGGGTGCTCGGGAGTGCTCTTGTTAACCACCTGGGTCATCTCTATACTCCAGAGGTAAACAAGGGCTTTGACAGAACTGCTAAGTCAGAAAATCCTCCAGAGCCCTCTGGAAACCATCTGGATCAATTAACCTCCAGGGCAGGCCATTTTAATTGGTACCCCACACCTCCAGAGGAAAATTCATCTCAATCTTAATCTCAGCAAGCTGTAATCCGATCATGACACAGGAACTGATTTGAAGTCCCCCACCTTCAGATCACTATCTGCTTCTTTAACATTTTATCTTCAGTACATTTTTTTCTGCATTAAAGAGAATACATCCTCCAGTCCAATTTCTTCCTGATGCCTTCAAGGCCTGTCAATCCTGAAGATGGCAAAGTACGAATTTCTGGACAAAACCCAAACATATAAATTCTTCCATGTGTTGGTTTTACTTTATGGATTTGTTCTGATTCTTCTGCTCCTAGTGAAGCCAGTGTATATACACTTTTTTCCTTAATTTCTTCCTAACTGGAAACTCTTAGCCAGCTCAAAATGAACCTTCAGATTACTGTCTTGGTTTAAAAACAAACAAAAAGTATGTCTTTGGTTTTGGTTCAGGTTTGACTGCTTGGTGAACCATAGTTAGGCTGTAATATTTGAAACACCTCGTATTTTGAATTTGTTTATGCAAACTATTATGATTTGCAAGAGTTTGTACATACCTACATGAAAGTAAGGGAGATTGAAATAAAAACCAGATTTTAATTTAAAAAGAACAATATTTGAACATTCATTAGATCTCAATCGTTTATTTCTTAAGTATCTTCTAACGGTCCACACGAGAGCTGAAAGTAATATTGGTAAAACGTAATTTTCATCTCTATTGTCAGTAAGAGAAAAATAAACCATATCCTATATACGGTCTAATTCTGATACACTTGCCTCCACCATCAGAATAGAGATGTTTCTGTGGTACAACACACAACTAATCCTTACTCACCTGATGTCCCTGGGAAGTTCTGGCAATCTCAGGTTTTTTTTAATTGCATAATGGGTAATTGCTAGTACAGCCATGCCCAGACATTCATTTTCAATTTCATGACTCTCCTGATCATTTTTAGGATCCCGAACAGGTGCAAAACATCTTACCAGATCATTCTGTCCCTAAATGCAGTGAGAAAATATGCCTTAGTTACAGGCGCAGTTATAGCACACCAACCACCAAACAGCCATGCAGAAATGGAGTCTTGTGACATGCTAAAGAACAGAATAGTAATGTTGCGTCTTTCCAACAAAAATGGCCACACAAGCTCTACATAATACTTGATTACAAGGAATTACACTAAAGGGATTGCAGCCCAAACAGGTTTATATTTAGCTTATTCATGGGCTGCTTTTTTCCACATCTACATTCAAAGCAAGAATATAATTAAAATGACTAAAACAGAACAAATTAAAACAGAATTGTTATTAAACACTGTCAATGTCATTAATGCACTTCTTTTATATCATGTAGTCTCTGGTTACAATCAACACGTATTGACTGAATAGTTTCCCAAAAATATTAATGGCTTTTTACAAGGGACAATAATGGCTTTTCGCTAGAGATAGTCATGGCTATCTCTAGGGAGCTATGCAATGCATTTGATGACATGTCATCAGTTGTCATGTAGTTCCTTAGAGATAGTCACAGGAACCCATTTTCTTAGACAAAATGTTTTCACCTTCTCCAATGAACTCTTTAACACCTCAAAAAACACATTTGTCCCCACTTCCACATAAGCCTTGTGTTCTATCGGGAACTGGAATTGGAAACTCAACAAATGCTCAACCAGCTCTGCCCTTATACACAGACCCATTGAGATTATTTTAAAATGGACTAAAGTGTTTTGAATGTAATAAGCAGGCACTGAACTTCGGAAGTTCCCTAATAATAAAGTGAGGGAGTAGTAAGTCACTTTTAAAGATCCATGCCAGTGAACTAGTGTGGTAATTCTATGTGTACCAGCTGGCAAGCTAGTTTAATCTTCTCCACAATCCAGTGGCTAAACATTGTGAACCAATCAGTTCACCTTTGGAATGGTCAGCATATTTTATGAAGAGTCTTTTTGGTTTGTTATATCAACTCCATTTAGGATCTGTAGCTCACTTATGTCCTTCATACATTAAGCATATATAATGTTCTTTCAATCGGTGTAGAAAGGGCTAGGAAAAGGCTGGGAGTACAGCCTCTTGATTTAAGTGAAAGACCAAGGAGGCCTTTGGAAGGAAGATCTGGTCTAGTCTTAGGACTACCTTTTCTGTGTGGAAAGTCAGGTATGGAGAGTTTATTCACAGAGCGCAGAGCAAACTTGATCTCTGGTCTGAAGTGAATGGCCACTAAGGAATGAGACCTTCCATGAGAGCATCCATGGATTGATGGTTATGAAGATGCAACGAGCCCATCTGTTCTGATTTGCGATTACTCTCATAGTAAGAGAGAAGGGTGGAAACATGTAGAATAGAGTCCCCTTCCACGGACTGAGGAAAGCATCTCCAAGAGGATTTCAACTAATTCCAGTCCATGAGCAGTAGGTGTTGCATGCTGCATTGTCTTCCACTGCAAAAAGGTCAGTGGATGATTTGCTCCAGACAGTAAAGATGTTGTTCCTGATCTCTGCATTGAATTCCCATTTGTGTAGTCAGAATGGTGCTTGGCTGAGGGCATCTGCCATGGTATTCTGCACTCCTGCCACGTGGATGGTAACCAGAGTTATGTCTCTGTTAATGCACCAGTCCCATATGCGGATAGTCAAACGCACTAGGGATGCAGACCTTCTGCCACCCTGTTTGTTGTGGTAGAAAACTACCATTGTGTTGTCTGAGGCAGCTTGTTGGAAAGGAATTGATGCCTTTTGGACAGCAAGGAGTTCTAGGTGGTTGATGTGTTTTCTCCAGTCTAATCTGGTCCATAGGCCTTGCATTTACTAATGTCGGCAGTGCATGTCCCAACTGGTAAGAGATGCATCTAGGACTCAAATTAGAAGAAATAGGAGCACCCGAGGTGGATGGCTTGGTGTCATCCACGTGCAGAGCACAGCTCCACAGTTCAGCTTTTAGGAGGTCTGCCCAATGTTTTCTCATCTGTTTGGTGAAAACCTGGCAATGGTAGCTCAACAACATGAGTTTCTCCCAGGCAAAAAAGACACATGGAGTAGCCGTCCGTAGGTGGAAGTTTACTACCACATGCCACAGAATTGCAGAATGGGGCTTTCAGTACCATTTTGTCTATTGGACAAACGTGGAAAGTAAAAGGTGGTGGTGGTGGTGGAGGAGGCAGTGGCGGAGGCAAGGATAATAACAAGATTTTTTTTCAGCAAGAAAAGATAAAGTGAAAGGATAACCTGAAGAAAATAGAAATCTGAAAAGCAGTTGGGGGACAAACAAGTTTTGTGAGGTAAGTGGATGAGGAACTGAGATCTTGGTGGGAGCCCTATCCTCATGCTATGTGTTGTCTATGGGCCATCCTCTTGTCAAATAAGAATCAGCTTTGGAATCTTCCTGAAACAGCTCCTTGCATGCATGCATAGCCCACATGTGTGATGCACAGAGATCATAAAGAATAAAAGCTAATCCTCACGGAACGGGGGAGCACCAGAACTTTCTGAGATGAATCACAGTTGCGATGGTATGCCCTTGCAAACCACAACTGGAATGGTCTCATGTGCAGTGTTGCATACTGAACTACTGCCATAGCAGAGGCCATATATTCCAGCAACTGTCGAACTTTCTGAATGGTAGATCTCAGTTTGGAGTGGAGGCGATGAGCTGACCTGATAAGTTTCCACTGGTAGATAAGCTCAGGCTGACAAAGCATCCAGGCAGGCTCCGATGTACATGATAGACTGTGAGGGAACAAGCTTGGATTTTTCAGTGTTAATACACAGTCCAAGATCATGGAGAAGGTGGCACATCATCCTAATGGAATGCAAGAGGTTGGTTTTCAACATGGCCACTAGTAACCAGTCATTCAGATTAGGGTAAATTTGTACATCTTGTAGCCTGAGATGGGTGCACACAACAGCCATACATTTCATACAGCCATACAACAGCACCCTTGGTGCTACTGACAGTCCAAATGAAACCTGGAACTTGTAGGGGTCAGGGCCAATTTGGAACAGTGAGAAATGGCAGTAGTCCAGATGGATGCTTATATGGAAAAATGCATCTTTCATATCTATCAATGCAAACCTTGTCATAAGAGCTGCAAGTTATTTTGTAAGGAAACCATTCAGAATGCCTTATTTGGAAAGAAGTAGTTAACTCCCTAAAGGTCTAATGGGCGTAGGCTACCATCTTTCTTTGGGACAATAAAGTACCTTAAATTGAAACTACGCTGAACTTCAACAGGATGGATTGCCCCCTTTTGCTAGTAAAGTGCTGACTTTTCTCTGTTAGGAAAGCCATTCCTAGAGGTGGCAAGGTCTCAAATTTGATTTTGTATCCCTGTCATACTATGGAAAGTACCCACAGGTCCAATGTGATGGTTTCCCAAATAGGAAGATGGTTTTTTAGGTGATCACCAAAAGAAAATGGTAGAGAAAGAGAGGGACTAGTTCACACTACCCATCAATGCTGCCTCTTTTTGGCGTCCAGCCTTTTTTTAGGTGGTTGCATTTTATTGGAAATAGCATCGCAGCAGCATTGTCAGGCTGTAGGTGGTTGCAAGCATTATTGGCACCCAGAGAAAAAGTATGGGGGCCTGGTGTAATAAGGCTGATACCATATGCGTCAGTCCCATGGCCACTTACGTGGTCTTCTAGTTCAGAAGCTATGAGTGTCTGTGTATTGCCACTGCTCTGACGAGGGTCCTCGAGTCACAATTGATGTAATGGCATGCTGTGGTGATCTGTTGTTTTGAGAGTTGGATGGCTTTGGATAGGTAGACCCTGGCAAACTCCTGTTGTTGGCAAGGTATGAGAGCTGCCAGAACCTCCATCTTCTGCCAGAGAAAGACCTGGTACCTCCCCATTGTGACTTCATAATTAGAGATGCAGAGACCCAGGTCCGTAGTGAAATATAGGCTCCATGCCATCATGTCCAACTGACAAGCCTCCCCATCAGTCAGTGCAGAGTGTTCTCTTTGAGGGCATCCTTGTTTTGTCTCCACAATAATGGAGTTTGGGCACAGATGATAGAATAAGTAGGGTATCACTCTCCTGTACCCTGTACATGCCTTCCAGCCTGTGAGGTTTGGTGAGACTGGATTGGTAGCTCCCAAGGGTCTTTCATGGAGTGAGCTAGGTCAGTCAGAATGGTATTGCTACTGGTACTGTGTCCTCCATTTGGATTATGTCACACACTGAATCCTCCACTGGTTTTGGTGACTTGCTGGGCTTGGAGGCCAAGTGACATTGCCATCCAGAGGAATTGCTGCAAGAAGAACCCTGTCTTCCCTTGAGGATCCCGGGCCTTGGGAGATGACAACATTGTCCAGCAACACGGAAACCAGTTCCTCAAATACTGGAAATGAGTCAGAATCTGAAGCATGGTCCATTATGTCAGATGAGGGTGAGTTGGCAGATGAAGAAGGTCTCTGTTCTTGCTCTGGTTGTGTTCCAGGGGTATATGAGTGCTATAGCTCCAACATGGTTGGATCTGGGACCAGATGGTGACTGAATAGCATCAGAGTCCACTGATCCCTAGGATGAGCACTGGTTGGTGGCTATGGGTAATTGTTTAGCTCCAGAACCTGCTCCCATGGAGAGCCAGGGAAGTAACGACCAGCATATGTAGGAAGTCCCCAATACGGATCTCTCTGGTGCACTGATATGTTTGGTTCAAAGCTGTGCACCAAATGGTGGGCTGAGATCCATGATGGGTTTGATGATGTAATTTGTTAGAGGCATTAGGGGAACAACCAGTGACTTTATGTCCCTCCTTGGAGTTTGTACCACTTGGATCAGAAAAGTGGTCTGAGACACTGGAGAACAGAATGGAGACCCTCGAATTTCTCCTTCTGAGAAGAAAGTTGGTCCTTCAGCAGGCTCAGGTTGGGCTGGTGTGGCTGGAGTCAACACAGCCAGGGAGGCATGGATTGATTGCAAGGCTGGCACTGTAGCGGTAGCCGGGACTGCTGGTGGGGCAGACAAACCGCAACACTCAGTAGCGACCAGTGAATGGTGCCAAGGTTTTTTGTGGGCTTCAGTTTATCCAACATTTTCCCCCTTTGGGTTCCTCCACCATTTTCTATTTTTATTTCTTGTGCTTCCTGGTAGCACTAGAAGAGAATGGTTGTTTGGGCTCCAAAGAAGCCGGATTCAGCAAGTCCACTACCATGGAAAGTGAGCAATTTTTCAAAGCCTCCCGAGAGGTAGAAGGGTGGCTTTTTGGGTCACTGGTATAGCAATGAGATACCTTGGCCACACTTCCATCCTCAGATTGCCAGCCCTATTTTTTCAGGCTTGCTTTGTAAATGCCTGGAAATGGGGGCACTTGTCAAAACAATGCTCCTTGCTGAGGGATCCCAAAGCAGTGCAAATGGTGGTCAAAAGCAAACTAAGAAAATAGTGGGAGCCCCGCCTATTTATGCTACAGTGGAGGAGGGTGGGGCTCCCGCTGAAAATTCTAGACTTAGCTAGAAAAATCTTCCCAAATAGAGGCAATGTAATTGTTAGATTTGTCATGTCAACATTCTCCAGTTGGACCCGATTGTTGACGCTGTGCACACTAGTTTGTCCATGAGGTCTTTGGGCAAGTACGCTCAAGCTGATTGCGAATTCAGCACTGCTCTGACGTACAGAATGCTCTGAGTGGGTAAGAGAACAGATTTCTCTACATAAGCCCAGATTTTCCAGGGCAAGTGCTGTTTATTGACTGAGTTAAGAGATTGTTTGGAATCCATCACAATCAGTCAATTGTCTAAGTATGGATATATGTGTATGTCTCTGAGTCTTAAATAGGCACACACCGGGGCCATACATTTAGTGAACACTCTCACAGTTGTGGAGAGTCCAAATGGCAAAACCATGAATTCATAAGGTTCCATTCCGATCTTGAACTGGAGAAAGTGTCGGTAGTTAGAGCGCATGGCAATGTGAAAGTAAGTGTCCTTTAAATCAATAGAGGCAAACCAGGACTCTTGTTTTAGCAGCGGCATTATGGATTGAAGAGAAACCATTCAACATTTCTTACAGGCAATGTATCAGTTTACTCTTCTTAGATCTAATATCAGCTGCCAACCACCATCCTTCTTCAGTACCACAAACTACTGAGAGTAGAACCCACATTTAAGATAGGATCAGTGCACTGGGCAGATGGTCCCTTTTGTTAGTAAAGAGGTGATCTCCTCCATTACAGCAGGTGATGGAGGAGTTGTGTGGATCGATCCAAGAGGTGGTAGGGTCTCAAACTCAATTTTATATCCATCTGTTATGATGAAAAGCACCCACGGATCATATGTGAAAGATTCCCAAGTGTGTGCATGATGGTTTAAACAGTCTCCAAATTGGTAGGTGATCAGTTCTAGAGGGCTGGTTCGTGCCACCTATCAGTGCTGCCTCTATATGATTCCAGGCTTCTCTTGGGTGGTTGAGTTCCTCCAAATGGATAAGATTGTTGAACCTGCATTCTGAGAGACTTCGCCATACGAAGGACCTGTATCGGGAAGTGCCCAAGGCTTTCTCCTGGAGATCCCTGTCCCTGCACCAAAATCACATTGTCCAGAGATGTGGAGACCAGTCTGGCCATGTCAGAGTCCACATAGTTCATGTCTGTAGAGTCGATGCCAGAAGACAGAAAAGGAGATCTCTTATGCCATTTCTCCTGGGTTCCTGGACAGGTCTTGTTGGCGGACGGGTCTTGATGGTGATCAATGATGAGGAGTAGCTGGAGGTGAAGCCAGCCAGCCATACCAATGAAGATCTGCCATCGGGTCCCAAGGATACCAGAATAATATTGTCTGGAGGCAGGGTACCAGTAGGGTTGTCCACAGTATGGGTGTTGGAGTAGATCCATAGCTGAAACTGATAGATGAAGAAGACATCAACAATAGCTGCATGAAAGTGGACCATATGAGAAGAGCGGAATCAAAGGGGTGGTATCTATCAGGTCCTTTCAGTAAGGCAAAGATCTTGGCTGAGAAGGAACCAAAGATTCTCTGACGTTGCTGTCTGAGAATGATGCCGGAGGTGGTCTTTCCATTTGCAGACTGTGCTCAGATGGCCATTTTCTTCCATTCCGACACCTTGAGTTAGAGATACTTACACTTCCCCTTCTTTTTCCTTGGTTCCTCCAACTCCCCATGCTCAGCAGAAGGCTTAGTTTTAGCTGAAGTGTTGGTGGGAGGATATTTCTTTGAGGCTTCTTTGGAGGTTGAAGTGGACTGACTTCCATGCTCAGCGACACCTCGCATAGCGCCCAAAGCCCACTCCCACACCTCCATCTGGTGTTGCTCGCCGAGGCAAAACAGGCAGAGAGTGTCCATCAGAAGAGGACATTTTGACTCAGCAGCCAGCACACTTTCTAAAGGCCAGTTTGCTGAGCGACAACAGGGTAGAAAAAAGAATAAGAGTGGATAGAGAGAAGAAATACATTGGTAAGTTTTTGGTTTTTTTAATTGGGAGTGATACGGTTTAACGGTTGGGAGGAGAGGGAATGGGTAAGAAAGGGATTATCAAGAGAATAGAGGATCAGGTGGCAACTGGGGGTTTTAAAGGTAATTAGAGGTAGGAATTGAATAGAAACGTTTAGGAAAAGTTCAGAAAAATATGACTGAGGTGTGAAGAGAGAAGGCAACAAACATTAGAGATCCCAATGCACTGGCAAACAGTGGTTGAAAGCAAACTGACAAGATGCCAGGAACCCACCTTTTATATAGGGGATAGGAGGCAGGCTCCCGTTGAAAGTTCTAGGCTATGCTAGAGAAATCTTCCCAAACAGGGCACTGCAAGGGCACAGTACTCATATGTGTGACACACAGGGACCACGACAAAGAACTAGAACTTAATTCAGAGTTTATACCAATTGTGAAATAAAAAGATTAAACAAACATAACCATGAGAATCTCCCTTCTTAGGAGAAACAAAAGTACGTCATAAGAATTCTTAAAAAGCAAGCAGGTTCTATCATAACATAAACATGACTTAGAATCCTTCTTACAAATCACTTGCCTGTGCAAAGAGATATTCCAGTGAATTTGCATCAAGTAGGGGTGTTCCTTCCTGCACTTGCTTCTTTTCATAAGAATTCTTTGGTTTCTTTGGAGAATGTCTCAAGACAGATGGTTCATTTTCATTTGCCCCATGCCAGTTGGTAAAGTAAAACCTTGAGAAAATAATGATAACAACTTCAGGAAAACATTTGATGCTATATGCATAATTCAAAACTTTTAACATATGAAATCTGGAACCTGCAACTACCAAAATGCATCTTGGTAAAAAAAAAATCAACTTAAAGAAATGCTGATTGTCTCAAGATTGCTCAGTTATGACTGCTAACACAAGATTAACAAACCCATATATCCCCAAACAACCCAGCTCATTACTGGTCCTTACTGCTTCCTCGGAGGCCCCACAATCTCAACTACCTAGTAGAGTCCAGTAATGGATTTACAATTTTCCTAACATGGGATTTCCCCTTGACATGCCTTCTATTAAGTGCTTCCCCAAGGCATCCCTGTATCAGCTTTGAATAATGAGCACACATGAGCTTGTCTAGGTAACTCTATTTTCTGCTGGAAGTCCATGGTAGCACCATGTTGCCATGGCAGCATTCCAGCACAATGCAAAGTCACACATTGCACAACTCTTGTGGAAGCTCCTGTAAAATGCAAAGGCAGCTTGAACCTAGATACAGGCATTGATAAACTGTTCTCCTCGCAAAATTTTCAGAGGTTGGGTGTGCTCAACATTTATATGTTCTGTGAAAAGGACAAATTCTATAGCTGATATTGATATGTAAACAAACTGTTGAATGCCTATCCACATCACCTATGAATAGCAAAGAGATGTAAATTGTTTCATGCTCAAGGCACAATGGGCAGTATCCTGCCAAAGCAAGCATCACTTTTCCAATTATTTCAATGGGAAAGTTCAGTATGTGCTTAACTTTTTCTCATGCAATGCCAAAGGGATAGGAAAATATCCAAGTTTTTTCTGGACTGTGCCCCATCTCACACTATTTAGCTCTGCCTTGTACTAGACATTGTCCCATGAAACTGCCAACTCTGAAAAACATCGCAAGTAGAGAAGAGAGCTGGGAGGCAGTTAATAGATGATGGTCCAGTTACCTGCAAGAAAAAAAAATCATACCCATAGTGATTATTTTCTAAGGAATATGTACTGCACCCTAATCTCTACCAATGTGCATAAATTTGTTTTAAATCAAGTCAGAACCAGGAACTTCCAGAGGTTCTTCACTTGGTCCTTTGGGCTCAGGTACCGACTGTTTTTTCCTAGTTGCGAAGTCACGTCCAACCATCACAACCCCACGGACAACATTCCCCCAGGACTTTCTCTCCTCCACCATCCCCCGGAGTCCATCTAAGCTCACACCAACTGCTTCAGTGACTCCATCTAGTCACCTCATTCTCTGCCATCCCCTTCTTCCTTTGCCGTCAATTCTTCCCAGCATTAGGGTCTTCTCCAGTGAGTCCTTCCTTCTCATTAGGTGGCCAAAGTATTTGAGTTTCATCTTCAGTATATGGCCTGTATATATAAACAGCAGTCAGGGTTGATCTCCTCTAAGACTGACTGGTTTGATCTCTTTGCAGTCCAAGGGACTCGGAGCAGTCTTATCCAGCACCACAATTCAAATACCTCAGTTCTTTGGAGCTCAGCCTTCCTTATGGTCCAACTTTCACAGCCATACATTGCAACTGGGAAAACCATAGCTTTGACTATACGAACTTTTGTTGGCAGGGTGATGTCTCTGTTTTTCAGCATGCTGTCCAGATTTGCCATAGCTTTTCTCCCAAGGAGTAAGCGTCTTTGAATTTCTTTGCTGCAGTCCCCATCTGCGGTGATCTTGGAGCCCAGGAAAATAAAATCTGTCACTACCTCCATTTCTTCCCCATCTATTTGCCAGGAAGGATGGGATATTATGATCTTGGTTTTCTTAATATTGAGTTTCAAGCTAACCTTTGTGCTCTCCCCTTTCACCCGCATCAAGAGGATCTTTAGTTCCCCTTCACTTTCTGCCATTAGAGTGGTATCATATGCATATATGAGGTTGTTGATATTTCTCCTGGCAATCTTAATTCGAACTTGTGATTCATCTACCCTGTGCTTTCCCATGATGTGCTTTGCATATAAGTTAAATATGCACGGCGACAGTATACAGCCTTGCTGAACTCCTTTCTCAATTTTGAACCTATCAGTGGTTCCATGTCCAGTTCTCATTGTTGCTTCTTGACCCACATACAGGTTTCTCAAGAGACAAATAAGATGGTCTGGTACTCTCATCTCTTCAAGAACTTGCCACAATTTGCTGTGATCCACCCATCGTGGTTATCAGAGATGTTAAAATCTTTCTTGTATAGTTCTTCTGTGTAATCTTGCCACCTCTTCTTAATCTATTCTGCCTCTGTTAGGTTTCTGCCATTTTTGTCCTTTACCATGCCCATCTTTGCATGAAATGTTTCCTTCATATCTCCAATTTTCTTGAAAAGATCTCTAGTCTTCCCTTTTCTATTGTTTTCTTCTATTTCTTTACAGTGTTCATTTAAGAAGGCCCTCTTATCTCTTCTAGCTATTCTCTGGAATTCTGCATTCAATTGGGTGTATCTTTCTCCCTTGCCTTTCGCTTCCCTTCTTTCCTCAGCTATTTGTAAAGCTTCCTCAGACAGCCATTTTGCTTTCTTGCATTTCTTTTTCTTTGGGATGGTTTTAGTTGCTACCTCTTGTAAAATGTTGCAAACCTCTGTCCATAGTTCTTCCATTTTTAAGTTGTTATTATTTTTTACCAATTTAAACAACAACAACAATTATTCCAAAGACATCAGACATACTGGGTTATTATCTTATTCTTTTTACAATTAATGTATATTTCAGCCCTACGTATAGTCCCATTTAACCAATGATAGAAAAAAATCCCAAGTTTGATAATAGTATGTATCTTCTTTCTCCTTAAGAGACAAAGTCAGTCTGTCCATTTCCGCACAGTCTAGTACCTTCTTTAAAATCAGTTCCTCAGTTGGTAATTCTTCATTCCTCCAATATTGTGCAAATACAATCCTTGCCACTGTGATTACATGTAAAATCAAATATGTGCTTTGCTTATCAAAGTCATCAGGAAGAATGTCTAATAAAAATACTTTGGGTTTAAATATTAGAGGTCTTTGCAACATTTCCCCAAGCCATCTGTGTATTTTAACCCAGTATTTTTTTGCTTTGTCACTGGTCCACCACATATGATAAAAAGTACCAGGTTTTTGTTTACATTTCCAACATCTCTTTGACATATTTAAGAACATTCCTGCTAATCTATTTGGCAACAAATACCATCTATAAAACATTTTATAAATATTTTCTTTATATGAAGTAGCTAAAGTTATCTTAATGTTTCTTTCCCACAACTTTTGCCATTTCTGTAGTTCAATATTATAACCAAAGTTTTGTGCCCATGATATCAGTTTCCTTAACTTGTTCATCTTCCATTTTCATATCTAAGAGAAAGTTATACAATCTTTTAATCATTTTTCATCTGATTTTAAAATTATTTGATCAAACATTGTTTATTCCTTATAAAAACCATACATTTTATAATCTTTCGCATGCCTCGATTGTATTTGCATTTGATGCCACCAAGAAAGATCAATACCCTGTTCTTGTAATTCTTGATCTGATTTCATTTTTCCATCATTATCAGGAATGTCATTGTACCTCACAATCTTATTGAAGTTCAAAGCATTTGAATATACAAGGGCTTCCATAGGAGAAAGCCATCTCAGTACCTTAGTATAAAGTTTTATCTTTAATTTTTCCCAAACCGACATCAATGAGTTCCTACTATAACGGTTTTGAAAATAGCCATGTATTTTAAATTTCTTGTACCACATAAAGCAGAAACACTTAAAACATCTGTTTTTTTCCATGGACAGGACATCTTGGAGAGCTTTCATAGGGTCACCATAAGTTGGAGACAACTTGATAGCATATAACACAACAACACTCATGTAGGCAAAAACTGACAACTGGTTGTATTTTAAGAACAGGAAACTGAATATAATATCTAACAGAAGGACACATTTCCTTGACAACATAACACCTCACTACATAATGTCATACATACCTCATGCGATAATGAATCTGGAGTGCAGTTTTGTCATCTACCTGGAAGACATGATTTGGTGCATACCACAAGTTTCTGCTTTCATCAAACAGTGCAAATAGATTGTGACACAATGGTGATATAGCTGTTTCAAAATAAAATGACAGAAAATAATGAACTCAGTCACAGTAGGCACCTTGAAAAATACACCTTTACACAATAGAAATGGTTTACTATTAAGAAGCAGCTATATTTAATAATAAAAATATAAAAGTACTACAGTAATACGAATGCTTCACGAATGCTTCTGTTGGTTCATGAACAGAAAGTTCAGCAAAATTTTGCTTCCGTTCGCAAACTCCGCATCAGGTGACAAACACGGTCATGGCCATCTTCCCCACTAGAACATGCTCTGACACATGGTCGCCATGTGCGGAAGATGATCGCAATTGTGTTCATGTGGGGAAGATGGCAACAAACGTGTTCGCACGGGAAGATGGCCACAATCATGTTTGCACAAACACAAACACTGCCATCTTCCCCGCTCTGACACGCGGTTATGGCTTCCTCTAGTTGAGACCGCCGTTGAAGACTCTCCCTCCAAACAATAACCTCCTCCCCACCCACCCACCTGTCCTCCACAGCAGAAGTCGCCTCAAGCAAGGATAGTGCTCTCTCTCTTCATTCTGTACTTTAATATTTTTGTGGTTAAAAAAAAATTACATATGGTTCAGAACGGAGTAACTTTATTTACATTGAACCTTATGCGGAACTTTAACTCGGTTTGCGACCAATTCAGTTCGTGACCAGAATCATGGAATGAATTAAGTTCGTGAACTGAGGTACCACTGTATTATAGCTTCTTTTGATTGCAGGTATTGAATTAAATCCAATGGCATACTAGTGGAAGTTACTGCATATAAGAGGGATGCGATTTCCCCCTCTCCTTCCTGCATGCTGCCTGTTAAGTCACCTCCAGGAGGCTGTCAAACCCACTGGAGCAGATTTTGAGAGCGTGTCAGGAAAAGCAGGTTGCTTACCTGTAACTGATGTTTTTCGAGTGGTCATCTGTGCAGTCACACATATGGGTGCTGCACTTGCACAGTGCCTTTGGCTGGAAGATTGCAAGCTAACGGTTTTTGGTGGGGAAAAAAGCTCCGCTCCCCCTCCCACATGGCCTATAAAGAGCAGAGCGTCCGCCATTTTGTTCAGTGTTTGACGACCGAACGTACACCCCCTTGTGGAAAAAATTTTCAGTATGAATAAGATAGGAAAAAGGATCGGTACCATGAAAAAAGGAAATACTTTTGGTACCGACAAATATGTCCACTCACCGACACCGAGCGGGGCCGGCGGGTGGGTTGTGTGACTGCACAGATGGCCACTCGAGGAACATCAGTTACAGGTAAGCAACCTGCTTTTCTTTGTCGTGGCCTCTGTGCATCAACATATGGGTAGATTAACAAGCTTACCATAAAGGAGGAGGGGAGGTGTCTTCAATGAAGAACAGATGAAAGAACGGCTCTGCCAAAGGAGCAATCCTGCCGAGCCCAAACATCTAAACGATAATGTCTGGCGAAAGGACAAGGGTTCGCCCAAGTAGCAGCTCGGCATACATCATCAAGCAGGACCCTCGATGCAAAGGCGGATGAGGCTGCAACAGCCCTAGTCGAATGGCCTTGAGGGGCTGTAGGCAAATCAATCTTAGCCAGTTGATAGGATAAGGTTATAGTATGGACTATCCACTTGGAAAGTCTCTGTGAAGTAACCGGATCGCCTTGATCTCTGGTGGAATATTTAATGAATAGTCTATTTGAACGTCGAATAGATTCAGTCCTCGATCTGTAGAAGGCTAAGCAGAGCCGAACGTCAAGTGAATGCAAGGATCTCTCTAGTGGAGTCGACGGTGACGGAAAAAAGGCAGATAAAATAATATCCTGTCCCATATGAAAAGGCGTAGTCACCTTAGGAAGAAAAGAGGGGTCAAGGTGCAAAACGACCTTTTCTCTGTGAAAATTCAGGTAAGGCGGGTCTATGTGAGCACAAAGCACACTGGCCCTTCAGGCTGAAGTGACTGCCACAAGAAACGCTGTCTTCCAGGAAACCAGACGCAAATCTACTGTTGCCAATGGTTCGAAAGGAGCTCTCGTAAGCGCTTGCAGAACAACAGAAAGACTCCAGGTAGGCATTACTGGTCTGATTGATGGATTAAGCTTATGCAGTCCCTTAAGAAATCTCTTAACAATAGGTTGAGAGAAGATAGGTGATCCGTCAACTAAGCCACGATGGTAGGCTATTGCTGCCGTATACACTTTAATTGAAGATGGCTTTAATCCAGAATGATGCAGTTCTAATAAGAACTGAAGGATTTGATGTATAGATGACGTAAATGGAGAGAACGAACGAGACTCGGCAAAGGTAGAGAATCGTCTCCATTCAGCCGTGTAAGATTTCCATGTGGATGGCTTTAAAGCAGAATCGAGGATATGTTGGATATCAGGATGAAAGGCTGTCGGATTCGACGGGTCAAGCCTTGAATCCGATGGTACAAAATGAAGAAGGGAAGAGAAAACGCCGAATCGATTGGACTCGACAGCAGGATTCGATTCAGTTGAAGTTGTCGTCGATACCGGTGGTGCACTGGTAGCTATTGGATTCGCCACGCTATTAGGTTCAATGACAGCAAGTCCAGGTGGTGAAGCGTACCGTCCTGTTGGGTTCTAAGGTACGGAAGCAGTGGTAGATGAAGGTATTCCCCATGAGAGATGTCGAGTAGTGTCGCAAACCAAGCTTGGCATGACCACCAAGGGACAACTAGTATCTCCGAGGCTCGATCGTATACTATCTTCACTATGACCCTCACCATAAGAGGGATTGGAGGGAAGGCTTAAAAGATCATGTTGTTCCATGGGATCATGAAAGCATCCACTAAGGATCCATCTCCGATTCCTGCTCTCGAACAGTAAGCATTGCACACCTTGTTCTGTTGGGTGGCGAATAAGTCCACATCGGGGGAACCCTAGTGATGAAAGAGATGGTCGCGAGTGTGAGGATCTAGCTCCCATTCATGAGAGACGAACGTGTGCCTGCTGAGAAGATCTGCTTGCACATTGTCCGCACCAGCTAGATGAACAGCCATCAACATAATGTATCTCGGAATGCACCAGTCCCAAATTTTCATTGAAAGTCTGGCCAAAGTCGGTGACTTTGTTCCCCCGTTTGTTCAGATAGAAGACGGTAGCTACGTTGTCCGAAGTTATCTGAATGACCCGATGTTGGAGAATGTCCTCGAAAGAGTGTAGGGCTTTGAATACTGCCAACAGCTCCAGGAAGTTGATATGATTTGTGGACTCTCGACGATTCCACGTGCCTTGGGTATATAGGCCGGAGCATATCACTCCCCATCCCAGAAGAGATGCATCGGTACCGAGGGTTATCGAAGGACATCGTGCCCTGAAGGGGACTCCAACAGTCAGATTGGCTGGTACCGACCACCAAAGTAGAGAATGGAGCACCGAGGATGGGATTCGAATCAACTTCGACGGTGGGTCTCTCTGAGGGTGGAACATCTTGTTGAAGAGGAGTTGTAACGGACGGAGTCGAAGCCTGGCGTGCAGCACCACAGCAACCGAGGAAGCCATATGCCCCAGGATCCTCTGGATGGACTTCGCCGGGACCGTCCCATCTCATCGCATTCAATGAATGTGGCGAGCAAGAGTCTGTTGTCTGTCCCAAGGAAGGAAGGCTTTCTCCAATGTCAAATCCAGGCGGGCTCCAATGAAGGTAAGTGTCTGCGTCGGAAGAAGAGAAGATTTCTCGGTATTAATGCGTAGGCCCAGATCATCCAATAAGGCACAGGTTGTACGGATGGATGCAAGGAGTCCTTCCCTAGACTGAGACACTAGCGGCCAATCATCGAGATATAGGTAAATTTGTATGCCTTGGACGTGTAGGAAGGCACAGACAGGGGCCACACATTTGGTGAATACTCTTGGAGCTGTGGCCAGTCCAAATGGTAAAACTGTAAACTCGTAGAAATGGGGTGCAACAGCAAAACGAAGGAAGCACCTATAACTCGGGTGGATCGAAATGTCAAAATAGGCGTCCTTCAGGTCCAATGAGGCGAACCAATTCTCTTTCCTTAGCAATGGCAAAATATTCTGAAGGGTGGTCATCCGAAACTTTTTCGTCACAATAAATTGATTCAGATTACGTAAGTCCAAAATCGGATGTAAGCCACCATCCCGCTTCGGGACCGTAAAGTATCTGGAATAGAATCCATGGAGTCCGTCAGGTGGGGATACTTGACGAATCGCTCCTTTACGAAGAAGTTGTCGTATTTCATGGAGCAGTACCGGTGAGCATGATGTAAACCGGATTGAACTTGGAGGAACGATGTCGAATTCTATCCGATAACCGTGCTGAATGATGGACAGTACCCACCGATCAGATGTAATGGACTCCCAAATGGGGAGTCGACTTCGCAGCCGATCCCCAGATGAAAGGGGGGTGGGTATGGAAGAAGGCAGAGGAGAGGTTTGCCAGTCCTGTCAAAGCTGTCTCCTGTCATCAAAACGGCGACGGCCCTGTTGATAGTGTTGCTGGGGCTGTGGATGGCGGCGCTGCTGTTGCTGCTGCTGTCGGTGCTGGGGCTGCTGTCTAGGTTGGTATGACTGCCTATAAGATGGACGAGTCCATGACCACTTACGCCTGGTCTGGGTCTGTATCTCCATCCTGCATGCCGTCATGCGGGATTCGTGCAGCTTCTTCAATTTGTGGTCGGTGCGAGAGTGGAAAAGTCCGAACCCATCGAAAGGCATCTCCTCTACACGACGTTTAGTCTCCTCCGGGAAGTTACAATTTCTGAGCCAGGCGTGTCTCCGGAGCAAAACAGCACCAACCAAGGCCCTCGAGCCCGTGTCCACATGATGTCTGGCTGTGGATAACTGCTGGACAGCAACCTGCATTGCCTCCTTGATGAGGACCTTGGCCAGGTCACCCTGGTGGTCCGGGAGGGTCGAGGTGACATTGTGGAGGCACTGCATGATGAAGTATTGGTACCTCGCCAACGTCGCCTCGTAATTGGAGATATGCAGCCCCAGGCCTGAAGCAGCGTAGACTCGCCTGGCCAGGGAGTCGATCTTTCGGCCCTCCTTGTCCCATGGTGCAGTGTGACCTCTCACCTCTCTACCCTGGGAGGACTCCACCATGACCGAGTTCGGCTTGGGGTGGCGGAGGAGGAAGGGGATGTCCTCCTCCCGAGCCCGGTACATGGATTCGTACCTCCGGGACATGGGTTGAGGGTGAGAGGGCAAGTCCCAGGGCTGCATCATCACTTGCCGTAAGGTGGTTATCAGCAGCAGGACGACCGACGTAGACTGCTCCCCGCAGATGACGTTGTAGAACTTGGCCGTAGTTGGTCCCAGACGCTGGACGGTGTCGATGTCGAGGGACTGGACAAGCTGGGACATCAGCTCCACGAAGGAGACATGAGATTCGTCCAGTGACGCAGGGCCCTGGGATGTCACAGCGATGTCTGGGGAGGTTGAATTGACCTCCGAATCATCGGAGTCGCTGCTGTAATACGGGGGAGCCAATGACGAGGACTCCGCCAGAGAGAAGGAGCGGCTACTCCCATCCCAAGGAGGTATCGGAGATGCATGCCTCGGGTCTGAAGACTGTGGTCGGTCGCGGGACAGTGGAGAAGATCAACCCCTAGGAGCGGGATAATACCTGACGGAGAGCGGATCGCCCCAGGTGTGATAGTAGGGACGATGCCATCCTTCCGAGCGCTGTTCCATGGAGCGGTTCCTCCAGCTCCTAGGTGGGGACATCTCCACATCCGCCTCCACAGTGGATAGGTGTAGGCGACCGAGTCCTGGGGGAGGGGGGGGGAGTCCTGAATTTCCCCATCAGAAATTGAGCCTCTTTGCAGAGTTGGAAGAGACCCAGTGGGAAGGTCAGCCACACGGCTCGGGCCTTGAGGGGTAACCCGCATAGCCTCCTGAAGCACTGGGTCGGGTGGAGTCGGTACAGTAAGTGCTGCCAGTACCGAGGGGGCCGTCGAATCCGAGTCCCAGTGTCGAGGATGCTCCGAATCCTTCGATTTCTTGGAATGTTTCGAAACTTTCTCCTTCCTGGCCTTCTTATGGCCTGCCAATTTGTTGGGTTCAGCATGCTTTCACTTCTTGTGCTTTTTCTTGGGAGAAGCAGAGGGAGCCACCATAGTAGACGCGCCTTCGTCCAAAGGGCGTGAAGGTGGGGCCACTGAAGCGGAGCCAGGCTTTGGAGCAGCAACAAGCGGATCCGACTGCATGAGAGCCCGATCCCAGAGGAGCCTCCAGAGGTGATTCTCACGGTTCTTCCTGGCCTGCTTAGAGAAGGCCAGGCAGTGAGAGCACTTATCAGTCCTATGCCCCTCACCCAAGCAGAGGAGGCATAGGTCATGCGGGTCAGTTGGTGACATTTTTGACCTGCACTCCGCACATTTGCAGAAAGCCGCTCACTGCGCCATCGCAGGAAAGGGAAAAAAAGAGAGATAGTGCAGAGGGTAAGTGTGTGTGTGTGTGTCTGTGTGTATTTTTAGATAGATCGAAAGAAAGGTAGAACGAAAGAGAAAACTACAAGAACTATACAAAGTAGAGGAACTAAGATGAACAAGAAGAAAAATACCGGGGCTATAACAACTGGGAGAACAATCGAGAAGAAAAGAGGCTATACGAGCAACGGTCAGAGCGAGAGCGAAAGCGGCACAAGACACAGCGAACGGTGGTCGCAAAGACTGAACAAAATGGCGGACGCGCCGCTCTTTATAGGCCATGGGGGAGGGGGAGCGGAGCTTTTTTCCCGCTAAAAACTGTTAGCTTGCAATCTTCCGGCCAAAGGCACTGCGCAGGCACAGCACCCATGTGTGTGATGCACAGAGGCCACGACGAAGAAGAACTCATATCCCTCCCAGTTCTGCTGACGGTATTAGACCACTGGATCTAACCTGTTAAGGACACAATCCTATGGCCACTTGACAGAATCTAGATGGTTGTAAGAGAGATCAAAGTCCAAATAGCAAAATAGGAAACACTCTGGGAACAGAGGTGGAACTCTGACCTCAAAGCACCCTTCCTCCACCTCACACCTGGTGTGGGAAGAACTGTGGCAGCTGTGGCTCTAAGGTCTAAAGAGTTTGGAGGGTTATGGACAACCACAATGGATTATGCTTTTTCTGTTTTACTCATAGGTTATTGATAGAAGACAGGAAAGGTTCAAGGGATTTGCATTCTGAGATGACTAATCATAAAAACATTTTGTAAGTAAATAACAGCCAAGATTTATGTCAATCTAGCAGCAACATACAGTACTACCCATGCATATGGACAAGTTTGATTTCAATACATCCCTGCAGCAAGCTCGTGCACTTCCTCTCCAATTCTCCCTTCAGCTACAAACAGAATGCCAAATTGGTAAATGCTTCATTTATATGAATATCCCTGATCATACCAACTCTTCCCATTGCTTTCAATGAAATACCAATGTCAGAGTCCTTCCATTAATGAATGATGGCTTAATGCATTTGAGACTTCTTAGAGTCCCACATCATCTGAGATGAAATTCCCAAATTCAGTAAATTTATGCCAAATAGCACCCTACCATCAGGAGCAAAAAGTCAAATATAAATATTTTCTTTATGGAGAAAGAAAAGAAGTGGGGGAGGACCCTCCACAAGCTAAAGTCAACCATTCATTTGTGACTGCCCTGAAAGAAGAATTAATTGCAAATGTGCTATACAGCATACATACAAAGAAATAGCTTTTAAACTGAATTAGCATAAATAATAAATGGACTTTTATATTCATTGTAATTGATAATACAGTGTTGTTAATCAGCAGCCAAAATAAGTAGATTAATGGATATCGTCTTCAAGTCTACCCAAGAGATCTTCACTGTCCTAGAATGAGGTGTAAAAGCACATATTAAAATGCATGTAATGGAAGCACCTTTAAAGTAATGATGTTTCAACAACCAAGAAGTGAGGTGCAAGAGGAAACAAAAACTTAATGGAATTTTACCTTCTTTTTCATGCTTTATGTGTATTGGAACATTTCTGCAAAAACTAACCTACAACACACTTTACTATTTCCAACAAGGGTAGATCAGACCAAAGGATTATTTAATCCAGCAGTCTCTACCCACAGTGGCCAGATGCTTATGAGAAGCTCACACACAGGATATGAGTGCAAATGCCTCTCCAACTCATGCTCTGTGGCGGCCCCCATCCATAGAATGACCTCTACACTGAGGCCTACCTGGTGCCAACGCTGTCATTTTTCAGCATCATGTTACGACAGTCCCAAGACTTTTAAAGATATACCCCTGAGGTGGGTTTAAAGATATGCTTTAAAGAGAGTTTTAAGAGATTACCTATCCCAGGTGTTTTTACAGGACTATATAGTATATTTTATCTGTTTTTTGTTTTGTTTTAAAATGTTTGTATTTTGGTTAGATTTTATGGTATCATTGTACTGTTTTTATGAAATGTGCACTGTCCACACAGCTTTTGTTATTGACCTTTATAGAGATTAAATTAAGATAATTTAAAAGCAAATTGAAACATCTGATTCTTTAGTGCCAAGTAAACACAGGAAGCATGGGAGCCACATACATATTATGTAGTATATCAAATAAGATTCTTAATTTCTAGATAAGATGGTAGTATGCTGTGTCCTAGAGGAGAATACAATTTCATCCATCACCAGTCTCGCAGCTCTATTCAGGTTGGCAGGTGTACTTCTATTTTATTTCAATTAAACCTCAGTTATTTGCCTCATCCATCCCAAAACTGTATGCAGACTCTTGTGCAAGATTTCCACAACCTCCCTGAGACTAGCTGAAGGGAATGAGAAGTAGAGTTGCATGATGAAAGTTTAGGCCATGAATGTTTTGGGAAAGAGGGTTGGGTGGGCCTCCATGGGGTCAGTGCATGGGGCCAGTGCATGGGGCCATATCCTTTCACTGGCACTTTAACTGACGCCCTGGCTTCATCATGTGGACTTTTCCATGCAGGGCAAAACCTATCTAGAGTGTTCACACTATAATGCTGCTGATGATGATGATGTTCATTGCAGGGCTGGGTGATATGTGGCTTTCCAGATATTGTTGGACAATCCATCAGTCCTAGCCAGTATAGTAAATGATGAGAGACGATCAAAACATTAAGAGGGCCACAAGTTCCCCATCCCTTGTTTAGCAGGATAGGGTCTACTATTGCAGGAGCCATGCTGATTTTTCTTCAACTAGAAATGTCTGTTTATACACTTGATAATTTTATCCTTAATAATGATCTCCATCAATTTACCAGGAGCAAATGTTAAACTAATTGGCTTGCAATTTCCTGGATCCGTCAGCAGCCCCCTTTTTTGGATTATTAAGACAGAAGATTAGTGAAACTCACAACACTTCCGAGCAGCTTCAATGCAAAGGTCTTCTGCTGTATACTTGCCACACCTATACCAAAGAGAAGGCTTCTCTTGTAAATAGAATGCTACTTCCAAGCCCTGCTCTTGAGCTTCTGTGTTCACGTCATTCTTCTTGGAGCTTCTCATTTTTGCACAGAAAGCCATAGCTTTGCAGTCTTCTTTTACACTTAAATACTATATACAAGAAAGGAAAGAATGACACAAAAATACAAAACAGTTAAAATATTCTGGCTCTGTTCCCTGTCTTGCACGTGAACTTGTATTCTAGTTAATGTCAATGGAAAATAATAGAAAACAGGAAATACAGAAAACTAAAAAGACTAGAAAACTTCAACAAAATACTGCTAAAAGGCAGGGTTCTAGTAAGAAAAACTGATAGGCTTAGGGATCCAGAATGCCAAGCTGAAATGCAATATTTGCAAATAACTTTCAGTCTTCAGTTTTCATCTATAACATATAAGAATGATTAAGTTCTTTATTTTGATACCAACAAACACCAGCTATTGGTCTGGTCACTGTCATAAGAAAACAAGATGTTTATATATTTATATAATCTCTGTAACAACTTCAGGTTCAGCATATGGTGAACTGCTGTAACTTGGTGACATGCAACAGCAGGGAATTGGACTCGATGGCCTTCATGATCCCTTCCAATTCTACTATTCTATGTTTTGCTCTTTCTTTACATCATAAATTTAGTGAAGTAGATGACTTAATTTTTTTTTTTTTTTACAATGCAAAAGATCACAGATTGGTCCCTATGAGTAGGTGTTACTCATTTACTTGAAAAGTATTTTAGCAAAATCAGTAAGTGCTATCATCCAACGTCAGATATTTCTGCCAAAGCCGTTTCAGGACGTGGTGTAGGGGCTGAGGGCTACAAGGCAGCTGAAGATATTGCTTAATCTATAACTGATTTATGTACCTTGCTTAAAGGAGAACTATTTCAGCATTTTGCTAATAAGCATGTTGTAGTGCTAGCTTATATTCTGCTCTGCCGCTCCACAGTTCTAATCTATGTTTGTTGAACCATCCATCTCAATTCTTTATAATAGCCACATATGGTACTAGAACACTTTCCTGCCAAAGTAACTAATCAATAATAATAAATGATAAATATTAGCAATTAATATTACAAATAATTGGAGCACATAACACAAGGTTTTACACTGTTGAATTTGTTCACAACAAATTCTGCGAATGTCTAAGTTGCTACAGAAAGTAAATGTTTGTGCTCCATCTGTAAAGGTGGTTGTCCCAGCATGCTATTGCATTTGTTTGACTGGATTGTGAATTCATTAATGCTTGGCACAGCGCATTGATAGATACTATTCTCTCTTACATGCTCTTCTGATCTGACTTTGTAAAAATAAAAACCCCTTCTTTGAGCACTCAGGATGTACAGACTTATCCACATAGATGCTACCACTTGCTACTGAAAAAGTGGGCTTTGGACCACAAAATATTATGCCATAATAAAATATGTTATTTCTCTAAGATGGGGATAGGAAACTTCTGGTGTTTTGGGGAAGGCATATTGCCCCAAGAACTACAGGGACACATCCCACACTGAAATTAGGTGGTGTAACAACTGTTTAGTGTGAATAAAAAGTGCATAATATTTGTACACCTTATTTTCAATTAAGATTATTACTTTTTTGCTGCTGCCACTGCAAAAGCAAGTTCAGCAATGGAGTTTGCAAAAAGGCTGTGACAGCCCTTGTGGAGAGCCCTTTAGGCATCACAGGTAAGTCCAACTTGGATAGTCAGCAGGACAGTTCAATAGTTTAAACAATCCACTTGGAAAGTCTCTGGGAAGTAATAGGGGAGCCTTTGTCATGTTCCGAGCATTTGACAAAAAGGCGCTTATAGTTTTCCTAAAGAACTCTGTCCGGGATTGATAGAAAGCTAAGCATCGTCGGACGTCCAGTGTTTGTAAGGAACGTTCTATCAGTGTTGAAGGCGCAGGAAAGAAGGCCAGCAAGACAATATCCTGATTGCAAAGCAATCTTAGGAAGAAAGGCCGGGTCTGTATGGAGAATGACTTTCTCTTTGTGAAAGTTGAGATAAGGAGGATCAACCCGCAGGGCACAGAGTTTACCAGCCCTCCTGGCTGAAGTAATAGCTATAAGGAAAGCAGTTTTCCAGGATAGAAGATGTAAGTCCGTCGTGGCTAATGGTTCAAACGGAGGTTTAATAAGAGCCTGGAGAACAACAGAGAGGCTCCACGTCGGTACCACTGAACAGATCAGTGGCTGGAGATTCTGTAATCCTCTCAAGAACTGACGAACGAGGAAATGTGAGAATACCGAAGAGCCAGAGACAGAGCTGCTATGATGTGAAATGGCCACAATGTAAACTTTAATAGAAGAAGGCTTAAGTCCATTCTGGTAGAGATAAAGAAGAAATTGTAAAATGTTCTCGCTAGAGGCTGATTGGGGGATAAACTGAATGGCCAACACGAAAGAAGTAAAGCGTGTCCAGTTAGCATTAATAGGAACAGCGCGTAGCCGGTCTTAACACAGATTGGAGAATAAATTGTATGTCAGGATGGAGAGCGTTCGAATTCGATGATAATGTAGGTACTGATATTGAAACTGATGGTATAGCATCATCAGGAGATTGTGTAAAGTGTGTCGGATCAGGCAGATTCTTTGGTACCGAAAAGACAGTGTCAGTCATCGAATGAGCCAAGCCGAAAGGTTCAGAGAATGGAGATCTGGATGTTGCATGGCGCCATGTTGTTGAGTCAGTAAATGAGGAATTCGCGGAAGACGAAGAAAGTTGTTTCTGGAGAGACAGCGAACGGTGGGAAACCACGGTTGACGGGGCCACCAAGGAGTTATGAGAATCCTGTGAGCATCGTCCTGATGGATTTTGGCTAGAGTTCTTGTAATTAGTGGTATCGAAGGAAAGGCGTAAAAGAACCTGTTGATCCAAGGGATCATCAGTGCGTCCCCAACAGAATTCTGGCCGATGCCCACTAGGGAGCAATATGTCATGCACAGAGTTGTGGGTAGCAAACAAGTCTATGCCCAGTGGTCCCCAAAGTTGGAAAAGGTGTTGGCAGACTTGGCAATCTAACTCCCACTTCTGAGTCATCGACATGTGTCTGCTGCGGGAATCTGCTTCCTTGTTGTCGGTTCCAGCAAGATGAACAGCTAGAGGAACGATCCTGTGGGTAATACACCAGTCCTATAGACAAAGAGCAAGGTAAGTCAGAGGGGCTGACTTTGTACCACCCTGTTTGTTTATGTAAAATACAGTCACAATAGTGTCCGAAGAGATCTGAACAGGCCGGTCCTGAAGATTCCTGCAGGACTGGAGGGCTTTGAAGACTGCCAGCAGTTCCAGATAATTGATGTATCTGGTGGTCTCGTGTCCCTGTCAAGTTCCCTGAGTGTGGAAGTAGGAACAGTGGACTCCCCAACATGTAAGGGAGGCATCAGTGTAGAGAGTTAGGGTTGATTGAGGTGGTCAAAACAGGACCCTGATAGAAAGGTTGGCCTCTATAGTCCACCATGACAGGCTCCAAAGAATGGAGGCAGGTGGTTGAAGCAGATGGTGCTTTGTGGGGTGGAAGAGACAATTGAACCAAAGCTACAATGGTCTTGTCCGCAATCCGGGGTTCAGTACTACCAAGACCATGGAAGCCATATGGCCAAGAAGCTTCTGTATGGATAGTGCCAAAACGATCCAACTGAGTAATGATCCAATGGATGAAGGAATGAAGCTTGTCCTTTCAGTCTCAAGGAAGAAAGGCTCGGACGCGGAGTGAATTGAGGCGAGCTCCGATGAAATTGATGACCTGAGAAGGAACAAGGCAGGATTTAACATTAATACATGGTCCAAAACTGTCAAGGAGAGAACAGGTAGTATCGATGGCTGCTAGAAAGCCTTTCCCTAGAAGAGGAGACGATAAGCCAGTCATCAAAATAAGGGTAAACATGGATGCCTTGAAGTCTCAGGTGGGCGCAAATGGGAGCCATACACTTGGAGAAAACTCTTGGAGCAGTGGTGAGGCCAAAAGGAAGAACATTATATTCAAAGATGTCGGTACCGACAGTGAACCGGAGGAGACGCCTGTGAGCAGGATGGATGCTTATATGGAAAGAAGCGTCCTTTAAATCCAGGGTTGCGAACCAATCCTCTTTTCTGAACAATGGAAGGATATTTTGGAGTGTAGTCATCCAAAATTTGTTAGTTTTGATGAACTTGTTCACGCCACGTAAGTCCAATATCGGGCGTAGACCACCGCCCTTCTTAGGGACCATAAAATATCTTGAGTAAAAGCCATGGAGCCCCTCGGAGTGTGTAGTTGTCGAATCACTCCTTTATAAAGTAGCTGGGAAACTTTGTCTTGAAGGACCAGGAAAGAAGGTGTTTACCGGATTAGACCCGGTGGGGGGGCATGGTGTCAAACTCGATTTTATATCCATGCTCCACAATGGAAAGTACCCACTTATCAGATGTGATGGACTTCCAGATGGGGAGTTGGCTTTGTAACCGATCCCCAAAAGGAAGGGGGAGGGTGGGTTGGAGGATCGAAGAGAGGTTCGCACGTCCCGCCAATGCTGATATTTGTCGGTCTTGGGACGATGACAGGCCTGTTGATACCAAGGCGCGGTTTGTCTGCAGTTCCTTTGCTGGCATGGTTAGAACTGCTGACGGCCAGCATACTGAGGATATGGTTGATAACGATACTGAAAGCATGGCCAAGGCCACTTATGTTGACTCTGGGAAGGTGTCTCCATACAATGGGCTGTCACACAGGCCTTATGTATGTTCTCCAACTTGTTGTCTGTTTTAGTGTTGAAGAGTTCGGAGCCATCAAAGGGCATATTCTCTGTGCATCTCTTAGTTTCATCACGAAGGTTACCTGAGTGTAACCAGGCATGATGACGAAGGGCGATGGCATCAACGAGAGCCCAGGAGTTGCAACTGACATGATGTCTTGCTGTATTTAGTTGCTGGATAGACAGCTGCATACATAGCTTCTCGTGTGAATATGTGAGCGAGATCCCTCTGCTGTTCTGGGAGACTTGATGAACTCGAGCTTTTGCATGATGAAATATTGATATCTCACCATGGTAGCCTTGTAATTGGAAATGCAAACCCTGAGCCCCGTGGCAGCGTAGATATGGCGAGACATCATGTTGATCTTTCTGCCCTTTTTATCTCTAGATGTCAAGTGTTCCTTTTTTCCCAACCCTGGGAAGACTCAATAACGATGGAGTTGGGCTTGGGATGTTTGAGAAGGAATGGGATGTCTTGTTCCCAAACCTTATACATCAATTAGATCCTCTTAGACATCGGGTGTGGCTGATTCAGGAGCTGCCAGGTATCAGTCATAGCTTGTCGAAGAGTCATAATAAACAGCAAGGCAACTCTTCCTTCCTGACAATGTCATAAATATTGTCCTGGTTGGGATCGATGCGATGTTGTACATCGATCTCCAATGACTTAGTCATCCTCGCCAACAGCTATCCAAAGCTTGCATGAGAATCTCTAGGAAAGCCGGGACCCTGGGTGGAGATGACAATATCTGGTGAGGTAAAGGCTTATTCAGAGTCATCAGAATCCGAATCAGAATGATACGGGGGACTCAGTGATGACCCAGCAGAAGAAGGCAGAGGTCAAGGGAGAGCAGCTGCAGAAGTCGAGGGGGCATCTCTTGGAATCAGATGCGGAATATAATGATGAGGGCAGATGGAAGGCCTCAGATAGTAGCCGTAGGGTGGGTAGGGATCGATGCGATGTTGTACATCGATCTCCAATGACTTAGTCATCCTCGCCAACAGCTATCCAAAGCTTGCATGAGAATCTCTAGGAAAGCCGGGACCCTGGGTGGAGATGACAATATCTGGTGAGGTAAAGGCTTATTCAGAGTCATCAGAATCCGAATCAGAATGATACGGGGGACTCAGTGATGACCCAGCAGAAGAAGGCAGAGGTCAAGGGAGAGCAGCTGCAGAAGTCGAGGGGGCATCTCTTGGAATCAGATGCGGAATATAATGATGAGGGCAGATGGAAGGCCTCAGATAGTAGCCGTAGGGTGGGTAAAGATCCTACGGGTAGGACTGAGATGGGCTGAAGTCCCAGTACAGCATAGGCACCTAGAACTTGGAGGGTGGGACTGGGGCCTGTTGTTGTTATGTACGAGTTTGTGGAGGAGCCCTCAGAGATGCCTCTGGAGAAGTCAGCATTGGTGTTGGGGAATGTGCCAACGGCAGTCCAGTCTGAGATTGCGGCAGTGAATCCCGGATCTCACCATCAGACATGGAGCCTCTCACCACAGCAGAATAGTCAGAATGGTCAGGAGTGGATGGCACCGAAATTACAATCCGTAGGGGAGACCCTGGTGGAGTCACCTGTATGACCAATTGAATTTTTGGCCCAGTCGGTGTCAGGATCAAAACGGCGATCGGTACTGAGGGTGTGGTCGATACCAACTCTGTGCAAGGCAGCTTAGCAAGCTTCCTGTGCTTGCACTCTGACCTATTGGTCTTATCCTTTTTGGCTATCTTCGGCACCGAGGAGTCATCAGATCCAAGATGCTTCCTCTTCTCCTTTTGTTTGTGATGAGGAGAATGCAAGGAGCATTTAGCCTCCTTGGGAATCATACCATCAGTCGATGGACAAGGAGGAGTGGCCTTAGATGGGCCTGTCACTGTGGCCTCCACCAGAACCTTTGTGGAAGCAACCAAAGCCTGGTCCCACAGCATTTTCCGCAAGCAGTTCTCCTGATTCTTGCGGGCCTGCCTAGTAAAAGACTGGAAATGGCCACACTTATCAATCCTGTGGCCTTCTCCCAAGCACAGAAGGCACAGGTCATGTGGATCAGTGGGGGACATTTTAGCCCTGCACTGGGAAAACCTATGAAAAGCCCCCCACTGAGCCATCGAAGATAGAGAGATACAGCGAGCAAAAGATTCAACAAGAGTAACAATAGAAGGGATTTTATATAGAGAGAGGGGGGGGAGAGGGGAAAAACTTTTTTAAAACTGAGATGGATTAGGTAGATTATAACTTGGAGGAGGATATCGCAAAGAGAGAAGCTAAGAATGAAAGACTGAAGGCAAAACTTTAGGTATAGCTACGAGGGAACAATGAAAGGCTCAAGGCACAGTGAACGGTGGTCGCAAGAAGACTGAGGAAATGGCCGGCACTCTGCCCATTTATACTATGGCGGGAGAGCACGGAGTTCCCGCCAAAACCGTTAAAGCTGTTTAATCTTCCCAGCAACAGGCACTGAGCAGGCGCAGCACCCATAATGTGTGATGCACAGAGGCCATGATGAATAACAGAAATGAACCAAGGACTACATCTGAGGCATAACTTGGGATAGGGTGTGGGGGGAGGGGAGGGAGAAGGAGAGTTTTTGCAAAGTATGGTTTGGTTTTAATTTGCTAAATTTTAATGCAGAGAAGAAGAAAACATACCTGCATTTATGTGGATGTCTGACCTTCCAAGTCAGTTGAACTGATGTTTTTTCAAAGCAATCCAGAACCAATTCAATCCTAGTTGAGAGGAAGGGAAAAACCCACAAAATTTTTGAGTTCAGAAGAATAAGGACTAAGAAAGCCATTTATAACTCCTGTCTAGAAGCAGTCAAATGAGAGGAGGTTAACTCCCCCAGCCTTGACACTTGATTTATATCTGTGTAAGTCTACAGACAGAGGGCTCTGTGAACTGTAGAACCTGAAGACAGGCATTCCTGGGGTGGGATGGATTTGGATAAACTCAATCAAAAGCTCCTCAGTTGCCTAAGGGAGACCTGCATCAATTTCCTCAGTTATGCCAGCTGGGACATTTCAACAGAAGTTGGGTTTGAGAAAGAAAAGCTCAACAAAGCTGTCCACCCAGGCCAATGCAAGCCAGCAGGGCTTTGGAAGTTTTGGATTCCATATATGATTCCTTAAACACAATGGTTTTCAACTGCCAGTCTGCTGGGGTCCATGGAGGGGCCACTCACTGTGGATCAGCACAGAGGCTAGCTGTGCTCCACCACAACTGTCCTCATTTGGTGTTTGCAGGGGGTGCACCAGTGCTGAGAGACGGCTCAGTGGGAGCTGGCTGGGAGCCATGTTGTGCCAATTTCAATATTTTATTCTTTTCTTGGCATTTTTCTGGTTGTTTTGGAGAATTTTAATTTTTTGGTATTGTGTTTGGAAACCAATACAGAATATTGTATTATGTGTGTGGTGCTTTTTGTTTCTGCCTCAGTGATCCCTGAGGTGGTTTTCTTGTTTTTGCCAGTCCCCAGCTGTGGAAAGGTTGAAAACCACTATTTTAACAGATACCACTGTTCTACAAATTTTTGAAAATTATCGACCTCTGAGATAAAATGTGCTAATTCTTACATATTTTGATTAGATGAGTTAGAAAACATGTGATAAGGGGCTAGTTGGCTAAAGTTTTCAAGATATGTCAGAATAAAGATTTATACACAGGTGAGTATATTTGCCTACAAGAGAGGGAGGTGTCTAATGATCATGATACCTCGTAACTTCTCGACAAAGTATGGTAGAACAATGAAAATGGTACCACATGGAAGTGTATAAATTAATCTTCACTTTGAGATTAAAGATTATTACCTATGTAATTTATTCTTCTTTTATTGCAAGGTATATTTGTCTTGGTCAGACCTACGCATCATACAGTTACATCTGCAAGCTTGTGAAAAGTGTCATTTCCAAGGAAGAGTTGCATGATAGTCTCCCTCTGAAGCCAAGATGCCTTGAAACTGTGAAAAACAACTTCGGCTTCATTTGTGGCTAGATTACATTTGCATCTCAAAAGTGCAGTATGACGGCATAAAAAAGGCATACCAACTATATTTTGGATGCAAAATAGAAGCTCAGGACAAGAGTTGGACCCCTCATTACATGTGCGTAATTACATGTTGCATTACATGTGCAACTTATCTGTGTCATTGGCTAAACAAGAAGAAAAAACCCATGCCTTTCTCAGTCCCAATGGTGTGGGGGAACCCACCAATCATAGTAGCGACTGCTATTTTTACATGGTTCCCCCAATTAAAAACCAATAAATGAATGGAAAGTTACATTATTGGTATCAATAAAATGATAAATTTATAATGTTGGTGTGCCATCATTCTCATTGCTATATCACATTTTACAGAAAAGTTAAGGAGCTTAATTGCACATCCCCCTCGTAATTTTGAATTATTTTGATGCAATTTTGACCTGAAGCTGTATCTTGGAAACTGGAGCCAATTAATACTCAGGACTTAATTTTCCTTTATTAGTGACCCAATTCTGGTAAAATTTAGCTACTTTCATTTCTGAGACTTTCTTTTTGTAGACCAGTGTACTCTTCCAAAATCTTGCTCTGGTCCACTAACTAAAATGTTTGTTTAACTGGAATTGTTATATGTATATCCACTTTCCCCAACCTGGTACCTTCCAGATGTATTGGACTGAAATTCCCATAATTCCCAGCCATAGTCATGCTGGCTAATAGGAATGTGAGTTGCAGTTCAGCAATTGGGAAAGTGCCATATTGGGGGAGGCTGCTCCCCCCAGGGAGACGCTTCCATTCTGACTACAACAAATATAGCTAGAAGACCTATTAGTAAAACTGTTATCTAAAGCTATTTGTAATGTTCAGCCACCCCAGAGTCTCCACCTCCCCACAGCTCACAGAGTACAGCTCTCTGCCCTATGTTCCCTGGTCCCCAAATTCTGGGGCCAGACACTGGATTCAGCACACAACAACCCAAGCATTGGGGAAAACTTGTTTATTAAAAGACAGAATTAACACAATAGGGGTGGAGGATCTTAAAACACTGGAACATGCAATACACACACACACACACACACACACACGAGGCTAGGGAAAGAGAATTGGAGAGCAGCATTTTCACTAAGTCAAGACAATCTCAGTTCCCCTAAGACCCCTGAGGTCAATTGGTCACCTAAGACACAAAATAACAAAGGTAACTGTTCCAGGCACTAACACAGTATGCAGTACCCAATATAGCCTTTTCCTCTGTACAGCCTCCAGAGGCACAGCAAAGCACAGTGTACTTCAGCAGAGCTCTGGCAGCAACAAGGAACCTCTCCTTGGGGAGGAAGCCCAATCTGTCCCCCAACCCCAGGTTTCATCCCTAGTAGATCAATCAAATGACTCATGGGGATCTCAGCAGCAGCAGCTGGGGAATGCAGAGAGAGTGACCAGGGAACTTGTGAAGGCAAGGTAGGAGCTTAGGCAGAGGATGGGGGTGGGGGGAACAAGAGGAGTGGAGAGGAAAGAAGGTGGGGGTAGAGCCAGAGAGGACCAGGAAGAAACAAAGGAGGTGGGACCAGTGGCCTCTGAGGCTTATAAAGCTGCACTCAGCTGTTGGTGGCACCAACAGGTGATGAACTAGGGGTGATGTGACAAGGGCATTGCCCCTTGGTTGTGTCCACAGCAACCAGTTCTTCCCCAATGGACCTCTGGTGAGGAACAGGGTACACCTCACCAAGTTGGGGAAAATGACTTTTTGTAATGCTCTAGTGGGCTCTGTCCAGAGAGCTTTAAACTGATCCAGGGGACATGGGATCAAGGTCCTTAGAAACCAGTCATAAAACGGATCATGATTGAATTGGTGAAGGATCAGGGTCTCAGGGGTAGGGTGATGTAGGGACTGCAGGGGCTGGCATCACTACTGCACAAAGGATTCCTGCTATGGCAGGGAGGAAGGAGGAAATCGGGGAGCCAAGGAAAGGGTTTCGCAGGAAAGAGCTGCAATGTATGTGTACCAATGCTAGTAGTGCGGAAAACAAGCAGGAATAGGCTCTCCTGAGAATAGGCAGGTACAACCTGGTGAGGATTACAGAAACATGGTGGGATGAAAAGCAGGACTGGAATGTTAACATAGAAGGGTATGCTACTTTAGGAAGGGCAGGAAATGAAAGAGGGGAGGAGGTGTAGCATTATATGTTAAGGAAGGGACAGGGTGCAATGAGAAGGGAGCAGGGTTGAAGGGGATCAGGTAAAAGCAGCATGGGTAAGATTGATGGGTCTGGAGGTGGCCAAGCACCTGACAGTTACTGCCCACTGGGTCAACCTGTGACCCTGGACGACTGGAGCTGGGACTCAGACTAGATGACCCGGGAGACCCCTTCTAACTCGCTATGTTTCTATGTTTACTATGTTTCTACAGGTTGACATCTCCTGACATTGCCCAGGTAAGAACTGTATACTATTCAGCATTCAAACCTCTGGCCTATGAATTCTCCTGTCCTTGCAAGTAATTTACAGTATCTTATGGGTTTTTACATCCCAAGTCCTATCGAGCCCACCCCTTGGTGCCTTGCTTTCCTTGAATCATCACCTGGCTGAAGCAGCCTGGCCTCTGAACCAAGTATTAAGCCTTCCCTGGCTGAGGGGTCCGCAGCCTGCTCTTCACTACACTAATAAAGTTCCAAAGCTGGCAAGTGGCTATTTTACAAAACCACAGATTCACCCAATACTGCTAGATCATTTTAAAGCACCTCACGACAAAAAATATTTCTCATTTCCAAGGCCAGATAAATTGCTGTCACTGTTCAGAACAGCCAACTTTTTAATAAGAACATACAGAAGTAAGGCTGTACTTATGCTATGCTATAAATGTGTTTGTGCCACAACCATTAACAGATGTATAAGAAGTACCATTAAAAAGAATTCTGCTTAAAATATTTATAACTAACTATATTTATGACTGACTATATTTATAACCTGCCTTTTTCTTTTCAAGGAATGCAATAAATTCAAACATACAGGTTTCTTGCAACCTTCAATATTATTGCTTTTCAAAACTGCTCTTTCACTATGCTAAACCCTTAACTAATTTCTAATTATAGCAGCTATTCCAGAAATATCCCCCCCAAAAAAAGAAAACAAAAGAATGCAATTTGTATAATAATCTCCTGAGGAAAACAACAATCAGTATCTAGTCACTAAGAACTTATTGTAAAGATATTCTGGCATCTATACATTGATTTGAAGGAACCAAGTGTTTCAAGATTTATCTTTCTAGACTATATCATTTAGACATTCATTGCAAGCAAAATAAGATTATTTTGTTAAAGAATGACAGTGAATATACTTGGGGATATCCAGTATATACAGGAGTCTGGTATAATGGAAACTATCATAAAATAAATTTTCTGGTGCATGAATGAGGCCTTATAGATGAAGAATAGTGGAAGAAAGAAGTTGAAAAGTTGGGCCAGAATAAAAGACAAAATCAAGAATTTACTTCAGAAGTAGAAAAAGGAGCAGTCGGTAGAATTTCACTGATTCAGGCTACTGACCAGGAAGACATAAAGAAAATTTACTTAAGGAAAATTTAAAAGTTGCCTTAAGAGCATTAGATATTTTCAAGGCTTTTGCTAGTGTGTAATGGCCAACAATAAAGATATTAATAGAAATATTGGGGTTTGGTTCATATTTCAGAAATATTAAATAAAATTAATATAATTTTCTGAGTATAAATCAATTATACTCAGAAATCATGCAACAGTGATAG